GTCAGGCACACCCGATCCTTTCACATCTACCGGGGAGCCCAGAAGATCAAGCTCAGAGGAACGAGAGGGGAAGAGCTCCCCCAAGCCCCCTAGTGACCAAGAGCCAGATAACAAGTCTTTCACCAACGACAGCTTGAAGCCCTTGCCCCCTCTACCTCCGCCAACAAAGCAAGGTTCGAAGCGTCTCCAGCCTCATGTGGTGTCCCCAACACCCTCCGAGTTTCTACTTGTGACCGGAACCGAGGAAACAGAACCGGGCGTGGGAATGTTTGTCGACATGGACGGTGAGGTTGTTCGAGGTACAATTAACTTCCACAGATTCCCAAAGTCGGTTGTGATTGATACAAACGAGCATGATAAAACGTTCCAGACCAGTGACGATACTAGAGAGGAGTTTGTTCTCGCTGTAATCGAAGATGAAGACGCTGGAAAGTCTCGGACAAGACTCGAAATCCAACGTTGGGACGATGACCCAGGGGAGATTGAGCGGACTAAGAGCTGGTTAGAGATACCATCCCCTGGAGAGACACAATCCACTCAGGTTGGCCTCCGGCATACCCTCAGCCCTAGCCATCTTGAGCTCAGTGAAATAGGGCAGCTCTTGCGGATGGTCCGCCTCAAAAACTCCACGCTGCCCCCCCATGTATCAGTAACGGATTCAAGAACACAGGCATCTATCGAGCACTCCCAAAAAGAGAAAGAGCTCTTCGATCCGCAAGAATTGACCGACTCGGATGGATCCAAGAAGAGCGAAGGCTCAGCAAACCTGGGCTGGGAGGCTCAACGCGACGCAGAAGAAGCGAAGTTTGCACATGGACTGGGCAAGGTCCAAAGTAGCCTTGTGATGTGGTCTGGATCTCAAATATGGCGCGTACTGCAGAATCCATTGATAGTCCAGCTGGAGGGCACATTACAGAAAGCTCAGGAGATGGGAGAAGGCGAGCACACGGTGCTGCGTAGAGATGCCATCGTGGATCTGCTGCTCTCTATCCAGGACACCGAACCAAAGACCGAAGCTGAATTCATTGGGTTGAGCTATGTGAAACAAAAGGCTAGCCTTATGCTTTATGGAGACCTACTTTCTATGCAGCCAGCCGACTGCAATGCCGCAGCAATCGATGGCACCGAAAAAGCTCTACTGGCAGGTAACCTCGACCCGCGTTTGGCATTGCTATTTGTTCCTCTGTTGCGATGTGAGGTTTTGCAAGGGCCCCAGGGTATATGGCTACACGCTGGGCTGGCAAGCATGGCGGAAAAATATATCGAACAGGTCGGAAAGATAGGCGTTGAATCCTCTGGATTGGATGCCTCTCGTAGTCCTGTTCTTAACATGTTGAAGCGGTTTCTTCTCTCCTGGCAGCAGAAGCGGGGATATGGCAGTATCACCGATGAGGCATATGTTTTGGACAGCACGGATGCTGCGCTGTTGCACCTGACCTTGGAACAAGATGCCTATCTGACGCGAGATCAGCGGGCAGCGTCGCCAATTCGTCCTGAGTTGAATAGACTGGTCGACAATTGGAAAGGCAATTTTGACCGAGCAGTGATGCTCCTGGAAACATACAAGCGGCTCTATGTGTTAAGCCGTTTGTACCAAAGCCAAAAGATGTCTCGAAACGTCCTCAAGACCTGGCGACGAATTGTCGATGGGGAGACGGACGCTGGTGGAGAGGTCTCCGCCCATGGCGTGGAGACGCAGATGCGCAGGTACTTGGTCAAGATCAAGGACGTGCAGCTGGTTGAAGAATATGGCTCTTGGCTGGCTGAGCGAAACCCCAATCTGGGAACCCAGGTATTTGCAGACAATGCCAGCCGTGTTAGACTGGAACCAGCGGATGTTGTTGCTTTACTCAAGGAGCGAGCTCCAAATGCGGTTCAGGTCTACCTAGAGCACCTAGTTTTTGCAAAGAATGTGAGACGTCCTGTTATCTTTGCTCATGGACATTTTAACTAACCTGTGAATATAGTACACGCAATATGCTGATGACCTGATCTCATACTACTTGGACACGGTACTCTCCGTGCTCGAGTCATCCCCCGCAGCACGAGCTTCTTTGGCCGAGTCCTACTCAACATATCGAGCCCTGCGTGCCCCCAAACCCACGTATCTTAACTTCATAACCGAAAACACCCCCGCAAAGCCCTGGTGGCAGTCTCGTCTCCGGTTACTTCAGCTGCTGGGTGGAATCTCTAGCTCCCAATTCTCCTCGCAACCTCTCCCTACAGGAATCAGCTACTCAATCCCCAACGTCCTCACCCGCATCGAGCCATTCCAGAATGAGCTAGTCTCAGAATGTATTATCCTTGACGGTCTACAGGGCTACCACGGCCCCGCTCTTCGTCTCCTCACACACGGGCTAGGTGACTACGACTCCGCAATCCGCTACTGTCTCTTCGGCGGCCCGCGTAGCTCTTCTTCCTGCTCAACAGGTAACCTGCCAGAACTGGCCGATTACACCCTACAGTGCACGCTATTCCGTCACCTGCTCGACGAGTTCCTGCACATCGAGGACCTGTCAGACCGCATCGAGCGCACGAGTGATCTCCTGGCGCGCTTCGCGGCATGGTTCGATGTCCGCGAAGTCCTTGATCTTGTTCCGGAGGACTGGAGTGTTGATATCCTCGGCGGCTTCTTCGTGCACGTTTTCCGCACCCTTGTGTCGCAGACTCGCGAGACCCGTATCGAGCGTGCTCTTAGCGCGGGTTTGAATCTGCGCATTGGTGCTGAGTATATCGATGGCATGGAGAAAGTTGGACCCTGGGTTGAGGAGACAGATGGTGTGAGACGGTTGAAGGATGCAGGGCCACAGCGGGTTTCCTTGCCAACCGATCACCCTAGTGGTGATGCTTCTGATGACTCTTCTGAGTTTGGAGATACGGTGGGGCCTACATCTGGGGAAGTGGGCCAGTAGATCGGTGAGTAGGGGGAGTGTACAGGAGAACACTTATCTGGATATGTTATGTTGGCTTTTAAATCTATGATACCTACGTAGTTTGCAGTTTGCCTGGATACCTTTCGTGTTGACTTTGTTATTTTTTTGGTTATATTCTAGTTTGGTTTTGGCGCTATGTATCATGAGCCGATCCCCAATTTCATCATCTCCTTCTGTGAATAGAAAAAGAAGACAAAAGACAGAACTGCACAATGGTAGCAGTCCTATGCACATTCCAAGTCGACAGAAAAGGAAAAAAAGCGAAACCATCATATTGCGTTCGTTCCCTTCGTAGCTACTGATGAGCGTATGTTCCGGCGCACGCCGAAAGCCAGTGGGACATTAGGTGTGTAGTATTTTGAAATTCCAACCAGACCCAGATGTCCCAGATGTTGATTTCCAGAAATGATATCCAGACCCGGAATGAAACCCGGAAAGAAGATGATAAGCTAGAAAGAGCTTTTTTTCTTTTACTCTTCTGCTTGCAAGAAAGGGTTGGGGATCTCCTCGCTGCCGTCGGCGGGAGAGATCAGTACGATCAAAGTGCCACGGGCGACGATCAGACCCATTGAGCGGGTGGTGGTGTTACCCTCCTCATCTATGGAAGTTAGTATACAAGTAAAGACATGGGAATGTCTAAGTAAGAAACTTGGAACTCACCACGCATGGTCTCCTTAACATCGTCGAGGACCAGGTTCATAAGCTGGTCATAACCCTTGAGAGTACCAGTGACTGTTAAGAGTTAACATATATAGTTCATATATGGCGATGTGAAGTCGTCAAAAGACCAAAAGCAGTATATAAGAAAAAAAATAAAAAGGGATATATGACAACATACCCTCACGACCACCATTGAACTTCACCTGGACCTCCTTGTCCATGTACTTGTTGAGATCCAAGATGTTTTCCTTTTTGGGCTTCTCCTGTGCACCGCCACCACCGCCACTTTTCTGCTGGCCCTGGCCGCCACGGCCTCCACGACCGCGACCACCTCGGAATGAACCACGTTCAGACATTGTATGAAATTGGAGAGAAAGTCAGGGATTGAGAAAATGGGACGGGGGATACTAGATGAGGCAAGATATCCGATGTATAGACACGGGTGGACAGATGGGTATCTCCGTATGTCTGTGTATGGGGGGGGGAATAGCGGAAGGGTACGTGGGTGCGTGTATGAGGGATTTTTAGTGGTTGGCCTCAGGCATGAAATTCAGATTTCCGCCTTCGTATGAGGATTACCAATTACAGCTGTAATATTGCATTTGGTAGCCGCGAGGAATCCCGCTCGGAGGTATTTTACAGGTTAATTACCAGTATCTTGATCTTCAACCTCAACATTGAATGTTGGAACATCCATGGATGACATTCTCAAATTACTTTATACATTGTATATGTAGATATCTATGGCATATCATTGATACTGACTATTCTTTTCAAGTACTCCCCTCCTAGGCCAGATGGTTGTAATTTCCTCCGAACTGCCGGGAATGTTTCAGTCCGCTCAGGCATCAGCGAAACCAAAGACATCCTCAAGCCTCAAGGCTTAACTGAGTTGATCGGCAGATACATAGTTTATATGAACCTTTACAGAATGATCGACTTTTGGACTTCAAGTTCTTTCTGCCTAAATATGCAGGACTTTGTAGGTAAGGCGTGTGTTGTACACTTTAACCAGCGTATCGTAGGCCAGCGGAACCCTCCGGCGGGACTCCGCTGGGAAGTGACCAGGTACTTTAAAGATATCCGCGAGTCGCAATCGGAATTTCTGTCACACTCTTCCTTTAATTATAAATGGGGAAAAAAAAAACAAGATTAAAAAAACAAAATAACAATTTGTATTCTCCCGGGGACAACGGAAAACACCTGATCACGTTTTCCCTCTCCACTCCCGCTGTTCCGTCCCCTCTGTAGCCCTACGGCTTTTCTCTTTTCTTCATGGATGTTGCTTGAGTCTTTTAAAAGGAGTCAACCTGCCGGTTTTTCTCGGTCCGGTTCATCTCGATATTCTTTTATCTGACTCTGCGACTTATCTTCCTAATCTCTTTCCCTGAATATTGATCTCCCACAATGGAATCCCACCCCCAAACGGCGGAGTCGTCTCATAAACGGCCTCGGTCTCCCACTGCCGATCATGGCTCGTCGAAAGTGCCCAAAACGCATTCGAACCATCTACAGATAAATTATCTCGCACGACAATACCCTGACAACCTACCACTCGTCTCCGTCGATGATACCATGCCTGCGATCATTCATCTGCTTGGTGAATACGACGGGGTGCTACACCGCCACGAGAGCATCGCTGGAAATCTGGGCGCATGCCCGCTTGGTCCAATCTTGATTAAGCGCTTCGAGCGTCTGTTCGATGGACCGCCGCAAGTGTTGAAATCCCATAGCAAAGATGGACCTACGGTGACTTGGCTTGATGTGGTCGAGTTCGCGAAGAACAAACCCGAGCAGTTCAACCTCGAAAAGTCGCGCAATGGCGTGCGCGTCTGTCAGTTCTATACCAAGCAGTGTCGCGTGGAAATCAGCGAGGAGGATTTCGTTTTGATTGCTTCTGGCATGCCGCAGAAGATGATCCCGCCCCAGCCTATCATCGAGGACGAGGAAAAGGAGCTGGGCGCGCTGGAGATTCTTGAAAAGAACCTGCATCATATAATTCAAATGGCTGATCAAGGTGAGCCATCACTATATCCATATATAGCTTAGGTGTTTACTGACAACCCTTGTTTGTTTAGTTTCTGCTCGAGCGAGACAGCTTAACCATCGACTGAAGAATCGCCGCAATGCTATTGTCACCCGCCGAGAGAATGATGCTACTCTACATGCGCAATCCCGAAACGTCGCTGAAATATGGCGCGATGCCAACGGTAATGGCCCAGGAAACGGTCATGGATCATCTCACCCTTCTCCGTCTGGTTTCGTCGCTGTCAACACTCATCGTCCCGAAGGCGAACATACCGAGGAGAACCCTCTATCATCCCAATTCATGTTCTCACAGACCAACACCGACAATGTCACCATGATCAACGGGCAGTCGATCAAAGGTGCTTCCCCAACCACGCGCGCAGACTTGATGAAGAGGTTTTTCACAACAGCTGACCGTCATGCCCGTGGCTATGACGATACAGCAACCCCAGTCAATCCTCAACCACTCCCTCGGCCCCGTGCCTCCGACCCAGCAGACTACAGCCTCTACAACCCCACGACGGCAACCCCAGTTGCCATCCCAAGTACCCCATCGTCCCTCCTCCCACCGCCAAAATCAATCCACCAAGAAAAAGATGATGGAGGCCCCTTCAAGCTAGAAATGATAGCTCGCATGGAAGAGCTCCAGCGCGGTGAGCGCGTAATCCCACCCTGCGACCGCTGCCGCCGTCTCCATATGGACTGCCTGAAGAACCTTACAGCCTGCGTTGGTTGCACCAAGAAACACGCGAAGTGCTCCTGGCGTGACGTCAAAGAAGAGGAAGTCACCGCAATGCGGGCGGGAATGGCGACATCGACGGTATCCCACGAGCGTGTTGACAATGACCGCTCCAGTGCAAACCTCACCCCAACCCAGTTCGGTATGGGCCCACTGCCCCCGATCTCTGCTGAGCGTGAGCGTCCCCGAGAGCCAGAGCACCATGCCTACTACTATCAACATCAACACCGACGCGAGTCGGCCCCTTCCGTCCCGAACTTGACTCCTGGATCTACAGTCCCGATGGAGCTTAATTCAAAGGATAATTCCCCGCGACGGGCAATGAGTGAGACGGAAAATAATGGCCGCCCTCCTGCCCCTGGCCGTGTCTTGGATCGCGTCGAGGATGAGGACCCCGATGCCAATCAGCGGCTTAGACAGGCCATTTTGGATACCGTGGATCATCATACACGTGTCGCTGCAGCTGTGCAGGAGAGGGAGCGTGGTGCGGAGCGTGGTGAACACCCAGTTCTTCCTGCTCCAAATCCGGCTCCGGTTTCAGGTACTTATGATCGTGAGCGTGAACGTGAGCGAGAAGCTGATCGTGATCGTGATCGACGTATGGTGCATGCTTAAGATATTAATTAGCCTTACCATTTGTGTATAGTTTTTTGGGGTTTTACCATAGTGGCGTGGGAGTACTGTTAGATATCCCTCTGATTAGCGTTGATTTCATACATTCACAAAATGTAACTATAATTTCTCATATATGTGTGGGACCGGATATATATTCAGCCCCGGATATAACTGTTGAATCGGTACTTGTATTGTCTGTAGAACTACCGTCTATAAGTCCACTTGCGGGGACTTTGCGGGATGTCCCATCTTCTCTACTACAACCCCCCACCATTACATATAATATAACATATAATATAACCCCCAGATTCTAGCTCTTAAACTATTTATTTCTCAAATATAACTCATCATGGACCCTTCCCAAGTCAAAATCCCCCCAATGAAAGACCAAACTGTCGACAACATCACCGACAATGTAATAACAATCAACAGCCTCTGTGAAGATGAGCGCATGAAATACATCCTCGAACGACTAGTAACTCACCTCCACGACTTCGCCCGGGAAACCCGTCTCAGCAGCGAAGAATGGATGACCGGCCTCCGCTTCCTAACCGAAGTCGGCCAGACCTGCACAGAAGTCCGACAGGAATACATCCTGCTGTCCGACGTCCTAGGTCTATCCATCCTCGTCGACTCAATCGATCACCCCAAACCCAAGGGATCCACAGAGGGAACCGTGCTGGGTCCATTCCACACGCACGACGCGGAGGAAATGCCCGCCGGTGATTCCATGTCGCATGATCCCAAAGGCGAGCCCTTGTTGGTTGTTTGTACACTGCGTGATTTGAATGGGAATCCTGTCTCCGATGTTAAGATTGATATCTGGGAGACGGATTCTACGGGTCATTATGATGTCCAGTATGCGGGTAGGGAGAGTCCGGATGGGAGATGTGTTATGCGGTCTGATAACGAGGGCTTGTTTTGGTTTAAGGCTATTACGCCTGTGCCGTATCCCATTCCTCATGATGGGCCTGTTGGGAAGTTGTTGAAGAAGTTGCATCGTCATCCGTATCGTCCTTCGCATATGCACTTTATGTTCGAGAAGGAGGGTTATGATCACTTGATTACGTATGTTCTATTGTTTTCGACTTTGAATGTTATGCTAATCTTACTCTCAGTGCTCTCTATCTCCGCAATGACCCTTATGAAACATCCGATGCAGTCTTTGGCGTTAAGGATTCTTTGACTGTGGACATTGGCAAGGCTGACGCTGAGGTCGCTAAGAAATATAACGTCCCCGAGGGCCATGCTCTCCTCACTTATGACTTTGTGCTTGTGTCTGATGAAGAGACGAGCAAGTTGAGAGAGTACAACTCCAAGGTTGCACTGGACAAGTTAGGCCGGAAAGTCAAGATTGTCAATGGGCTGCCTGTGCCGGACCTGGATTAAATTTTACGAAAAGAAAAAGTGCACGCGAGAAATATCATTTGGTGCATATCTGTACAAGATTGGCTAGGAAGGTTGAACTATTATCTTTTCTTCTAATACCGTCCGCTTTTCGTTGCATAGCAGTGATTAGAATTGTATGTGAGTGCAAGATCTCAACGGAAGCAAGCACCGGAACTGAGACTGCCAAATATGACTCCATGTCTGTATTCCGTTTATTTCAGCCTTGATGGGAATATGTAACATGTGTTCAGCGATGACTGGTGCTCTTATTCATTCAAGTTGTGTCTCTCGAGTCTGTGCATGGTGCGACGATCGGACCAGCGAGGGCTGAACAGTTTTCATCCAGGCCATCCGACGTGGTTTAGGCATTGGTACAACCAGAAATCAAGGCAATTGAGGGGGTATTAAATTGCGTCTTGTTATATAGACATATCACCATACCTTGATCGGACATCTGCATTTGGCTCCGATTTCCTCGTATCGGCATTATGCGTTCCATTTACCTATTTTTGTCTGTGGCAGCCCCATTGGCCTCGGCCTTTGTCATTCCCGATGAGAACATCCTTACGGAGATAATTTCTGAGCCTCGCCCGGCCCCGAATGATCAGGTGTCCAAAGTAGATGTTGAGATGAGCCTGCTGGGTATCTCTCCGGATAAACATAGAGAACGGGGAAGAGGTGGGGGCTGGCATGATGGCGATGAATGCCCCGAGCACGGTGGCTGGCCCGAACATGGGGGATGGGGAAGACATGGAGGCTGGCCTGATGACGACTGTCCTGGGCATGGCGATTGGCCAGGATATGAGGAAGATCCGCACGGGAGATGGCCTGGAGACGACGAATGCGAATGCCCCGGGCATGGAAGAAAACCGGGACACGGAGGATGGCCTGGACATGGAGATAATGGCGAAGACAGATACCGACGAATCGACGCCTGCCCAGGTCCGCTCTGCCGTGAAGACAAAACAACATGGGAGCTCATCAAAGAAAGCGAGCATACATCACGACTAGCCGACCTCCTCGCTGGCAATAAAGACCTAATCGAGATTCTTAACAGCACGACAGCAAATCACACCTTCTTCGCGCTGACGAACCATGCTCTGGAAGGACTTTCACGAGGGCGAAATGGCCTCAATCCCAAGTTCATCTCCAGCTTGCTACGGTATCATATCCTACCTGGTCGATTGTCCATCCACCATATCGCGGGCCACCAGACGTTACCAACGAAGTTGAAAGAGCCGGCTCTGGAATCGCAGCTGCCACAGAGGATTGTTGTCCGAGAGCATCGCGATGGAGTGATGTTGAATCGCAGGAGTAGGGTTGTGGGAGCTGATATGGTAAATAAAACCAATATCCCTCCATCCACACATCATATCATGTGTGGTGTATACTAACCTCACCCTCAAGAAAACCAAAAACGGCATAATTCACATAATAACCAGTCCCCTGCATCCACCACCGGAGACACGCACAATGCTTCATCACGCAGCGCACTTCAATACCTTCACGATGGCGCTAGCACGCACTAAATTCGCCTATAGCCTTGACCCGGCTCAGCGACAGGGCGGCACGACATTCGTGCCTACGAACGCTGCCTTTAGACGGCTTGGTGAGCATGTTAATCGATTTCTATTTTCAGAAAAGGGTGAAGGGTGTTTGCGTGCGTTGATGCAGTATCATATTGTGCCTAATCGCACGCTGTACTCGGATATGTTGTATAGTCGTAATGGGAAGGCCCATGGATTATTCTCTAGCCATGGGAACGGACATGGGCATGAGCATGAGGGTGAGTGTGTGGGTGGGCCAGAGGAAGACTCTGCCAATGTGCGGCTTCTGACTTTGTTGAAGGAGAGGCATCTGGAGATTGATGTTAAGAGGGGATTTGGTGAGGTTGATATGAGGGTTAATGGGTTCGGTAGGGTTGGACGATTGGATTTGTTGGCAAGCGACGGGGTGGTGCATGTTTTGGACCGAGTCTTGGTTCCACCGAGGAAGATTCAGGACAACGTTATGTTTGAAAGCGAATACGGAGAACTGATGATTGAGGACCTTGTGGAGAGGTTGGATGGTTGTGTCTATGGGGTGACTCGAGGTGAACTGTGACGCCTACAGGCCTACGATGAAGAGAAGCAATTTGAAAATTTCCATTCCTATGTTTGTTCATAGTGGTGAGCGAGATCGGTGCTTGCAAAATAAAGAACAAGATGTAACCCTTGAGTTAACCCCCCCGAATGCCTCTAGTTGACAGCCTGCCAAATTCCAGAGATAGCATCAATTAGGTGGCCAAAAGCAGTAAAGCGAGCAAGCAGAAACCATAACTGCAATGTAAAATCTTTCGACTAGTGCATTCGTCTAGCCGGCTTCGACAGAGCCTGGAAGGAAGACTCAAGAGCTTTCTTGACCTCCTTGTAGCTGACAATGAAGCAGCTCTGCTCATCGCGACTGACCAAATGGATCTTTTCTTCACTTCCCGCATCAAGCTTGTTCATACAAGTGATAATATGGGCAAGATCAGTCACCGCGTCGCCTTGGCTATCCACCGAGTGGAAGACGTAATCGCGGAAAAGCTTCAAGAAGTAGCGTTCTCCGCTCTCCGACCAGCGCTGGTCAAGTTCGTATTCAGGACGTTCATTGATGAGCCCGAGTTTGGCGAACATGCGAACAAGTCGTCCATTTTCCAGCTCACGGCCGAGATCAGAGGTCAGCTGATCATCCAGGTGGAGTGCCGAATCAAAAGTTGACATCAGCTGAGATGAAATCCCGGTGATAAAAGTGTCGATGGTTCGCTCCTGATCCTTCTGCATCCCATTCAACAGCCAGAACACGGAGTTCTTCAACTGAGGGCTGTAAGCGCGAGTGAAATGCTCCATAGCTTTAGTTGGGTTGTGGACGAGAGCGGGCGAATTGGCACCAAGGGTGACAATCATTTGGCCAAAGTTCACCAGATCTTGTCGCTGGAGGTCAGCCATGGTGCGCTGGGTATCGAACTGCACCACGTCAAGAATAGCACAGGCGTTGATGCGAATCCGGGTCTTGGCAGTAATCAAGACCTTGCTAGGCTCGAGCACTCGGGCGGCAAGACCACTAGCATGAATTGCTTTGAGCCCATTGGCAATCTGGGTCATGTATCCCCAGAGGATTTGCTCAGGGATAGGGGAATTGGGACGGCTTGGGTAGCGCCCGGTTGCAGCACTCAAATGTTGGTCTGCAAGTGTCTTGGACAGTGGGTGATAGTCGGTCACAAAAATCAAAGAGCTGTCTTGGAAGCTGCGGCTGGTGAACGCGTCGTGAATAGTCACCACACTGGCATTGCAGACGCGCTTCCAGGCTTGCACAGAACGAATAGCCTTTTCATTGGTCAAGCGGAAACCTATGAGAATTAGTCTGAAGCAACGAAAAAAAAGATTGGAGATTGTCATACCCTCAAGTCTGCGAAGAGCATAAAAGGTGCCATCTTTGCTAGACTGAGCTTTGTAGATCCAGCTTGGATAGCCGAAGGTCGCAGCATTCTTCTGATGACTGAGATCCAAGGGGACAAGGGAGTGGAAATAGTCCACCTGGGCAGGAAGTTGAGTGTCTTCAAAGTCCGTCAGCTTGAGTACAGATTATTGTCAATTGCGATCCAACATACTAGGGAGAGTTTGCAGAGTAGCTGCGGATTTCTTCTGCAGTTCTTCGCGCAAGTCGTTAGGGATAAAGAGATCATGCACGTTGCGCTGGTATCCCAAAGTGTTCTGGCTGTGAGGGCCAATTGGGGCATAAAGATGGTACTGAATCTATTGGGCGATTAGAGTTCATGCAAAGCAACAAAGAGGTGTTACCATTGGATACCAACGTACCGGCTGCTGGAATCCAGTCTGGTTTGCAAAGAAGGCGCCTCCCATCGCGCCAGTAGGGTCGTGGGAATAAGGATTGGCAGAAACAGGACCAACGGCACCAGGAGTCATGGGAGCTGGGGTAGTCACAAAAGGATCAAATGCACCCGTGGGGGTGATACCTCCATTTCCATTGCCCTGAAGAGGTGTCTGGGGAACGTCAGCGCCAAGGTTCATACGCGAGGTGAGGTACGGGAGGCGATCATGCTCAGGCATAGGATCAAAGTCCTCTGCCAGGGCAGGCAACTTGCCATCGACACATTCATCGCCACCCTGAACCATCGTGATGATAGAGATGAGATTATGATAATGATGCAGCTAGAGTGAAGAGAATGGGATGATTTCAAGAAAGAAGAAGCAACACGAGGGCAAGGACATCAAAATAGGGAAGGGACGACTGACCACGTGCTCGAAGCCTTGGGGAACAAATTCCTGTACATCAGCTACTGCCCAGTCTTGTACAGCTTCTGACCGCGTTGTTGGTGTACTCGTGTTGGAACCTTTTTCACTTGTCAGTGGCTTCCTTTGTAACCCTCTTCCTGCCTCCACAGAGCACATACGTGATGATGTTGTTCGAGGTTGGAAAGGAGCTGCACTGGCAGCTTTAGGAGATATAGCGGTGGACTTTTTCGGTGCTGAGACCCCATTCCCAGACAGCAAGGATGGGGTAAAGCTAGGAGAGTCGACATTGAACCTTTTTTTGCTATCAAACGAGACAGTCCTTGTCAGTTCGTCCAGTTTTTTTTCGTCTAAAGACCAAGTTTGCATCGCACCTGTCCGACTGGTTTGCATTGAGCTTCGACGGGTCATGATTGAAAGCACAACCTGGATACAAGAGTTCCAAATCAGCTTCACCACCCTGGCTGTGATCAAGGTTTGCCAATACCTTTATCTTCATAGCGGCATCGACCATAGATGGTCACGTTGCGACACAATGTGTCTTTCGCATTCTCTATCAAGCAAATTCATTGTTGTCAGCAACACTGTCTGTCTCAGATTCGACATTCATCTCCAGCTTGTCCATTTCAGAGCTGAATGGAAGCGAAACGCCAGGCTCTTCAAACACACTCACCACGGCTCTTCATTTTCGGTGATCCTGTCGTCCGACGAGCATCCTCCAATGGAGGCTTTCCGGTAGACGCCATGATATCTGGCTGATACCCACTTGATGGTGCGGATCAGCGCAAAAAGATCCCCATTGAAACCAGACTCGGTAGGGAACAAAGGATGCTACTGGGTGAAAACCGCATTCCCTTGCTTTGATCCTGTATGAATTCAAGTCACTGTGATCCACGCGTTTGGCGATTGGCGGGTCAATTCCGGGAGAGCCCACGGACGTCGGGCGGTATCTCAGCCGATAACAATAAGCATGAATGGTGTATAAGGATAAGACCAAAGCCGTCTCTCATCCCAAGGAACAACTGAGAGCGACAGAACTGATGAAAATAAAGACGCGGGGCGAGAAACGAAGCCGAGTGAAGGGGGATATGCGCACGGACCAGGCGGTCAGAACATCAATGAGCTTCACCTTTGAGGCCACTTGAGCTCCAACATCTTCTTAGCATTCTACGTGAAATTTGTGCACGTAGTGAATGAACACATTTACATGACTCTTCAATTCATGGCTATTCATTTTTATATATTTTGACATCACCCCTATCCCTGAGTTTATGGCCTACGGTCCTTCACCAGCAAGATGTCACAACCGGAGGTTGACCTGGATCAGCTTTCCGATAGCGAGAAGTCTGCGCTAGAAATGTACATGGCTGTTACTAGCCAGGAACCTTCAGAGGCAATTCCCCTGCTGCGTCGGTCACAATGGAATGTGCAGGTTGGTTTATCTTCTCCGTCTTCTCGCCAAGCGTACGAACTTGACTGATCCCCGCATGAAAGATCGCTATATCCAAGTTCTTTGATGGGGAAGGCCCGGATCCCCTTGAAGAAGCCCGCGCTGCGATGGATCACCCGCCTCCACCACAACCCAACCGCCGAACCCAGAATTTAATGACCGATGACTTGAACGAACACTTGTCGCAAGTTACTCGTGCCACAGCTACAGATCCAGCTCCGCGGGTTGACACACAATCAGGAGATCAGCATATCTACCGACCTCCATTTATTCTTAGTCTATTGCTCAGTCCATTTAATCTGGTCTATCGACTCCTCTGCAGTTCATTCCGCCTTTTTGGGGTCCTCTTCCCTTTCTTGCCACGCTTGTTCAACAGGACGGCGAACCCGGCGCTGCAAGGCGCTCGACGGAATACCACTGGCCGTCGACCCCTCGGTCCCAAGGACACTGCCGCTCGCTTTATCCGCGAGTTCGAGGAAGAGTATGAATCTAACCCGATTCCGTTCCTAGAGAACGGATACAACATGGCTCTAGAGAAAGCCCATCGCGACCTGAAGTACCTCCTGGTCATTCTCTTATCTCCAGAGCATGACGATACTAACAGCTGGGTCCATGATACCTTGCTGGCACCTGAGGTAGTGGAATTCGTCAACGACTCCCAGAACAGCCTTCTGGTGTGGGGTGGCAATGTGCGAGATTCCGAGGCATACCAAGTCGCCAACTCATTGAAATGCACCAAGTTTCCATTCGCAGCGGTCATCGTCCATACTCCGAATGTTTCGTCAACTGCCATGTCTGTCGTAGGACGGATCGCAGGCCTCACTACGCCATCCGAGATGGTGAACAAGCTCCGGGCAGTCGTGACAGCTAATAGCGAGCCCTTAGAGCGACTCCGATCTTCCCGCGCGGAGCAACAAGCCTCGCGCAGCCTCCGCCAAGAGCAAGATTCGGCCTACGAGCGGTCTCTGGCGATCGACCGTGAACGGACGCGCCAGCGCCGGGAAGCGGAGATGGAACGCCAACGCGAAGAACAGGAAGCCGCTGGCCGACAGGCGGCAGAGGAGCAACGGCGCCGCAATCTCGCTCAATGGAAGCTTTGGCGCGGACAATCGCTTAGCGCGGAGCCCGGACCAGAGGTCAAGGATGCCGTTCGTATTAGCGTGCGGCTCCCATCGGGCGGTCGTATCATGCGCAAGTTTGCACCCGATGCGGACATTGAAGAAATCTACGCAGTGGTTGAGTGCCACGAAGTCTTACAAGAGCAGGATACGGAGCGGCCTGTGACAAGTGAACCAGAGGGGTTTGTGCACCAATACGGATTTCGATTAGTCTCACCGATGCCTCGAGTGGTGTATCCCGTTGATGAGGGAGGGTCAATCAGAGAGAAGATTGGCCGTGGTGGCAATCTGTTGGTGGAATTGATCGAGGATGAAGACACGGATGACGAGGCTGTGACCGACATTTCTTGAATATGACTGGCTTCCATGATTAGAATGTTGCTTTTGTGGGTTCAAATGTTGGGAAACAACGATTGACACACCGCTCTGTTTTATTTTTTTTTTTTTTTTATTTTTTACAATATCCAATGTACAATGTAGATGATTATGATTTGATATCTCACATTTCCCTACGTGGCTGATTTACAGATTTGAATTGCCTGCTTAACCGAACGGGATTATTCCAATTATGGCATGGCGTAAATATGATTGCTGACGCCTAGGACACGGACCATCTGCATATCAGCCCCAAGGGAGGTCGAGGCACCTAATCTGACAGTGAGAATCAGGAATTTCAGAGACCCCCAAGATTATGACTCGGATGAAATACGGACGAAAGTATTTGGTCCGTACTCCGTACTAGTTCGTACGTGTAGATACCAGGGGTTAAGGGGGTTCCACCTAGGTCTATATAACATATTTACCAACGGAATACGGAGTAGATGGATAAGATTTCCTTGAAAAGTCCCGAGGTCCACTTTATACGCGATTTAGCGTTGAAATGGGGAGCTCTGTGGTCTCCAGCCCTGAGCTCCCAGCTGAGTCAGCTCGGATAGACCATACCCGGACATCCGAGGGGGCCATGTGGAACGGAAAGTGTCACTCCCGGACCCTTCTGGAACCCTTTTTTTGACTTTAAACACGTGTGGATAAACATGGTAAAGAGTATATGTACATGTACATGTAAATATACTCCTTCATTGGTCCGACCAAAGTATGTGTACATGAACGGAGTAATATGGAGTAATATGGAGTAACATAGAGTCATATGTTGTATTCGTCTTTCTACCGTATCGAAAAATTCAAGGCTATTGTTACCCTAAAGAGACATCGCCATGTTCCAAGGTTCTTGGCAAGCCCCCCCCCCCAAAGAGTTAGAGGCATAAAATAAATCCAAAACACAAAAATTCACGGAAACTTACAGCTCCGCCCCGTGTTTGTTTCAACGGGTGTCCCCGGTTTTATTTTTCTCGGGCAAAGGATACAGTCTTTCCGAGTCCGGGTCTTCATATCACCCTTTTTCCTTTCTTCTTGTATACTTATTTCAAATTCTTCCTTTTAATCTAATACATGGTGATCACTTCTTATATTCATCTTTTCTAGTCTAATTAGTCCCATCTCCTATCTGACAGAGACCTTGTTGGAAGGTCATCATGTCGCTCCTAGGGACATTGAACTCCAACGTCACCGGCACTCAAGATGTGCAGGAATCCCATGCTGCTCACATGGAATCTCGCCGCCATGATCCCACAGCTAGCGTGAGCACTGATGACACCGCTAATGAGAAGAGCGAAATTGGCAACGAAGGATACAACGATGTCGAGATTACCCGCCTAGCCCAGCAGCTCACCCGCCAGTCAACGCGCTTCTCTGTCTCAACCCACAATGCAGAGAATCCATTCATCGAAACCAACGAGGACTCAACTCTGAACCCTCACAGTGAAAACTTCAAGGCCAGAGATTGGATGAAGAATCTTCTTGCTATCCAATCCCGCGACCCAGAACGTTATCCGAAGCGCCAGGCTGGTCTGGGGTTCAAAAACCTCAGTGTACACGGATTTGGTAGTCCCACAGATTACCAAAAGGATGTGGCCAACTCCGTTCTGGAAATTGGTGCCTTGTTCCGCAAGATGACCGGCACTGGCAAGCAGAAGATTCAGATCCTCAGCAACTTCGATGGTCTCATTAAGAGCGGGGAGATGCTCGTCGTCCTCGGCCGTCCTGGATCCGGCTGTTCGACTTTCTTGAAGACCATTGCAGGAGAGATGAACGGTATTTTCAAGGATGACAATTCTCACATGAACTACCAAGGAATCTCCGACAAGCAGATGCGAAATGAGTTCCGCGGTGAGGCCATCTACACTGCCGAAACTGATGTTCATTTCCCCCAGCTTTCTGTGGGAGATACTTTGAAGTTTGCTGCTATGGCTCGTACCCCGCGCAACCGTTTGCCGGGAGTCACTCGCGATCAGTATGCAGAGCACATGCGTGATGTCGTGATGGCCATGCTTGGTCTTTCGCACACCATCAACACTCAGGTCGGTAACGATTTCATCCGTGGCGTCTCCGGTGGTGAGCGGAAGCGTGTCAGTATCGCCGAGGCCACCCTCTGCGGGAGCCCTCTGCAATGTTGGGATAACAGTACCCGTGGTTTGGACAGTGCCAATGCCCTGGAGTTCTGTAAGACATTGGGATTGATGTCCAAGTACTCGGGTACCACCTGTGCGGTTGCTATTTACCAGGCATCCCAGAGTGCCTACGATGTCTTCGACAAAGTTACCGTGCTGTACGAGGGCCGACAAATCTACTTCGGCCGCACAACTGAGGCCAAGGAATTTTTCACCAACATGGGTTTCCACTGTCCCGAGCGTCAGACTACCGCCGATTTCCTGACCTCTCTTACGAGCCCCGCTGAGCGAGTCGTTAAGCCTGGCTTTGAAGGCATGGTTCCCCGTACCCCCGATGAGTTCGCCGTTGCTTGGAAAAACAGCGCTGCGTACAAGGAGCTTCAGAGAGAAATCGCCGAATTCGATACGCAGTACCCTATCGGTGGCGAGTCCCTGGGCAAGTTCGTCGAGTCTCGTACGGCTATGCAGTCCAAGGGGCAGCGTGCCAAGTCTCCATACACCCTAACCGTCGTCGAACAAGTGCAAATCTGTGTGACACGTGGTTTCCAGCGTTTGAAGGGCGACTACAGTTTGACTATCTCCGCCTTGATTGGAAACACTATCATGGCATTGATTATCGGTTCGGTTTTCTTCCAGATGCCTGACGACGTGACCAGTTTCTACTCTCGTGGTGCTCTTCTCTTCTTCTCTGTCCTGCTCAACTCTTTCTCCAGTGCCCTGGAGATCCTGACTCTTTACGCGCAACGTCCTATTGTCGAAAAGCAAGCTCGCTACGCCATGTATCATCCGTTTGCCGAAGCGATCTCTTCAATGCTGTGTGACATGCCGTACAAGATTCTCAACGCCATCACTTTCAATATCACACTCTACTTCATGACTGGTCTTCGCCAAACCCCCAGCGCCTTCTTCACCTTCCTACTCTTCTCTTTCATGACCACGATGACCATGTCCATGATTTTCCGTACCATCGCGTCTTACTCCCGCACTCTGTCTCAGGCTTTGGTGCCTGCCGCCATCCTGATCCTCGGTCTGATTATCTACACTGGTTTCACCATCCCAACCCGCAACATGCTTGGTTGGTCTCGCTGGATGAACTACATTGACCCTATTGCTTATGGCTTCGAGACTTTGATTGTCAACGAGTTCCATGGTCGCAACTTCACCTGTCCAGAGAAGTCGTTTATCCCGGCGGGACCCTCCTACACGGATGTCGGGGCTTTCAGCAAGATCTGCTCGCAGAAAGGAGCCGTGGCCGGCCAAAACTTTATCAGAGGCGAGGACTACTACACTCAAAGCTTCCAGTACTCCAACAGTCACAGGTGGAGGAACCTGGGAATCATGATTGGATTCACGGTCTTCTTCATGGGCGTCTACCTTGTCGGTACCGAGTACATTTCCGAGGCAAAGTCCAAGGGCGAGGTTCTGCTTTTCCGTCGCGGCTACGCCCCTAAGCACTCTAGCAACTCCGAGGATGACATCGAGCAGACTCAAGCCGTGTCCGCTGCTGAGAAGAAGGACGGCGCTAGCTCCGATGGCGAACAAACCACCGCTGCCGCAATCCAGAGACAAACTGCTATTTTCCAATGGCAAGATGTGTGTTACGATATCAACATCAAGAAAGAGGAGCGTCGCATTCTTGACCACGTTGACGGCTGGGTTAAGCCTGGGACCTGTACTGCTCTTATGGGTGTTTCTGGAGCTGGTAAAACCACTCTTCTAGATGTCCTTGCCACGCGCGTGACAATGGGTGTTGTATCCGGTGAAATGTTGGTTGATGGTCGCCCTCGCGATCAGTCTTTCCAGCGCAAGACTGGCTACGTCCAGCAACAGGATCTCCATCTCCACACTACCACCGTGCGTGAGGCTCTCCGCTTTAGTGCTGTTCTCCGTCAACCTCGTCACGTTCCTCGCCAGGAGAAACTCGACTATGTCGAGGAAGTGATTAAGCTTCTTGGAATGGAACACTATGCGGATGCTATTGTCGGTGTTCCCGGCGAAGGTCTCAATGTTGAACAGCGTAAGCGTCTTACTATTGGTGTTGAGCTGGCTGCCAAGCCGCAACTGCTCCTGTTCCTAGACGAGCCCACTTCCGGTCTTGACAGTCAGACATCTTGGTCTATCTTGGATCTCATTGATACCTTGACTAAGCACGGCCAGGCTATCCTCTGCACTATTCACCAGCCTTCTGCCATGCTCTTCCAGCGATTTGATCGTCTCCTATTCCTCGCCAAGGGAGGTAAGACCGTCTATTTCGGAGATATCGGTGAGCAGTCTTCTACGCTTTCCAGCTACTTTGAACGAAATGGTGCGCCCAAGCTGTCTCCCGAGGCCAATCCGGCTGAGTGGATGCTGGAGGTTATTGGAGCTGCACCCGGAACCCACAGTGAGATCGACTGGCCTGCCGTGTGGCGCGATAGCCCTGAGCGCCAGGCAGTTCACAACCACCTCGCTGAGCTCAAGTCCAACCTTTCTCTCAAGCCCGTTGCCACAAACGACAACGACCCAACTGGCTTCAACGAATTCGCTGCACCGTTCAGCGTCCAACTCTGGGAGTGTCTCGTCCGTGTCTTTAGCCAGTACTGGCGAACCCCCGTCTATATCTACTCCAAGATTGCGCTCTGCACCTTGACGGCGCTGTACGTCGGTTTCTCTTTCTTCCACGCCCACAACAGTATGCAAGGTCTCCAGAACCAGATGTTCAGTGTCTTCATGTTGATGACAGTCTTCGGAAACTTGGTGCAACAAATTATGCCGCACTTTGTCACCCAGCGCTCCCTCTACGAAGTCCGTGAACGCCCCTCAAAATCATACTCTTGGCAAGCCTTTATGGCCGCAAATATCACCGTTGAACTTCCCTGGAACGCCCTCATGTCCGTCCTCATCTTCCTCTGCTGGTACTACCCCATCGGACTCGAACGCAACACCAGTTCTGAGGACCTCCACGAGCGCGGCGCCTTGATGTGGCTCCTCATCCTGACCTTCATGCTCTTCACCTGCACTTTCGCCCACATGATGATTGCCGGCATTGAGCTCGCGGAAACTGGTGGCAATCTCGCTAACCTGCTCTTCTCCCTTTGCCTGATCTTCTGTGGTGTCCTCGCGACCCCCCAGACAATGCCCCGCTTCTGGATCTTTATGTACCGCGTCTCGCCATTCACCTACCTAGTCTCTGCAATGCTGTCGACCGGCACATCTGGTGCCAAAGTCATCTGCGAGGACATTGAGTTGCTTCACTTCGAGCCCACGGCAGGCAAGACCTGCGGCGAATACATGCACGATTTCATCGTCGGGACATCTAACGCTGTCGGCCGTGGTGGTTACCTCGTGGATGCCAACGCCACTAGCGACTGCTCTTTCTGCACCGTTGACAGCACCGACACTTTCCTCCTGGGCGTGAGCAGTTCCTACAGCGACGCGTGGCGCAACTTCGGCCTCATGTGGGTGTATATCCTCTTCAATATCGCTGCCGCTGTTGGTATCTACTGGCTTGCTCGTGTGCCCAAGGGTACACGCAGCAAGAAGACTAAGACTGCTTGATTGATACACACCCTCCTTTCTTTTCTTTTTTTACTCTCTCTTTCTTCTCCGCTCAATTGAACAGGCTTCCGAGCGCTACTGTTTCTTCCTCCAAAAGACTGCATTAGACCGCCATCTCTAATCCCTCCATTTCTCTTGTTGCACACTTTTTTTTTCTGTTTATATATTACATTTGGTCTTGCAGATGGGGATGTCCTATCTAATAAATATACTAGCATAGAGCCTCTTGTTCAATTACATACTGGTCATTTCTAATTCAAGTATCTCGTGCATATCGAAGTAGTTTAGACGGTAAATTCCCTAAGATTCTCACTCAATAAAGAGACCATCATATTTGGAGGAAAAATTTAGAGATACAAGCTATGACAGTGATGATACACTTATAACATTAATCGTTATATGCGTCCGCAAACCGCAAAGCACAGAAGCAAGAGAAAAAAAATATATTAAACAAAAACTAGAAAAGCAACCCCTTAGGGAGTGAAAAGCAAAAACATATAAATCCGAGAGACCAAATCTCACCACGTAAAAGCCTCCTCAACAAAATCAACCACAGCCCCCTTCCCAATCCTATCTCTAGCCGCAGACCTAACCTCATCTGCAAAAGCCCCAGGCCCACAAACACTAACAAGCGTCGCACCCGTCCTGCCGGGCAAGATCTCATCAAGAACAACATCAGGCCTGCATCGACCGGAATGCATAAGCACCGTCGCAGAAGGACTAACGATATCTGCGGCGCGACGCGGCTTCGAGACGAAAAGTTTAACAACGAGGATATCCCGTCGATTGGGCAGTCGCAGGATCTGGTCCATGTAGCTGCTTACCCAGGAGAGGTGGTCTGTAGAGCGGACGGACCATATCAGGTATACCTTTCGCGTTGCGGCGGTGTTCTGTGCGGCTTGTGTGACGAGTGCGTGGGTTTGGAGGAGGTGGTGGGTTATTCCTGCGCCGGCGCTGAAGAGGACTGTCGTGCCGTAACTGGAGGGGTTTGTTGGATTCGAGCCGTAGGGACCTTCGATGAAGCCTGATAGGGTGAGGGATTGTGAGGGGGATGCGTTTGCGAGGTTGTAGAGGCGGCGGGTCATGCCCTTTTGGGCACCTATTATGAGGGAGACTTGGGTTGTCGGCTTTGTTGGTTTGGCAGGGAGATCGGATTGTTTTTCTATGTCGATGTATGGGCCCTTCGTTGAGGGTTGGGTTGAGTTGGGGAGGAGTGTTGCTGTGTTGCTTGTGCTGGGTTCAGCCCAGGCTATCGAGAAAGGGTGAGACATCCACCAGGATATGCTGGGGATGTAGGCGAAGACGTGACAGCCTGGTTCGATTTGGACGAGCTTTGGGAGGTGGAAGGTTACGCGGCAGGCTTCGCCTGGGAGGGCTTGGACGACCATTGTTGTTGTGCCAGACATTGAGAAGTTGAGGTGGATGAGACGGAAGAGGCGTGCGAGTCTGTCGCCTATCCAGATTGCGGCGATCGTTCGCGCCCAGCTTTGCTGTGGGAGATTATCGATCTGTAGGTGCAGGTATACGCCGAGGAAGGCGAGAACGGCGGCGAGCTGGTGCAGGTGTAGGAAGGTCTCGTAGAAGGCGTGGCGGATGGGTGAGGGGGAGTGCAGGCTAAGGAAAACCATTGCGGCCGTGCCTACCAGGCCCCAGGTGAAGAAGGGGGTTTCGCGTAGACGGGCTAACATGCGAGTGAAGTCTTCCTCGTCAACGGCGTTGACAGCCCATGCGATTGTGTGTACGACTGATTCGATAACGACGATGCGGCCCAGCCAGCGGTGGAGGAGGTTGTATGTGTCGAAGCTGATGTGGAGGAGAGGGATCAAAGGGTTGTTTCGGCTAGCGAGGAGGAAGAGCGGGATCATGTTGAGGACAGCCAGCGTCCCAGATCGGCCGCGCAGCTCGGCCACTAGGGCTGCCTTGTGGTTGACACTATAGTCCAGGTAGACGCAGTATGTGACCTGGCTGGCGAAGTATAGTGCGACCAAGATAGTCTGCAGTCGAGAGGGCAAGGTGCCGACATTGACAGCGGAAGAGAGTTGTAATTCTCGGTTGTGTCTCTTCTTTCCTAATGGGGCGTATAGGATGTGCTTCTTGAGGTTTGACCACCAGGATGATTGTTCCTGGGCCCAGAAGGTCTGCTGGCGCTTGTTTGCACCAGATGCGGTAATTTGGCGTAGATAGGCATGGCTGATCTGGGCTATTCGGCCACAGAACAATGCGAATGCCACCGCGCTCAGGGAAACATAGATGATCCGAGTGATGATCACATCGCGAGGTACGTCCACGCCACCCAATCCCCTTGAGTACTCATATATGTATGTGGCGTTTGACCCATACCCTGGTGTCGCGGTATGTGGTTGAGTTGCCATTGAAGAGGCGCAGATATTGAAAAAGGAAAGATGTCGTCTGGGCAGAACACATGCAAGGTTGTGCTTTGGATGTTGCACAACCCCTTAGTCGAGATGTCAATCTGGATTATGTTTCAAGCCTAATAGCTCAGGTCAAAATATGAAGATTCAGATATCGACTGGATGTGGATGTTTGCGAGGATTCGAAATCGAAGATGGTAGATCGGATGAAATAGATCATAGACAGGGTTGGCGAAAGTGAGTCGATATAGTAGAGACCCTCTTTGATTGTATCAGACAAAGACAATGTGTAATAATGGGAACATTGTGGCTGAGGTTGACAATGAGGATTGTTTCAATGTGAATGTCCAGGTTGAAGTCAACAAAGCAACCAAAATAACCAGATCCTTTTGGAATTCTAGAGAAATTAGCGCGTCACCAAGAATCGAAAATAGAGAGCTCACTTTTTGGCAAGGTATCTGGAATGCAAGGGAGGGCACGTTTTGTCAAAAATGAGGGACAATGTCAAGGCCAGGATATATAGAGCCAAGGATATGTTTATAAAGCGAATGTATTCAATCGAAACCAGCCGACTGCTTTAAAGCCAAGAGAATGGAAGAGATGGAAAAAAGAAAGATCGGCCTGAAGACGGAGTTTTGAAGGAGAAAAGTAAGCATAGACATATCATGTTTCTCGAAATCGCCCCCTATGGTTTGATGAGAAAGTGTTCAAGGCGTTTAAATGGCCGAGAACCTATCAAAGTGACTCCTCTAGTGACACTAAGTGACGCCGGTGTTTTCAAGTAGACTAGTGGCCCCTTTCGACAGAAGTGGTGATTTGCTGATGATCCTTGCAGATCCTAGTTCGACTCTGGGCGTGACGCTTTTGGATGAGAATCTCGGAGCTCTGAAACATCATTAATTGACTTGTTAATTTTTCCGGTAGACATCCGACGAACAACCGACATGTGAAGTCTTTGATGGTCAGACATTGGCTTTGTTGGAAGTTTCAGGTTGGAACTGCGCTTTGACCACCTGACTATAAAAGTACTAAAAAGGACCAAAATACAACGGAGGACTCCGTACGGAGTACTAAAAGAGATATCAACCATTTCTTGGAGATTATACGGAGTATATCGTAGTTATATATATGCAATTTATTCAAAATCATATACTATGTACTATGGTCATTCAACCTTTATCGTCCCATCCATCCACCATCAACTGTGAGGACTTCACCAGACACATAATTGCTCGCCCGACTAGCTAGATACACCACGGCACCCTTGAAATCATCAGGGTTTCCCCATCGACCAGCAGGAATGCGTGCCATAATACCAGCATTGCGAGCAGCATCATTGATAAGGGCGGTGTTCATATCAGTAGCAATATAACCAGGTGCAATCGCGTTAACATTGATTCCCTTGGCGATCCAGTCATTCGAGAGCGCTTTGGTCAACTGCCCAATGCCACCCTTGGATGCCGCATATGCGGGGACCGTAATTCCACCTTGGAACGTGAGCAGAGATGCAACATTAATGATGGAGCCCCGACGACCCTGTGGGAATTCAGAAGCATCGCGAGCCAGTAGATACGCGGCAAATTCTCGGCACATAATGAACACCGACGAAAGGTTGACTTCCAAAACCTATAAATTATATCCACCGGTAAGTTCATAGTGTTTCAATTATATTAGGGTCTCATATGTGGGCTCACCTCGTCCCAGTCTTCATCCGGGAATTGTTCCGCCGGGTGTCTCCGTTGAATCCCTGCACAGTTCACCAGAATCTCAGGCTTTAGGCCTTGGCTGGTCAATGCGGGAATGATGCCTTTGACAGCTTTCCGGTCTCCGAGTTCGGCAACGTGGATCCATGCCTTACGTCCCAGGCGATTAATGATCTCATCCTTGGTTGATGTATTGGTATCGTCTCTCTATTAAGATGTCAGCACGTGCTCTCCAACTCTTTCCGGCTGACTCACCTGAATCAAGATAATATCAGCACCGGCCTCAGCCAGTGCAAAAGCCATGGCTTGGCCAATGCCTCGTGTTCCACCGGTAACGATGGCGGTTTTCCCATTTAGGGAGAAAAGGGACATTACATCTGTCATTGTGAAGGTAAATATGGATATGAGGCAAGAATCTTTCTTTGAAAAGGAATAAAAAAGAAAAAAAAAGGAATTACTTGAACAAAAGGGAGGAGCCCCCCAAATAACCAAAAGCGACCAAAAATGGAGAACGCGGGGGTTTCTCCGATCGGGTAATACCTATAGCCGATGTCATTAGCCGTCGGCAATTGAGTTCTTTTCCTTTACATTTAAATATGAAGCTATTAGATAGCGATGAAGAATTAAGTCACTAATATTTTAGTATAAGTGTTCAAGTTATTCTAATATCATCCAATTTTCAAAAGAAAGAAAATATAGTCCCCTTTATAGAGGCAAAAAGCAGGTAAAAATCAATTTAACGTTGGCGCATCAACCCCGTTCCCCCACACAAGAGAGCATGGACGCGATGAGTAAGGGTCTGAGGACTTCCTTGTGGGGAACTTCGACTTTGATTTTGTACTTTTCAATGTTTTTATAGCCATGGATGAAGAATCAGAAGCTTCACGACGCGATATCGCTAAACGCGTGTCTCGAGCTTGCTTGCATTGCAGACAGCGCAAGTCTCGATGTGATCTGTAAGTCTCTCTCTCTCCTTTCTTCACTTTCCCCGGATCTGCAGTATACTTGGTTCCGCGCTGATCGCATGCAGAGACTCCAACGGCAACCCAGGCAAACCACCATGTCAACGCTGCGTACGCGAAAACCGCGAATGCATACTAGGTGGCTCAAATCGTGGAGGTCGTCGAATCCGAAAGAACAAAATCAAGAACTTTACACCTGCCAATCACTCGCCAAGCAAGGATTCGGAAGCATCAAGCCCAACCAACTCTGAAAACCATAGAGTGCAATCGGCATCCTATCCTGGGCCAGTAGTCTTCTTGCCACCTAACCCACCAGCACCAGCCTCGACATCTGTCGAGGAAGATGATACATCCATATCATCTGTTCCGCGTAATCCATCAGACGCTTGGCAATGCTTGACCGGCATCGCCACAGAAGGCACGGGGACAACTCCCGTGCCCCGCAACGACCATGTTCGGTCGGAACCGACGCCATTCCCAGTGTACAACAGCCTGCGCAACGGCGTTGTCCCAGACTTCAGCAGCCCAACCACTGGCATCAAATCATATAGAATCGTTCAATCGTGCGCTTTAGACCCAGAAACGGTATGGCAACTGATCTCCCGCTATGCGGAGAACTTCCATCAATATCTTCCCCTCGTGCCGCGGAAGTATTTTACGCGCACCGCCCTAGACATCTTCGCCACGAATGAGAAGCACTTGCTCACGGCGGTCTTGACAATCGCCTCCAAGGACTTGGTTGACCAGCCCGAGATCCACGAGTACTGCTCGAAATACATGCATGAGCTGATTTCTGGCATTGCCGCGGGCGCGGAGTGTGATGTTGAAGCGGTCGAAGCGCTTTTATTACTTGCCGAGTGGGAGCCGCAGGGATTGCGGCCTCGGATTGAGCGCGTTGGGCGCGGAGAAGAAGACCGCGCAGCGTGGATGCATGTCGGGCTTGCGTTACGCTCGGGGTATTTCATTGGCATGGATCGCACTTCTTTCCGTGGGGATCCTTATGGTGATCAAGAGAGTGAGGCTCGTCGCCGGCTGGCATGGGCGAGCTGTTATGTCTCAGATCGATTGATTTCTGTGCGCATTGGACGTGCTTTCTGGTCTCGTGGGCCGGGGCCCATGACTGGTCTTGTCAGCCAGGATTTTCCGTCGCTACAGCCGGTTAATGAGGGCGAGGAGGACTACGCGAAGATCTTTCAGGCTATGCTAGATCTTACGCAGCTGTACGGGAATGTTCATGAGGTTTTGTATTCGGGGATGCGTACTAGTAACCAGATGATGCTGATGGGTGACTACGTTAAATATGTGGATGACTTCCGTCTGGCGATTCTGCGATGGAAGTCACTTTGGGGGTCGTTGGACTGTAAGTTGGCCTCTGCTCGATTACATGAGCTCCTAATTATGTTGTAGTTCTAACATATCTATAGGCTCACCACCTATGCGAGCAACACTGCAGTTGTCATACGAGTACTTGCGTCTGTATACAACTGCTTTCGCGTTCCAAGCTGCGATCTCACAGTCGCTAGCCAAACCGAAAACCGACCTACAAGGCCAGCGAGAGCATCTACGATCGACATTCAAGAATGTCGCTTCGATGCAAGATTCGCGGTTTATTTATGAATCTGTTGATGCGGCCAAGTCATACTTGACAATCCTTGTGGATCTAGTCGATCCTGAGAAGCATCTCCATTTCATGCCTCTCCGCTTCTACTTGTAAGTTTCCTTTCGTTGTACTATGTCGAGGCAAACAGCTCATGCGATTTAGGTATGGCATCTACTCTGCCGTTTTCCTCTACAAGGTAATATTCCTGTTGAATTCCTCCTTTCCTGCATATCATCTGACCGATACATAGGCTCGTTCCTTCGGGATGATGGTCCCGTCAGAAGAAGCAAAAGTCCAAGGCCTTGTCGGTAGAACCACCGAAGTACTCAAACAAGCAAGTGCCGGTGCCGACGACGTTGGGGCGCGATACGCTCGCCTTCTAGAACTTCTGTGGAAGCCCAAATCGACCTCATCTGCAGAGACACAGCAAAACAGTGACTTCTCACTGCAAACAGCTCTCTCGAACCCAAACCCGGTCGCAGACCCGGGATACATGCAGTTCAGCCCTGCCAATGACTTCTCCTGGCTAGATTTAGAGGCCGTGGGCGATTATGTATCTGGGGACCAGATTTCAAATGGCTTGCTGGGATTAGATGCGTTCCAGAATGGATCCGATATGTACCAATCTGGAGAGCCACGGTCGCAGTCCTGGCAGCCATCTGCTTGGATGGGAGATATGAGCAGCAACCTTCTCTTTTAAATAGGAAGGGATTCATGTGATACGTGTGCTACCCCCACACTACAAGACGGCAAATGATGCGGGGTGGCTATGCGGGGGGGCATCGGAGATGTCTCCGAGGGGTTACCGAGGACAAGTTCCTTCGGCTTTGCCAGATCAAACTTGGAGATTTGAGAGTCAGCTTCTGCACTTGATCGTTGCATATTATCACACATCAACCCTGTCGCATCATGTCACTTAACGAAATCCAGGGCCGACTTGCGCTTATCACCGGTGCATCAGGAGGGTAAGCTCTTGCCCAAAGTCATTCATGTTACCCCAAAATTGAGAATGAAGACTGACAACCAATTTGTAGAATCGGAGCTGCCTGTGCACACCAGCTTGCCCAACATGGAGTGCATCTCGCCCTAACATACGCGACCAACCTGACCGCAATGAACGCACTGGTAACCGATCTACAGAGCAAATACGCTAATAACAAGCTCCGCATCTCAATCCATAAAGTGGATGTCGGCTCCGCTGACGACATCGAGGCGATGTTTCAGCAGATCGACAAGGAGCATGGTCACCGACCTGATATCCTGATCTCGAACGCTGGATACGGGAAGCGATTTCCGCAAATCTGGGACTGCTCTCTCGAAGAGTTCGATTATACTATAAACGTCAACCTGCGTGCATCATTCATTCTCGTTAAGGGGGTGGTCGAGCGCATGAAGAGCCAGAATTGGGGACGTATTGTGTTTATGTCCTCGATTGCTGCTCAAGGCGGAGGAATCAATGGATGTCGTATGTAATTCATTCTCTTTCCGGGGAATATCAAACTGACCATCTCTTTTCAGATTACGCTGCCTCTAAGGGTGGTCTGACCGGAATGATGAAGAACCTTTCTACCCGACTGGCTGAATTCAATATCAGTGTTAACGATGTGGCACCCGCCATGATTGGCGACACAGGTATGATCCCTAACGCTGCGGCTATCCCTGAGGTAGCGGCTGGTATTCCCCTCGGTCGCCTCGGGACCCCCGAGGAAACAGCCAATGTTGTGACTATGCTTGTGAAAACAGGATACATGACGGGCCAGAGCCTTTTGTTGGCTGGAGGGTTGAAATGAGCAACCCGGCAACCTTGGAATATTAGGAAGAATAGTATAAGAAGTGATTGGCCTTTTGCGCCTACAATTTATTATCATGTTATTTCAATCTTGTAGATTCAATTTCATAAATCCTCATCCCCATATATATATCCATCCTTTTGCTCTATTGTCACAATCTGGGTATTTTCAAACACAATTCATCATCATCACCGTCGTCGCTATCGCCACATTCACAGAGAACCACTAGAGCGTCGTCGACTCTCAATAATAACCTTCACAACAGGGTTCCCCTCCTCGTCAACTCCATTTCCAGCAAGTGTGAACGCCCGCTCACCCTCCTCCAGCGTGAGTCTATGCGTAACAACCTTCTCCTCAACACTCTTCAACTTGCCACTCGCCAGCAGCGCAATAGCAGCAGGGTAAGCATGTCCATCATAACGGAACACACCAATGATATCCACCTCGCGCAGCGCCGCCGCACCAACAGGCAGCGTCTGGATAGGATTTCCCATCCCAATCTGCACGAGCACACCACCAGGCGCACTAGCATAGATACCAGCCTGCACACAAGCCGGCACACCGGTACAGTCATAAACACGACTGAATCCGGGAACAGTAAGTCCATCCTTGGCACCCACAGCCTCAATCAACGTAGCCGCAACCTTCTGCGCGTTCTCCAGCGCATACGCGGTCTGCTCTGCATGAGGCGCATCCTTCGCAGGAGGAGGAGTATCCGCCCTAGGAATAAGAGCAGTCTTAAGACCAATCCCCATCTCCTCAGCAATCTTCAGTCTCCGCGCATCAATATCAGCAACGACAATCGCCGAGAAATTCTCACTAGCAGCCAACGCCCCAGCAAGCAGGAGACCAATTGCACCAGCGCCGAAGACCAGCGCAGCTGTCTCCTCCCCAGCAGCGCGGTTCTGCGCAACTTCCTCCTTGCTAGGCGGGTGTGAGCGTCGCACAGCATGCAGCGTGACAGCGAGCGGCTCGACGAGTGCACCTCCTGCATCAGACACGCTGTCGGGGAGTGCATGGCACATGTCAGCAGGGTGGTTTGTGCGCTCCATCAGCGTGCCGTCGAGGTGGGGGAAGCTCTTTGCTGAGCTGCGGAATTGCATGGCTTTGCAGATATTGTAGCGGCCTTGTTTGCAGAGTGCGCAGGTGCGACATGGGAGACCGACTTCCAGAGCGACGCGGTCGCCCACTTTGAGTGCCGAGACGGAGCTGCCGGTGGCTGTTACTGTGCCGGCGGATTCATGGCCTAAACACATTGGTGACCGCACGACGAAGTCGCCATTGCGCCCGTGGCTGTAGTAGTGGAGGTCTGAGCCGCAGATTCCTGTTGCCCGGATGGCGACTTGGACTTCTGTTGTAGATGGTGTGGGGAGGGTGCGTTGTTCCTAGTTGGGTTAGAATCTGGTTGTGTATATAGTACGGGGTTTACTTACCAGGCGGAGGTCTTTGGCGCCGTGGAGAACGAGCGCGTTAGTTGTATCCATGATGTGTGTAGTATAGGGAATAGTGAGAGAACAGAAGGATTGAACTACAACATAAGTAGGAAACGAAATCCGTCCTCTGACGGCATTTCAACTCGGCCCGTTGATGCCCCTCTAAAGACAAAACAACTCCACTTTGTCGTCGGTTATTGGACAAAAGGGGAGATTTCAATACCCGACGTGGGGGTGAATTCAATGTTTTTGTAGTATTTTGAAGGGTAAATGGTCAAGTTAGGAATTTACAAGTTGAATGAAGCATAACTTAATAAAAGATAAATGTAGAAATGGGATTCGTAGTAGAAATATATACAGGTTGACCTTACACAGTGATCTATATTCTATATCTATATTCCGGACATACAAGACACCTTCGGAGGAGCCCCCGTCACGACATGGGGGTACGATAGCGGGGAGCTCGGAATCTCCAATTCTTTTGATTTCCTAGGATCTTGTTTCTGCTTTCTCTTCATTCTCAAGTCTTTGAATTGCTTTCCCTTCTCTTGTGATATAGAAAGAACATTGCAAACGTGAGAGTAACCCCGCTGACATCATTTGCCGCATCTAACATTTGCAGAAACGAAATGGCACAATCAGCTCTCCTTATTGGAGAAATTACACACGCGCGTAAGGAGTGGGAGAGCATCTCATCTCTTCTGACATTAAAGGTAAGTAATTTCTATCGCGCGACCGAATCCCGCTAAAGCAGACCAGGAATTCCCTAGCGGAACCAGAGAAGAGTTTATTGCAAACTGCAAGGCTGGCAAATATGACGATGTAGTCGCGCTATACCGGTCCAATAACTCCACTAAGGTAGACATCGTTACCCCTCCACTTCGAGGAATCTTACTTATAGCGCATAGTATACCGGACCGTTCAATGCAGAGATGCTCGCAGTTCTGCCTAAATCTCTAAAGTACATCTGTCACAACGGCGCGGGATACGACAACATTGACATCGCCGCCTGCACAGAGAGAAACATAGCTGTGTCCAGCACCCCAGTCGCTGTCAACGATGCAACAGCCGATGTGGGCATTTTCCTGATGATCGGCGCTCTGCGCCAGGCTCACGTGCCTATCACTGCTCTCCGGGAAGGAAAGTGGCAAGGCCCGATTACCGCAGGAGGAAAGGAGTACAGAACATCCCTGGGCCACGATCCTAAGGGCAAGGTCCTCGGAATTCTGGGCATGGGAGGCATCGGACGGGTATGTCACAGAAGCGGGCAGTACACCATCTGACCTCAACTAACCATGAGTAGGAGATGGCAATCCGCGCCAAGGCTTTCGGAATGAAGATCCAGTACCACAACCGGACCCGTCTATCAGCCGACCTAGAAGTCGGTGCGACATACGTCTCATTTGACGAGCTGCTCGCCAATGCCGACGTGCTCAGCTTGAACTTGGGGTTGAACGCATCCACGCGCCATATAATTGGTGCGACCGAGTTCACTAAGATGAAGGATGGTGTGGTAATTGTTAATACGGCACGTGGTGCACTGATTGATGAGAAGGCATTGGTCGCGGCACTTGACTCTGGCAAGGTATGTAATGCTGCACGTTAAACTTAGATATACGGACACTTCCGGCTGACTGGTGATTGTTCTATAGGTGCGCTCTGCTGGTTTGGATGTGTATGAGTGCGAGCCGCAAATTGAGCCCGGTCTTGTTAACAACCCCAATGTTATGTTGACGCCGCATATTGGTACTGCAACTTATGAGACTCAGAAAGAGATGGAGATTCTAGTGTTGGATAACCTGCGGTTGGCTGTTGAGAAGGGTGAGCTTATTACACAGGTGCCAGAGCAGAAGAAATAGATATCGATATATAAAGAATAGAATTTGTTGCGTTTAATCAAGGGATCAAAGATCATCTTCAAGGGCACCTTAGTTGATTGAAACAGTTGAAACCACATTGACACCTGAGATGTGGGGCAGAAATATCATTACTAAGGTCTGACATAACTGAAAGGCGGGAGCCCACCTAAAATGGCTAGCGTTAGGGCTCGCTTAGGGCCAGAGCGCCAAGAGCGAAAAAAACCGCACCAAAGCTAGTGGCTCAAGCGAGCGCCGGACGACGACGAAAAGCGACAACAACTCATCACCGAGGACCATCACACCCCCTCGCCAACTCCTTCAAGATGGTGAGTGCTGCATGCCCCTGTCATCGATAATGATCTTTCCGAATCCCGTTCTCTACGAAATGCCCGTGTGATACACATTCAATATCCGATCGCCGGGTCGACTTTCGCAACATCACCAACATCCAACGACGATCCCATTGCTAACGAGCGATGCTTTTCACAGGTCCGTTACGCCGCCCAGGAGATCTCGCAGGAGAAGAGCGCCCGCGCGTGCGGCTCTTACCTTCGTGTCAGCTTCAAGAACACCCGTGAGACTGCTCAGGCCGTCAACGGAATGAAGCTGTCCAAGGCTCTCACTTTCCTCGAGAACGTCACCACCAAGACCATGGCCGTTCCCATGCGCCGCTACGCTGGCTCCACCGGTCGCACCGCTCAGGGTGAGTCGCCCTTTTTTCTTTTTTTTCTTGGAGCAAATTCCGGATCGGTCGGATTGCAGTTTTTGAATGGATTGTGGGGAGGATGAACAGCATCGCCAATTATACGACAGCCACTGGGATATGCAATGGAATGATGAGGAAAACATGAATTGAATGAGAGGATGGATTTCTTGGCTTATTGGCGGTGCTGTGGATCTACGATTTGGAAGAAAATTCGTTACAGGAGTCGAACATCGACTGACAATTTTTGGTTTATAGGCAAGCAGTTCGGTGTCTCCAAGGCCCGCTGGCCCGTCAAGTCCGCTGAGCACATCATCGATTTGCTCAAGAACGCTGAGGCCAATGCCGATGGCAAGGGTCTCGATACCGCCAACTTGATCATCAAGCGCATCCAGGTCAACCAGGCTCCCAAGGGTCGCCGCCGCACTTACCGTGCTCACGGTCGTGTACGTTTTTTCTCTAAGATTTATGGTTGAGTCTGTAACGAGAAATGCTGACCTTTTTTTTTCAGATCAACCCCTACATGACCAACCCCTGCCACATCGAGCTCATCCTCACCGAGGCCACTGAGCAGGTCCAGAAGGCCGCCACCGACAAGCAGGTTCGTCTCTCTTCCCGCCAGCGTGGTACCCAGATCCGCCGTGCTCTCATTGAGGCATAAACGGATTGCCATAAGAAGGTGTGAGGGGACGTGTGGTTACGCAATATGAAAAGATTTTTGCGGTGGACGGGAAGGATCGGAGTTCTTTGCATCAGCTGTGTATGTTGGAACGGAATCGATACCGGATCATACAAGATTTTAAGGTCATGGCGCCAACACTCGGAGGAGAACCCAATAAAAAGTTTAAACGATATGGCCCAGGGTGATGGGAATAGGATTCTGTACTTCCCGATCCAATCATGATACAAACGTGGTTCTTTCTCCATGACTCCAAGTGTTTTCTCTTTTAATAGAGAGTTCGATTTCTTGTCTAGCTGCATATCCACGAGGCTCCGATCCTTCGGTCATATAATATGATCTCATTTTCTCTGTTTTAATATGCATCATTGTAGTGACTTGATTTGATATCAAGGTTGTATGGGCTAGCTTGCACTTTATATGGGGATAATCTAAGCTTGGCAATGGACAACTGAATCCTGAAATCCTGCCTATACTACTTCCGGACCCCGACGTTATCTAGGAACTTCGTAGAGCCAAGGGAAGCATTCACCTATAACCAGGGATCTACGTGCGGGGGTATAAGTAGCCCAGGACAGAACATACTTTCGAGATTCCTTTCCAATATACTTCCTCTCTCTATATATATATACTTACCCGATCAATCCAAAATGACCAACCTCTCAGACTACCGCCTCCTCTGCTTCGACGTCTATGGCACTCTAATAGACTGGGAAAGCGGCATTATCGCTGCACTAGCACCAATCCTCTCGAAAAGCACCACCCAATTTACCCGCGAGCACCTCCTAACAGTCTACCATGACTTGGAAAGCGCCCAACAAATCGCAACCCCGGACCTTCCATACTCAGACCTACTATCAGCCATTCACCCCACTCTTGCCGAACGTCTAGGCCTCAATCCACCAACCGACGAGGAAAGCCGCCAATTCGGCAACTCCGTGGGAACCTGGCCAGCCTTCCCAGACACTGTCGACGCCCTGCGCAGACTATCAAAGCACTACAAACTGGTGGTGCTATCAAACGTGGACCGGGCTTCATTCGCCAAGTCCAATGCTGGTAGCTTGCAGGGCGTGCCGTTTGATATGATTCTTACCGCGCAGGATATTGGCAGTTATAAGCCTGATCCACGGAACTTTGAGTATATGCTGAAGGCTGTGAAGCGTGAGTTTGGGGTTGAGCCTGGACAGGTTCTGCAGACGGCGCAGAGCCAGTTCCATGATCATCAACCTGCAAAGAAGGTTGGCATTAAGTCAGTTTGGATTGAGAGGCCTGGGGCTTTGATGGGGAATCGTGGCGATCCGATCTTTGATTGGCGATTTGAGACTTTGGGAGACATGGCCAATGCTGTTGAAGCAGAATAGAGAGAATCCTCAATATCAAGTACCTGGTACTTCCAAATATATGTTGAATGCACCTTGAAATTAGGTACTTTCTACCCGTAGTATGAGTCAGGAATCAAAACATCCCTGAGAGTTGCCTGGAGCCTGGATGACCTCGGCTTGGCAATGCAGAACACCTGGCTGCGTGCGTGGAATGTGGGCTTTGACCGCTGGGGAGATTGTGACTTTATATATCTTTTCTTTCTTGTTTTCTCCCCTTAGGGTGTTTAAGTTCTAGGCCGTTGGCCCCCGAAATATTCTTTGACAATTTGAACTTTTCTTTTACCCTACTTCCCCTGAATACATAACAGACTGTTTGCCATGAAGCGCTTTTTAGGATCTCTGAGCAGGCGCTCAAGTGAGTGTCTTCCTGTCTCCACGTCTCCCCGCAATTTGCTGACTTGTGAACATTTAGGCTCCAGCGACAGTTTTGAACACCGCGACGACTCACCAGAAGCCATTGTCCTGAGAGAATTGGTTGGTACTGATTTTTAAAGAGATTGAATAAGACACGCTGACATCTTCCTCAGACTGCCTTCTGCGAGTCGAATACAAATGCGAATGCCCCCCCGCGTGACGCGGTATGTACCACGATGATAGGACCCCCTTTGGCAAAACTGACAATCGCATTTGCACCATAGCAAGGAACCGAGTTTGTCCACCTCCCCAAAATCGTCGAAGCCGCTGAGTCGAGCCCCAATGCTGCCAAGCAAGCGGCTCTACGAATTCGCAAGTATCTCGCAGATCCCGCCAGCACCCCGAGCCCGACACAGTACAATGCGATCATGCTCATGCGCATCCTGGTGGACAACCCGGGACACACCTTCACCCGCAACTTCGATGCCAAATTTGTGACGGTTATCAAAGAATTGCTGCGCACAGGACGCGACTTCCACGTACAGAACTATCTCCGTCAGTATCTGGGTCACCTCGACCAACAGCGCCCATGGGATGAAGACCTCAAACTGCTGCTGCAGATGTGGGCGAAGGAGAAGATGAAATCCCAACACGGTTTGGTGAGAAATGATATCTTTGCGCGCCCACCGTCCAAGACTCTAACCTAGCCAGATCGACCCTTTCCCCATGAATACCATCATCCCACCGCAAGTCCCACCCAGGAACCAGCAGCAACCATATAGCCAGGCCCGCGCACCGGCAAATACCCTCCCCAACCCGGTCGAACTAGCGGCGCGTGTCGAGGAGGCGCGCAATTCGGCAAAGCTGCTAACGCAGTTTGTGCAGTCCACACCGCCGGCAGAGCTGGAAGACAACGAGCTCATCAAAGAGTTCATTGACCGCTGCAGGACTGGCTCGCGTTGTATCCAAGGATATATCCACTCGACCAATCCGACACCGGACGAGGATACCCTGTTGACGCTCATTGAGACGAACGACGAGATCTCCGTGGCACTGTCGCAGCAGCAGCGTGCCATGCTTAAGGCGCGCAAGATCAGAGGTTCTTCGTCGCCGAGCTCGTCCAATTTGAACAGTCCGTCACCGACATCGCCGCCTGTCGCACCAACTACAAATTTCTCTCCTCCCCCCGGGCCGCCGGCTCGGACTACAACATGGAGCTCCGAGTCCCATGCTCCCGCCGCGGCACAGCTGCCTTCGACGGCTATGACTGGCGGCCGCGCACCTGCTTCCAATCCTGCTCCAGGCTCCGCGACTACCGGCCGGTATGAATACAATGCGGAGGAATTCCAGGTGCGGAATCCTTTCGCCGATGACTATGCCACGAACGACTCGGACCAGGAGAGACATCGAGTGCAGGGAAATGCGCAGCCACATAGTGATCGTGTGCGCCTCCAGCCCACTGAGCAGGAGCGCTAGTGTCGTGCAGGATTAATCTCACGTCTCTTTCTATTTGTCGCCCAGCGCTTGAATTCTTTCTTTTTGGCTATATCAAACCCTGCTTGTGGGTTAGTCTATTTTCGCAAGCGGATATCTCTTGCCTTTTTCTTTTGGCTCTCTTTTGGCTCTCTTTTCCTGTCTTGCTTTCCATGATACCTCGCACCTCGCCACTGCACATCTATTGATTAACTTTTTACTGCGAGCCCTCAGCGGCAGGTTTGACCTACATGGGCCTTGCCGCTGGCTCGTAACCTAGGTATATATACCAGGTAAATACATACTTGCAAGTCTTATACTCTCCGTGATCCAGTGCTCTAGCGTGAAGGGCAGTTTCTGGTTATATACAGCCTCCAAGGCCCGCGCAGCAACCAAACGATTGAATGCATTGGTAAACAGTCATAAACAGTCACGAAGCGTCCAAAAGCACAGGTGCCCAATGCTTGTGGCTGTTCCCAGGCATTCCGAAATAAACCAAATATCAGACATCTTACCTGCGAATATTCATACCCTTTGACCCCCAAAACAAGGGATAATCCATATCCTGACAACCGTAACAAAAGTATACCACCTTTCACTCTTCAACTTTGATAGTAACCCCCTCATTATCCCGATCTCTGCCCGCAATCTCCTCAGGGAAAGGCTTCCTCGCCCACACGCGTCTCCTGCATAAAAGATCAGCCCAATCTACATCTTTCCAGGGAAAGGAAAAAAACATACGCCCGCTCATAAGTATGATACCTCGGATTCTTAAGCTCATTCCTCAACTTCGCAACATAAACAATAACCTCATCCTGCGACCAAGGCTTAGGAGCCCCGAATTTACAAAGCAACCACATCGCCCAACCCTCCATACCAGACATCCAATGATGGTAATTGACAGTGCCGGCCTCTTTATATTTCTGATCACGCGCCCAGGGACCGAGAGGCCACTTGTATTCCTTTTCACAGATATCCACGAACCCAGCCTTGCGAAAGGCTTCTTTCATTGTATCCATTGTTCCGAGTGGACGTCCGGCTCGTTCACCACATGCGGCTAGTGTGGGTCCCCAGGTGCGGAGGATGTTGTCTGATGGTAGACTGTCGTCGTCGCATTCGATGTAGGGACTTGCTTCTAGTTGTTCGATCCAGCCGCCTGGGCGGATGTTGCTGGGTTTTGGTTAGATGGGGGAAGTAGGGGAGGGATGGTGGCTTACTCGTAGCATTGCTGGTAGACACGATCCCATTCTTTGTCGTCGAAGGATCCGATCATGATACGCATGTGGATTAGGTCTTGGGGTTCGTTCCAGGTCCAGTCTTCGGCGATGTTATCGACTTCCAGAATGCAGTTTGGGGGGACCCATTTTACTGGTGGTGGGAAGAGATCGACTCCGCGGACAATGGCTGGGGGTTGGTTAATATGATATACTATGGAATTGGGTTCGGAGTCTGGACTCACCTTCAGGGAACATGTCGGCTACATCGCTAGAAGAGAGTGAGTGATGGTTCTTTGTGGATATCCATAGTGGGTTCTTTTCACGTACATAGCCCAGTTACCTGAACCGGTTCCAAGGTCAAGGATATGTTTGGGATTTTCAATAGGCGCTCGGAAAAGAGGGTTGTCCTGGTCCGAGTCCATGATGAGGGCTACTAGGTGGCTGCAACAGTTAAGTCATTTGAAAAGACTGTAAGAGGATACCGCATACCCAGCTTCGTATGTTTCAAACTGTTTCTCATCCGATGGGACCCTGATAGGAAGTAAGCATGTAATACCTTGATTTCGAGATCTATGCGTACAGATATTCTTTGTGGCTCAATGTTTGATACCGTCGGCCATTCTCCTCTAGTCCACGATAAAGCGAGGAGCCAATCGAAGTAGTGTCCCTGAGATTGTGAGATACTTTGCATGTAGGCGAAGAGATAATATTTACGATTGCCAGTCATCGCCATAAACGGTTGTGACATGGACCGTTGGATCCTAATACGCGTTAGAAAAATAAATGACATAAAATAAAAATAGACATACCACGGCAATATCATCCTCTGGCTCAGTATGTATTTTATCCATTGCAGAAGACTAGGATACAGAAAGAGTGAAGATGAGGAATCCGAAAAGACGAATCGGATAGGCCTCGCACTAAAAAGTTAGGTTTCGTGTCCATAATCATCGAAACGTAAAGAGTGAGAAACCCCCATAGGCTTGAAAGGCTTTGATATGTACAACTTGTGGGGTGGAACATTATCCCGGTCAATTTGGAGTCTGCGGATTGGACTGACATCTTTGAACTTGCATGTGAATTGACAAAAGTACCATTTTTGGCCAATCACATTCTTTTCTTCTATAAACTTTATTCTTCAGGGAAATTATGCACAAATAGGCCAAAACTCACTACCTGAAACATAATTATAACATACAACATATATCAAAGTGACACCAAAGTATCGCATTATTAGGGTTGATATCACCTTCCCTATCTGGTAATGTTATAAACTTGTCTAGATATGGGATGACCTGGAGTATTGATCTTTTGATTGTAATTTCCGACATGAAAAACATGAGAAATACGAAGCAACTTACTTCGTGTAGTTACTTTTATTCAAGAAAATGTAATCAGTGCCCTAAGTACCCCGTATATCTGACGCGGGGAGTACGCGGGGATAGGCTATCGGATAGGCTATGCGGGATGCGGGAATCCGAAGGCCTCGCCACACGAACTATATAACCCAACATTTAACACATTCCTTGAAATAAAACAACAGATCTCAAACATGGCAAACTCACTCCTCAAAATGCGCAGCATCATCCAACGAACCGCCTCCTCCAAAACCCTCACTCTAACCAATACACATCTCCCAACCCCGAATCATGCACAGGGAGAGCATCTAATCCAAATAAAAGCCTGCAGCCCTTGCACTGGGGAGCTCCTCTGGCCAGCAAATTTTCCCCCGCTAACAGAGCGCACTCTAATCCCATGCCCGGACATGGCGGGACTTGTTATCTCAGCACCAGAAGATTCGCCCTTCCAGCCAGGCGATGAAGTGTACGCGCGCACAGACTATGTCCGACCAGGAAATGCGCGTGACTATTCCATCGCTGCTACATATGAACTAGCGCACAAGCCTAAGTGTCTAAGCTGGGTTCAGGCGGCTGCGGTTCCTGTCTCCGCAGAGACGGCTTGGCAGGTTCTTTTTGTTCATGCTCTTGCTAAGGGAAATGGGGAAGAGATGGATATGGGGGCTGCTAAGGCTGCTTGGGCTGGCAAGAGAGTGCTGATAACTGCAGCTTCTGGTGGTGTGGGTATTTGGCTTGTGCAGTTGGCGACTTTGCTTGGTGCGGAGGTAATTGCGACGTGTGGTTCTCAGAATGTGGACTTTGTCAAATCGCTTGGTGCAAAGGAAGTGCTTGATTACCGGGTTGCAGATTTGAAGGAGTGGGCTACGAAGTCGCCTTCTAATAAGGTGGATGTTGTTGTCGATTGTGTTGGGGGGAAGGCTCTTGCGGATGCGTGGTTCACTGTTAAGGATGGGGGTGTTGTACTGAGTATCTATCAGCCACCTTCGCAGGTCCGTCCGGAGGATTTTAAGGGTGAAAGTGTGAAAGACTTATTCTTTGTTATGCAGCCAGTGCGGAGCCAGTTGGAGGAGATTTCGAAGTTGATTGAGAAGGGGGTGTGTCGGGGATTGGTGGATAGTGTCTGGCCTCTTGAGCAGTACGAAGAGGCATTCAAGAGACTGGATGGAGGACATGCGAAGGGGAAGATTGTTTTTGACCTGTCACTGAATCAGTAGTATTGATTTTCTCCAGCATCTACATGAGATACCTGGAATAGAAGATCACTGTGAATCATGAAGGGTTTGGTCTTGAGTAGTGGGGAGTATACATCAAGTGTTATTTAGTTGCTTTCAATTTCTACCAAATCATATAACACAGAGTAGAAGACCTCATATGTTGTACGTACTCAAGAGCTGATTAGTTATACATGGAATTCTTCCAAGTAGACTCTACAAAGTACTTGATCCAAGCGGCACTCCACTTTCAAGGGGTTTAGCGACATTTTTAGCAGGCCGATACCAATAGCTTCGAGCACTGATGATCGCAATATCCAGATACAAAGGATTAGGTGGAGTTGCTCGTTCTCCGAAGGTATTGTGTACTATCCTTCGCATGTGAGAATGTCTGATACTAAGATAAGACTGGGCAGCAGAATGTGCAGCAAAAGGTCGGATATTGTGCATGTGATATCTTGCTTTTGCGACGTGCTAATCCCACAGAGAATGCATGCTAAGCCAAGAAAGAGTAAGAAAATATTTGTACTGGACTCCGAGCCCACGTGGTTAGCTAGTCCGGACTAATATATGCACTGGAGCCTCTCGTATTTGCGAGTCCAGATGAAAATCATACGTAGGATCGTTGATCTCTATATAAGGAAATGTGTGACTGTATGCTAATAGAATTGAATTTATATTGACCTTAGGTGATTCATACCTCGATGGCTACTAGGTTAACATGTATTTCTAGCAGGTTGGATCTATTTGACTATGCATGGACTTTTTCATTCCTACTTGACTTATAAAACAAAATCCCTAATAGGTGGAATCAAGAAGTACCTAGTCAGTTTCATCAGATTTAGTTTGATTTTCAAACACCAAGTGGACTACCTAAGTCAGGACAAACTTAGAAGAAATTGGACAAACGGCCAAGTACCACTGCCAAGTCGAGCTTATTCTACGATCTCCACGTTTTTTAATCAAAATAAATAGCCCACATGTCTTGTCTCACCTGTGAACCCTCCGATTTGGAGCTATCAATCAACGTGAAACTCGGTGTATCCCTGTTCGGCGCGTGGAGCCAGGCTTGGCAACCCTAGCCTCAGGAACATCGGGCTTGTCTCGGGATAGAAAATCATCCGGCCTGGTTCAATATGCACCGGAGGTCCATATTTACCCGATAGGATCTGATCTACATTTACCGCCAGTCTCACCTGTCGTTTGCTGGTGGGGGACTGCTGTCCCTTGGCTATATTCGATGTGTTTCAGCATGATACGTGCATTCACCCATACGCGCCGTTCGATATGTCCGATGTCTCTGATAAGTCTCAATCTACTGTTTGTAGTTGATTAATGACGCAAACAGGGCTCACCTCAAGCTCTCATTTTGAATATGCCTACCTACTATATAAGCAGCGGCATGCCACGGTGATACAAGACCAGTTGAGCATGCTGGTCAGTCTTTTTTGAACTTTCATTATCATTCACATTCATTTCCTCCGGTTTGAAACCGTGTAGACTTTCATTCAAGTATACATTCATTTATCGGTCCGGTTTACCGATTATTCTCATTCATTCACCCGACATCCCAACTCGCCAAATATGAAGCATTTCACCTCCGCTCTGGCTCTCGCCAGCATCGTCTCCTTGGTCAACGGACATGGCTTCGTTACCAGCCCCAAAGCCAGACAGCCTGGTACTGCAATGGAAGCCGCCTGTGGCAAGCAAGTCGTGTCCAACCAAGGCTCTGACAAGTACGGCAACATCCAAGGCGAGCTCCAAGTTGCATCCAACCAGAACGACTACAAAGCCGCTGAGTGCGATATCTGGCTTTGCAAGGGTTACAAGTTTGACGACAACAAGGACAACGTCTACTCGTACAAGGCAGGACAGAAGGTCGACTTCACCGTCGACATTCGCGCCCCACACACCGGTATCGCCAATGTCTCCGTCGTTGACACTTCTTCCAACACTGTCATTGGCGCACCTTTGATCTCCTGGGATTCCTATGCATCCACCGCAACCGGTGTCAAGCCCGATGAGACCAAATTCAGCATCACCATGCCCGATAACCTCCAAGACAAGTGTGCCACCGCCGGTGCTTGTGTGCTCCAGTGGTACTGGTTCGCCCAGTCAATCGACCAGACCTACGAGTCCTGTGTCGACTTCACTCTCGGTGGATCTGGCTTCAGTGCTGGCTCAGGCCCCGTTCCGTCGCAGAAGGCCTCGTCGGTCGATAGCGCTACCAATGTTGGTACTACTACTACTTCGACCGGAACTGTCGCTGCTCAACCCACCACCACCGCTGATGCCCAATCCACCACTGCTGCTGCTAAGCCTACTACTACTTTCGCCACTAGCACCCGTCAACCGGCTTCTTCCGCGGCGCCAGTCCCTACCAGCGCCGCAGCTAGCCCCGCTGGTAGTGATCCCGCCGTACCTTTCCCTACTGATAGTGCTGCCGATGTCCTGGCCTGGCTTCAGGCTATGTTCGGCAACTTGGCGGGCAACTAAATGTGGATTGTGCGAAGAACGGCCCACTAAAAAGTGGGCGGCCTAATGTCGGAAGCACATCGGATTCAGCTTTTGCATCTACCTGTACTTCCTATGTTAGCCAGCAGCATTTAGATATATTGGTAATTAAATGTCAGATTCACCATTCTTTCGTCATTGTCCTGGATTCCAATCCTACGCTGTTTTCAGCGATATCGGAAAGATCGCCGAATATCCGAATATCGCCACTTCCTCAATCCACTTCATTGAATGTAAGATATTAATATAAAAACAAGCATTTGTACATGTATAACTGGGATATATTCTAGAAACTCAAACCTCCAAGCAATGTATCGTCGTCTAAACAGCACGACAAGCAGATTGTTAAACCACCCCGCAAGAATCTCAAGCCCAGTCTATAGACACTTCACAACAACAATGTCTCAAAACAAAGACTGGAGCGCAAGCCAATACCTCAAATTCGAAAACGAACGCACCAAGCCCGCCCGCGATCTCCTCTTCCATGTGCCCCTAATAGCCCCAAAGAGAATAATCGACCTAGGCTGCGGCCCAGCCAACTCAACAACAGTCCTGGCAACACAATACCCATCAGCAACGATAACAGGCCTAGACTCATCTCCAGACATGATTGAACGTGCCAAAAAAGTTCTCCCAGACCGGGACTTCCACGTCGCAGATCTAAACACCTACACGCCAGACCCAGCCGAGTCTGTCGACCTCTTCTTCTCGAACGCGGTGTTCCAGTGGCTAAAAGCCGACGACCGTATTGAGGTGATTAAGCGACTGCTAAAGCCCCAGAAAGAGGGTACTGTCTTTGCCCTTCAGGTCCCGCATAACCTGAACGAGCCTTCCCATCTGCTTATGGGGGAAACTGCTGCTGACGGCCCGTGGGCGGGAAAGCTCGCTGGTGTGCAGAGAGAAAAGTTTCAGTCGCCGCAGGAGCTTTATGATCTTGTTAAGCCGTTTTGTAGTCAGGTTTCGGTCTTCGAGACGAGTTATTATCATTCGCTTGAGAGTCATGAGGCTGTTATTGAGTGGGTGAAGGGGACGGGATTGAGGCCGTTTTTGGATCCGTTGGAGGATGGTCAGAAGGAGGCTTTCTTGAAGAATTACTTGAGACGCTTGCAGTCTGCTTATCCTGTTTCCGTTGATAGGAGGGTATTGTTGAAGTATCCGCGCTTGTTTATGGTTGCTGTGAAATGATTTAGGTAGAGAGATAGTTCTTGATTTGACTTTGATGGAAAACTCCTAGTGTATAGCATTCTATTACTGATTTTCCTTTCCTGCGATAGATTCAGGGGTTATTCTACCTAGATGGAAGTCTAGAAATAGAAAAATATGGGATGGATCTATGGGGAAATGGACGAATTCGCATTCATTGCTACTTAATAAGTTGCTTGATACAACAGAGCACCATTTCAATAAGTTCTGCTTACGGAGCTCTTTGTGGCTCCCGAGGTCCTTACTCGACGAAATGTTTCTATAGGTACAACAAGGTTTGTATTGCTAAACTCTAAGATAGCCCTTAGAAGTAAGCAAATAGTAATAAAAATAGAAGGCACAACTGAGCAGAGATAGTATTACCTTAAAAAGGATCTCGCGTAGATAATAATATACTATCCTTTGCCATCCCCGGTGTATTGTACAAACAGGTAGGTCAGCGCCTTGATACCTATTACAGTGCGTATGTAGCAGCAAGTACTAATAAGCCCTTAGTTACATACCTTTCCTCTTCTTCTTTCGCCTACATATCACTTTTGGTAATTTCAGACCCTTTGGCAGCCAAAGATTCTACTAACATAGGATAATGTAAGAAAGCCAAGCCCTGCCCGCATCCAGTATATACTTCTTACCTTCGAAGTATGCCAAAGTTCAGATCCATCTCTGCATCACTTCGAGAAGCTCTCACTAAGTATTTCAGATCAACCACCCGCCTTCTCCGCCCAGAGTTGCGTCGTCAACTCATTTTAGTTAGTGGCGCTGCTAGCGTTGCACACGGCTCGGCCTTTTATACCGAGGACGTGGATATTATGGCTCCAAGTTATATCATACAAGACATCTGTAAGGGAGTAGTAGACGGGGCCATGAATTATTCTCTCGAGCCCGACGGCAAGATTGCATTTGATACTAGTCAAGGGATCCGCGTGCGGATTGACCTTATTCAGATCGGAGATGCTATCGAACAGATCCATAGGACAGTTCCATTCTTTGAAGGCTCTGTTGCATCCATGCCTGATTTATTGAGATTGAGGGCGATGACGGTGGTTGACCGTGGGGGCGACGGCGAAGCTATAGACTTTCGATGGCTACTATCGGAGGTAGCGAAGACCGGGCAATTGCTCCCAGGGCTCGATGATCAAGAGCTGAAGTATATGCTAGATGCCTGTTGGTCTTGCCTGAGTGGATTGAGTTGTTTGGTTTTGTATTCTGTTCTGCAAGAAGAAGATGGCAGAGCTTTTGGTCTTGTTGTATAGATATTGACGAGGATTTTGGATATTGATACCCCAGTGAGCGAGTACTGTGAACAACCTTTTGGCTGTCTCCTCACATGCTGTTTTCTAAGTCTCTATTACGGAAGTTTGATCCTGCGAAAGGTGATGTGAAGCAGCAACAGAAATTCAATTTCGTGATTTCTCTCATAGAGAGCTGGTTACAAAGTGTACCTTTCCCGCTCATTTGTTTCTTTTGATCCTCAGGAAGAAGATCGGAGTTCAAGGTCAACAGCCCATGGCAGCTGCATCGATAGAACCTCTTGCTGGTTATCCATGCTTTGGGGCGCCCCCTCAATGGCAGCATTAATAAACAGCGTTTGAGAACCCCAGTTCAGTGGATGAGCATCCCCAGAACAGTGGCTAGTAGCAAAGTACTGTATAGGCGCGTCGCCCCCGCTCAAGCTTTGTCCGGCTTTGGAGTTCATGCCGGATAGCTTCGCTATAGTGCAAGACTGTCCATTGTCGATATCCGTTAGGTGAGAGGGCATGGCGGTAGTTCTGTCACGCCACGTAACAAGCTTAGCACCCCAGCCTTCATGAATATGCCCAAAACAATGCATCCGTGGTCGTGGTCGGGCACAAGCGAGGGCGCGAAAGAGGTCCGGGGAGCCTGCCCGTTCACCGGAGTGAGTGTAGTCCAGGATTCCCTTCGGTGGCCCGTGTGTCATCACAACATCCACAGCACTAGTACCACTGCCATCGTCGATCATGAAGTCATGACCTTTATCGGGGTGGTACTGAAACCCCCAATCTCCAAGTGAAGGCGTGTATGGACTGGCATAAACAGTCAGCAAAGCGCCATTCTGTAAATGGAAAGAGTGTACGCCTTCGTCGAGAAAGGTAATCCCTGTGCCTTCAAACAATCTCCTAGCCTCCCCATCATATCCATACGCTTGGTCAACGAGCGCACGCTCTAACGACTGGGCCTCTGCGACCTTTTTTTGAAACACTGGTATGTCCATTGTGAAATCGTGGTTACCGGCTATGGCAAGCTTTAACGGTGCGTTGATAGCCTGGAGCAAACGGATTGACGCTTTGTATTCATGGAGTTGAGATTGAGTGGTGAGGTCTCCGCAGTGAATAGCAACATCTGCATGTTGCTTCGCGGACGGAATGAAGCCGGGTAAACTGTCGATTCCATGGGTGTCCGAGCATATCAGGAAGCGTGTCTTGATGTTTGTGGCATTATTCTGTGTCATTTTGGTAATGTGTTTGGCGATTCGTGTCTTTCTCGAAGTTGGAAATGGAGGGTGTAATGATTAGAAAAGCGGCGGGCGTGACTGATTGGGCACGGAATGTTTCCGAGCTTTTAAAGAAGTTAGGGAATTCCACTGGCCTCAGGTATACTCAGGTAGGTACAGTCATCCATGGATGGCTTAGAATGTGCCTGAGTCATTCCTTTATCAATAGGGTTTTCTGTAATCGGTACTTCCCAAGCAGGCGCGGAAGGAGCTAGATTGCTCGGGTGGGCTAATTAAAGTCACAATAAAAGTGCCTAATAGCCAAAGTATGGCCGCACTGGGAATTTGAAATAAGTGTATATGTGGATTGTGAAACGGAAGCACTTTTACTACTTAGCCTTCCAAGGCGGCTAGTATGTCACTGATACCTGAATAAACCTTGCTGAACATAGCGACAGCCTCCCTCAGCTGAACAGGTATAGTTACCAAGATCTCCGACGCATTTGCAAACTCTCTTCTCCTGTTCTCGTTAAAGTCTTATCCATAGCCTATTATCCTCCACATGTCTTGCCATCGAAATTCGAGTCATGAGGCTGTTATTGAGTAGGTGAAGGGGACGGGATTGAGGCCGTTTTTGGATCCGTTGGAGGATGGTGAAAAGGAGGCTTTCTTGAAGAATTACTTGAGACGCTTGTAGTCTGCTTATCCTGTTTCCGTTGATGGGAGGGTATTGTTGAAGTATCCGCGCTTGTTTATGGTTGCTGTGAAATGATTTAGGTAGAGAGATAGTTCTTGATTTGACTTTGGTGGAGATCTCCTGGTGTATAGCATTCTATTACTGATTTTCCTTTCCTGCGACAGATTTAGGGTTTATTATACCTTGATAGAATTCTAGAAATAGAAAAATATGGGATGGATTTATGGGAAAATGGACGGATTCGCGTTCATTGCTAGTCACTAAGGTGCTCCATACAACAGAGCACCATTTCACAATGATAGCCTAGACTGTTCCCGAAGAAGCAATCTTAATAGTACCATCAGTCTTTCCAGAATGATCCAAGCTCTTGCTCTCCATCTTCTGGAGAATATCCTGACCGGAGACAACCTCTCCGAAGACAACGTGCCTACCATCCAAGTGGGGTGTTTTCACAAACTAATTCTGTCAGGACACATCTCGCATCCACCTTTTAGCATGATTTTGACTTACAGTGATGAAGAACTGAGAACCATTGGTGTTGGGTCCAGCATTCGCCATGGAGAGTAATCCACCCTTGGTATGCTTGATCTGGAAGTTCTCATCCGCAAACTTCTCGCCGTAGATAGACTTGCCGCCAGTTCCCTGAAGAAAGTAGATATTAGCCGAAGGTCGGGCTTCCAGATACTGCGACTGACATTTCCGCGAGTAAAGTCACCACCCTGGGCCATGAACCTAGAAATTACGCGATGGAAAGCAGAGCCTGCATAGCCAAAGCCCACTTCACCCGTAGCGAGGGAGCGGAAGTTTTTCGCTGTCTTAGGGACGACGTCGTCGTAGAGTTTGAATTCGATGCGGCCCCAATTTTCCACTGCATAGAGTTACTACATGTGTCTTGAAGTGGGACAAAAGATCAAACTTACCCTGGCCACCAGCCGAGGTGTATTCAATATCGAAATAAGGGTTAGCCATGATGTTGAAGATTTAGAGGTATACAGCAAGATGAGGAAGTGGAGGGGTAATAAATGAGGGGGTGGAGCAATGAGGTCATATGAATTTAAAAGACTATATGCATGTACAAATACACCGCCGACATAGCTTTCCCCTTTTCGTTTTAGTGCTCACCCCTTGCTTTTCCTCAAGATTGAGCACGCCATATGTTAGCGTACGAATCGGAGATGGCCTGTGGTTGATCGTGGGGTAATGGAGAAGCTGGAGACTTTTGGTTGCTGCCGGAGGTAGCAAAGGCGGGGCAGTTGATCAAGAGCTGGAAAATATGGATGCCTACGGGTCCTGCCTGAGGGGATTGGTTACTTTTCCCGCTTGCTTCTTCTGCTCACTGAGAAGACCGGAGTTCAAGGTCAACAACCCATGGTAGCTGCATAGATAGAATCTCTTGCTGGTGGTTATCCATGCTTTGGGGCAGCCCCTCAATGGCAGCATTCACAAACAGCGTTTGAGAACCCCAGTTCAGTGGGTGAGCATCCCCAGAACAGTGGCTAGTAGCAAAGTACTGTATAGGCGCGTCGTCCCCGCTCAAGCTTGGCCTCCGCATTTCATGTCGGAGAGCTTCGCTATAGTACAAGACTGCCCATTGTCGATATCCGTTAGGTGAGAGGGCGTGGCGGTAGTTCTGTCACGCCACATAACAAGCTTAGTACTCCAACCTTCATGAATATGACCGAAACAATGCATCCGTGGTCGGGCACGAGCGAGGGCGCAAAAGAGGTCTGGGGATCTGCCCGTTCACCGGAGTGAGTGTAGTTCAAGCTTCCCTTCGAGCCCAACGAGCTCGCGCTCTAACGACTGGGCCTCTGCCATCCTTTTGTGAAACTCTGCTATGTCCATTGTGAAGTCGTGGTTACCGGCTGTGATAAGCTTTAAAGGTGCATTGATGGCCTGGAGTAAATGGATTGACGCTTTGTATTCATGAAGCTGGGATTGGGTGGTGAGATCCGCAGTGAATAGCAACGTCTGCATGTTGGTTCGCGGATGGAATGAAGCCGGGCAAACTGTAAATTCCATGAGTATCTGAGCATATTAGGAAGCGTGTCTTGACGTTTGTGGCATTACTTTGTGTCATTTTGGTGATGTGGTGACCAACTTGTAATGGAAAGCGGTGGAAGTGACCAAGGTTTCATGTTTCCTAATCAACTTTAAAAGGAGCTGTGGCCTCGTTATCATTATGTATGTAGTCTTGGCAGGTTACCAAGATCTCAGACACATTTGCAAACTGCCTCCTTCCATTCTCATCAAAGACTTATCCATAGCCCATTATCCTCCACATGCCTTTCCATCGAAATTTCCTCCCATCTAGTCAGACTCGGGGTTGAAGGCCTGGACAGCCTTGTCGTTAGTGTCATCCTCGGTTTCAGACGCAACACCGGGCCGCATGGTAGCAACATACTTCTCCAACTTGATGTTCAGTCGGGAGTACTGCTTCTGAATGGTGTTGACTGACTTTCCGGCATCGTCGGCGACGGCGGCCCAATCAATCTGTGATACAAGTCAGTCAGTATATCCATCAGTAATAGGTCATCTTGTGGCAGATAGACATGTAAATATATCAGAGACACTTACTTTCACTCCGGTAGACATCTTGATACACTTCCACAAGAACACTAGGTCCTTGTCAGGAACATAGCCGGGGGTAGTCTTGGCAGAGGACGTCTTCACGGGGATTCGCTTCACAACTCTACCCGTGGTCGACTTGGTGACTTTGGCCTTAGGGGTGGATTGCTCGTTGGTTGCCATGATCACCGCTGATGGTGATGAAGTTTGATGTTGGCTTGTGTAAGAGTAATCTGTGACTAGAAGTAGAGTTTGGGACAAATGGGGTTGATGAGGAGGAATAAAATGTAGAGAGACAAGTGGATCTATTTAAGCCGGTGCAGGCGCAAACACTCCACGCCCTGACGTGAGAAGACAATTGTGAGAAACTGTATACTAGTAAGAATTGACCACACCCTTAATGCACGTTCTATGTCTAGTTCTTTGTCTACTTAGAAAAGTATAGTACATGCTTCAATCAGTTTTAGGCCACAGACAACTTATATAACGACTAGTCACTCATGCTCATGTGGAGATGCGCCTCTGATTCTACCTAGGTAGGGAATCCTCTCGGCAAACATCAATCTGCCAAGTTTGAAGAATCGAAATATCCAATTCATCACGTGTGCCAGATAGTATAATAGTAAGCTATATGTACACACATTATCCAAGTACAATGAATACAAATATACATTAAATACGAATACTTCATGCAATATATTGGAATGTCATACATCAACATTGCCAAGGAGCTAATGTGGGGCAAGATGATCATGATAAGATAAGCGCTGCACTGCCACAGGGGAACCTTAATAGAATTTCTTTCTCTTGAACTCCTTTCATGCAATTCACCCAATTCAGATTCATCTTATTCATCATGGAGGAACATTTGCGCCACAGTCTTTCCAACCACCCTCATCCCTTCCAGAGCTTGCACCATAGCAGCTCACCGCATCGGACTGATAGAATGACTCCACTTTCTATCAATGAGGGTACCACGACCGCCCTTGACCATGAGCTCACCACCATGCAGCAACACCGCAGTGGTAGTTCCAGCGATGAAGAAGGTCAACCTCCACCGCGTTACACCCCTGAAAGTGATCCGTTCCAGCTTGCCTCGAAATTGAAGACCGAGGATGAGATTCGGCAGATGAAAGCCAATACCTCCCGGAAACGGGATTCCACTTCAAACAAAGGCCGGAGAATGGGATCCATAGTGCAAGACACTGCCCGTATTGGAAAGCAGGCTTTTGTCACCAAGAAGCTGCAGGGATTCTACGAGTCCCAAAATGAAAACATTGAGCGTATGCTGAAACCCGTCGAGGAGCACCGACGTGCCGCCCGCGAGTTGAGCGTGGACAACCGTCTCAAGTACCGTATCGCGGTTTACGGTAGTTTTGCCGCAAACATCATTCTTTCGATCATCCAGGTGTACGGTGCCGTGTCTTCCGGGTCACTCTCTTTGTTCACCACAATGGCCGACGCCGTATTTGACCCCATGTCCAACCTGACCCTCCTGCTGTGTAACAAGGCCGTCAACCGCGTTGATCCGCGCAAGTTCCCGGCTGGAAAGGCCCGCATTGAAACGGCGGGCAATATCTGTTTCTGCTTCCTTATGACCGCCGTCTCTTTTATCATCATCGCCTTCTCCATCCGCGAATTGGCGATGGGCTCCGAGGAAGAAACCCAGTCGTTCCACCTCCCCTCCGTTATTGCTGTCGCCGTCGCCTTTGCCACTAAGTTGGGCCTTTTCCTATACTGCTGGGCCCTACGTAACCAGGTCTCGCAGATCCGCATTCTGTGGGAGGATCACCGCAACGATCTGTTCATCAACGGGTTCGGTATTCTGACCTCTGTCGGTGGTAGTAAGCTGCGCTGGTGGATCGATCCTATGGGTGCTATTCTTCTGTCCGTGCTGGTCAGTGTGTTGTGGCTGCACTCCGCATATGGCGAGTTCCAGTTGCTCGTCGGTGTCACTGCCGACACTAAGATGCAGCAGCTTATCACATATATCTGTATGTTCATGCCCTTTCGGTTCTTTTAGCTGTCATACCATTTACTAAAATTTCTATCAGCCATGACCCACTCCCCTGTCATCACTGCCATCGACACTGTCCGTGCATACACCTCTGGCCCTCGCCTGTTGGTCGAGGTGGATGTCGTTATGGACGCCGAGGCGTCTCTGCGTGCCACCCACGATGTTGCCGAAGAGCTCCAGATTAAGCTCGAGTCGCTTCCCGACGTTGAGCGTGCTTATGTGCATGTTGACTACGAGACCACCCACAAGCCTGAGCATTCCCTGAAAAAGGAGCTCTAGGGACTTTCCTTAACACAAGTTTGGACTGGAAATTCATTTTGGGCAGTGTTAACTTGAGATTCAGTTTCTTCGGGGGTTATTTGCACTTTGGCTGTTTCTTATTTCATTTGTGTAATAGACAAATCCCCCCTCTAGAAAGACACATGATACCTTGACCTCTTCCCTTTCTGTAACTTGTAGTGTTCAATCTTGAGGTCTTTATAGTAGTTGGCATTGGCCCAAGAAAGGATAGACATATTGCGCGTGGGGTTTCCATTGTGTCCCAACTGGGTGGTGCCTTCCCTTTTAATTTCTCTCGTGCCTTCCCTTTGAGGTTGTCACCCCCTCAACCGCCAGGGTATAAATACCTACCCCTCCCACTTTTCTTCTTCTTCTCTTCTTCTTCTTCCTTCTTCGTCCCTCTCATCTATCTCGGGGCTTGGCTATGGACCCACATTGTACATTGTGGGCCTGTTGTTCACCGAGGGGACCTGAGGACACCACGGATCTTTGCTGCGGCCTAGGTTAGTCTGAAACTAGACTGGGACTTCGGTCCTGTCTAATGGCACGAAGCAAGCCGTAGCCCGCCCTATGGCAGTAAGAAAGACGTAGCTCGCTCTACGTGCTTCTGCCATAGTATTTACAGCCCCTGCGTGCCTCTGCGGATACAGACTGTACTTTCCTAGGTTCTCCATTGGACGTGGGAGCCAAAGCCAACCTTCGATAACTACCTACCACCTTCGACGATAACAACCTTTGACCTATAACAACCTACCTATAACAACCTACCTATAACAACCTTCCTATAACAACCTTCGACCTATAACAACCTTCAACCTATTACAACCTTCAACCTATTACAACCTTCAACCTATTACAACCTTCAACCTATTACAACCTTCAACCTATTACAACCTTCAACCTATTACAACCTTCAACCTATTACAACCTTCAACCTATTACAACCTTCAACCTATTACAACCTTCAACCTATTACAACCTTCAACCTATTACAACCTTCAACCTATTACAACCTTCAACCTATTACAACCTTCAACCTATTACAACCTTCAACCTATTACAACCTTCAACCTATTACAACCTTCAACCTATTACAACCTTCGACAATCTTCCCCTTCTTCCTGTTGTCCGTTTGCCCCAACCCAGCTGCACGGGTCCTGTGTGCGGCACCTGAGCAAGACTTGCACCTTTACGTGGTGCCCAGGATGAGTAGCCTTCACGGTGAAACCAAGCAAGTCCTTTAGAACAACAATAGATAATCCATTCACAATTCAAAACATGTTCCGTACCAACCTTGCTTTCCCTGTATGTAGTAACGTAGTAAGAATTTCCCATTTATCCTATCCACTGCATATTAGAATCGACGCGTAGCGTGTAGCATTGTACCTCATACACCCAGTAGCTACAGTCCATCCTCTTGTCACCTCAACTACCAAAGGAAAATTCACTGCAATCACTGTCTACACTGCACATTACGCTACATAGCTCAGTCCTAAGCACCACCTCATTGGAATCCAACGATTTAATTTATAAACAAATAACATTCTATCCCGACGGCACCTGTGTACACACTACAGCCAATGCATGCTGCAGCTCGCCCAACTCCCGTAGCAAATTTGTATTCGACTGTCCACATAGATGCTTTTCACCTACACTCTCAGTGATCTGTACTCGACAATCGAAAGCCTGACACAGTGCACCTCGCAAAGCAGTATTTGGGCTTTCATCTTCGTTTCCGTGTCACAGGAGATATAGAAACCAATAGCCAATGGAATAAGGGGCCGAAGGAAATTTTCAAGATTGACACAAGTACCTATGGAGTATATTGCAAGTACTAATATTGTATGCATGGTGTGCATCGTCGCATCAGACAAAGTCTATTTCATGAAAGATCCAGGCCCGGTGATACCTCGCAAAAGACCATGTGAATATAAATCTTCATAAAAATCTAAGAGAAAGAAATGTTTTGGACAAACATAGGATAGGTAGAAAGAGAAGGGAGATTGAATCTCATACAACGGTGAGAAAAGTACAAAAGAAGTTAAATGGTATTGTTTACAACGATGTACGAAAACAAGAAGAATAAAAAATGATTCCAGAGGAGAAAGAAAAGTAATCTAAGCAGACTGTTCAAAGAGTGCGATGGTGGAGCAGTAGTTGCTCTTATTCGGTTTCCCGGGGACCAGAGACTTGCCGTTGGATGAGGTCACCATGTTGACAGAAGCCTTAGTGCTAAGACCGTACAGCTTGACGTTCGAACAATCGACCTCGACCATGTTTTCCTGGCAGTCCTCAGAGTTGAGGCAGGATTGGGCGTAGTTCTCGAAGAAGCTGTACAGACCAGCGCCGTAGACGAAGACATCCGAGGAACCGAGAACACGCAGACCCCAAGCCTTGCGACAGGAGTTGGTCTTGCAGTTTGAGAAGTCAGGGTCGTTCCAGGAGCGTTGCGAGGTGAACGGAGTCAGTGAGTTCGGGTTGGACTGGTAGTACGGAGTCTCCGTTTGGATGAGGCCCATGAAGACGTTCTTGGCACTTGAGATTTGGTAGTTGTACAGCTGGTGATGCTCCGAAGAGGTACCCCATAGCCAAACGGGGTTTTGCGACTCGATGAGCACACCACGGCCAGTATAGACATTGATCTGGTTGTGATCCTTGAGGTCCAGCTCATGATCGGCAGTCCAGAACCAGGTGTTCTCGAGGTAGACGCTACCCTTCTTGGTGACGTGTAGGAGCATGAAAGCGGCCATGCACTCCTTCCTGGGAATGGTCTTCTCCTTGGGGGTCTTGGGGCAGGTGTCGCTCTGCAGCTCGGTGCCAGCAGCGCCACCAATGCGGAAGTGAACATCCCACATACCAGCAGAACCCTGGGAAGAGCCAGCAAGATTCCACTCCATGAGGATAGCACCAGCGGCAGGGCCCTTGGTGGTGATGATGAGGTCGGTCATCTCGACAGAGCCAATGTCACCCTTTTGGCCAACCTGGAAGACAGGAACAGGTTTATCTTGGTTGGCGAACTTCGGGCCGTGGGCCATGAGCATGGGCCAGATCTCACCAGTGATCTTAATGTTCTTGGGTACCTTGATGGTGGAGGTAATGACATAGGCACCGTGATCAAAGTAGATAACCTGGCCATCCTTGTAGCTGTCAAAGATCTTCTGGATGGCCACAGTGTCATCGGTGACTCCGTCGCCCTTGGCACCAGCCGATTTGACGCTAATAAAAGCGGAGGGTGCAAGGTTCTCATAAAGAGGCTTGGAGCGTTCAAAGACAGCACCACCCTTGAGCAGGCTAGCGGGCTTGGGAGCGGTCTTCATAGAGCTCTGGGTGCGAGCAGGGACAACGGGAGCCGAGGCGCCGCAAGTGGCAGCGCTGCTATCACTACCAGACTCTCGGTCCTGATCACCTTGGGAGCCACTGCTAGTACTTTGAGGAGATGCAGCAGTGGAAGTGATGGGCACGGCAGGTTGCTGGGCAGAGACTACACTGGAGGGGAAAGAAGGCTTAGGAGAGCGATCAGTATCACTGCTGGTACCGGGACCCGGGACAGGGGAAGCAGCGGATTCAGATGATTCAGTCTTTGCGGGGGCAGGAGCCTCGCTGCCCGCAAGGCTGGCACTAGGAAGTCCGTGGGAAGCGCCACAGGCATGGGCAGTCTCCGTGACAGTCTCATAAACAGTAACCACCAACTCAGCCTCACTGGCACGCTTGTTGATAGTCTTAGACGGGGTGTAAGTGTTACCCTGGACCCAGTTGTCAACGACAGAGCCACCTGCCAGGATGGTCTTGCCATCATAACCAGCCACAGCAACCTTGGAGCCAGAGAAGTCCACGTTGTCCAAAATGAGGTCACCGCCGCCAACGGGAATGCTCTTCTGGGTCCAAGCAGTGACGATACCAGTGGGGGTGTTGGTGAGCTTGCTGTCCAGCATCAAGACAGAGCCAACAGTTTGGTTGGAAGGCGAAGTGGACATATTTAGACCAACCTCGCAGTTGTTGATCTTAACCGATTTGAAAGTCCAGGCCCAATTCCAGTTCATGTAGATGGCAGTCTGGCAGTCGTTGAAGACCAAGTTGCGGGTGGTGAACTGTTGGTTACCGAGGAACATGCCATAGTTACCGCCGTTGAAAGTCAAGTCGGACATGAAACCACCGGACCCGTTGTCCATGAAGATACCCTGCTGCTTGTTGGCTTGGCCTCCACCCTTGATCATTTCGAAACGAATATTTTGCAAGCTCGTGGCCTGGCCCACCTGCCAGTGGATGCCAGCACCGACGCTTGGGGGCATGCTTCTCAGATCAATGACCAAGTTACGAATGGCGCGGAAAAAGTTGTTCTGGTTAGTGAACCAATTGTCGCCGTTGTCCTCGTAGGGATCGGAGTCAATCACAGCCATACCCGCGAACTTCGGGGAAGCCTTGATAACGGGAAGTTCGACAGCATCGCCGACAATCTGGGTGTAGTAGTACTGGGTGATAGGCTTTGAGACAACATAGGTACCAGGTGGGAAATAGACGATAGCAGGAGTGGTGGTAGAGGAATCACAGCCCTTTCCACAACGGCCTCCAGAAGACATAGCCTTGTTGATGGCAGCAGTGTCGTCAGAGGAGCCATCACCTGTGATATAGTCAGTAGATTTCCCAATGGTATAGAGTTTGGATGAATGACTGACCCTTGGCACCATAGTCCTTTACATTTCGGAAGATCTTGTAGTCGGGCGTCTTTGCAAAGGGGATAACACCCTGGCGCTTGATATTGGCGACCCAGTAACTTGAGGGAGCTCTCTTTTCAGTTGTCGCTAACACATTGGCGGGAGAAACTGGGACGGAAACTGGCACAGCTGCGACCAAAGAGGCTGGGAATCCGAGCAAAAGGATGATATGGGCGACAAAGATCGCGATAGAGGCTTGTAGAACGGCCATGTTGAAAATGGGTAACGCTGGACCAGCAGCGTAGAAAATGTCTCAAAAAGGGCTAAAGGATAAAGATAGTTCAGTAACTAGTGCAGAAATTGAAATAACAATCGAGTCTAACGCTTGACCAGCAGCGATATGCAGAGAGAAGATCTAAAGAGTCAATCTTCCCGATGCACCTTCCCAAAGAGAAGAGACAAAACAATAGACCCAAAGAGAATGAAATGAATGAAATGAATAGAGAAGAAGGAAAGAATAGAGAGAAAAGAAACAAATAAGGAATTCATACCTATTAAGAAAGGCGTTTGCACACTTCCCCTTCTCAACCAATCACACAACACCAAAGCCCTGAAGGCTACCAATTCACCAATCAGAAACCCGAGTCTGGCGACAACGAAGCTTGAAACGTTTGATAATCCGGAGTTGAAACACTGAAGGAGATAGGTGTTGCAGATTCTCTAAATAGCGCCTAATAGTGTTTCGAATTGCAGTGTAGCAGTACTTCGTTGGCTATTTCAGATATGGGAGGGTCTACGCGCTATATAACCCAATTCATCCCCAAACAGGGTATGCCGGATCATGCATTCCACCCGGCAGTTAGGGAGGCATACCCTTGAGGTGGATCCCCCTTTGTGATAGTATACATTAAGATCTGTTTGCTAGCATATTTGGAGAATATCAAATGATTTCCTTTCAATGGTGTGTGACATGAAGATGTAGCACTAACCACCTGGGCAGACTCGAGGTTTCGAGTCAAAGTGTATATATCCCCCGAGTATTGTCATAAGAGAAGGTCAGACGCGTTGTTATGGATTAACATTCCGGGGAGTTTTGACGGATTCTTTATGACGGAGGAGAAGGAAAAAGGCAGAGGATGGAATTCCTGAAGGGTTAAAAGAGAAGGGGACAAAAGCCAAGCTTTCCCCTGAGGAGACCTAGGGAGATCCGCTCGGGATTGGCTTGCTGTCTCGCATCGTATTGCCCCTTAGGAACTTTGAAGAATTACAGCTTTGAAGACTTAGGCGATGTCAGCCTTTTAGTCTAAAAATAAAAGCGCTAGGCTCGAGTTTGCATTGTAAAGTACAGAGTACATATAATCTCCAACTCCGCTAGGCTATATAAATTGTCTTAAATATTCTACTTATAATGTTATGCGCCACGCGTCCATAGTGGACACGGTATGGGCCGTGCCATCGAACAAGTGATGTGGCGTGGATCTAACGATACCTAGACCTAGGTATGAATAATACGGTTGAGAACACGCGCTAGCCTACGCATGCCCTCGGTCAGATGTCGTGGCTCTTCCCATGCAAAGCAGAGACGCAAATGATCTGTAAACTTCTCATCGGTCACCTGATCCGGGACCTGGAACAGATCACCCGCACATAAACGCAGATTTTCTTCGCTCTGAGCTCGCTGAACTACCTCGGCGGCGAGTAACGGCGCTGGTAAACCAATCCACACGAAGTATCCTCCAGCTGCGGCGGTGGGGGCTGGGACTGTGACGCCCAGCGGGACGAGATGCTGGTGAATTGCTGATAGCAAGGTGTGGTAACGCTCGGCGTATTTCGGTTGGAGAACGTCGCGGATGTGGGTTTGGATGCCTGTGGGGAATAGCTGGTCAATGATAGCGGCGCACAGATGGGAAGGAGCGCCGCCCGATCGGGAAGAGCCTCTGCGATATCGGATTAGTCTACAGTTGCGGATCCGAAAAGAAAAGGTCAAGTCATCCCGAGAGGTGCCCCGTACGTTTGTGATAATCCATAGGCAACCTTTTCCGACGCTTCCGCCCAGCCGGTGCGGGCCCCGGGCCCGATCAGCTTGCTGAAACTGCCGTTGCTTAGTGCATGTCCCCATTCATCCTGTGGACCACCATCCAAGTAACGGTCCACGTCGACAATCCGCGGAACACATGCGCGGTCGCCGAAATTATTCTCCCCTTCTGGCTTAACCGACCACTGGAGGAAATCGTACACATCATCCGTAACGATTAGCGCATCGTACTGGCGCGCGAGGCGAACGAGCGCCTCACGTCTACGCAACGACATAATCTTCCCAGAGGGATTCGCGAAAGTCGGCACGGCGTAGATAACATGCTTGTAAATTTTGCGCCAGGGCCTGGGCGGTTTCAATTCCTGCAGGGAAAGAGGGGCAATGTCAGTTCGGAACTCAATAAATGATGGCACAGTGGCATGGCACCGTGACGGTCATGCTAACTCGGACTGGTCTTGGGAACAGAATGATTACCTACCGGCTCAGTATTCCCAGCAAGCAGCGCGATATCTTCCGCAGCGCGTAGCCCGTTCTCCAGCACCGCTATGTTAATGCCCTCGTCGTCTTCGGGGATCCCACGTAACCGCCCAGCGAAGCCGGCGTCATCCATAACCCGCGCGGCCAGGTGATACGTCGGTGTGACCATCCATACATTCCGCGTGTAGACCGGGTCTGTGAAGGTTTGTAGCACGCAGGCTAGGTTCTGGCTAGCCCCGCCGGTGATGCAGATGCGCTGCGATGAGATAGGCTCGCGCGGTCGGTAGAAATGGCTCAGCCATGCGGCTATGTGTATGCGCAGTGGCTCGTATCCTTCATCAGGGCCATAGAGGAGGGCTGGGTTTGCGATGGAGGGATTGGATAGTACGGCCGTGGCGGAGTGGCGGAGGGTGGAGGCGGGGAGGAGCGCGGGGTTAGGCCAGCCGATTTGAAGGTTGATCGACTGTTCAGGGGAGACCGTGAGGGTCATTATGAGTATATCAGGTGAATATAATGTGCTTATATACAGGCTAGAAATACTCCGAAGTTTAAGAGAGCTTGGCTTTGGTTGAGAGGTGATCCGAGATCGGGAACTGATCGGTTCAGGGGGGGGGAACCACAGGAACATGAGAATTGTCATAACATATGAGATACCTAGGTACTAAGTAAATTATTAGTTTTAGTAAACTATATATTTCTATAATCTTAATAGATCAATAGAATATTTTCATGAAGTAGTCTACAGTTATATATATCGAAGGTATGTCATAAGAAAGGTGCCTTGATACCAAACTAGTATGCACTTGTATCCCTATATTTGTTTGTAGTTGAATCGTGTTTTATATATGAAATATTATTGGATGATCGGAAATGGCTTGAGTGTTAATTTTTACTCCCAAGGTTCTCTTAACATACTTTGTATTTCTCTCTTTTCTTAACAAAGGAATTGTATATATATATATTTTTCTATATAAATTTGTATTTTATTGGGTCCACATCCAAGACATGCACAGCCAGTTCTCATATGGTCTATTATTGGCACTCCATCTATTTTATGTATTATATAGTATTGTAAAATAGAAGGCTCCGATATTATTTATTTTTAACTCCCCCTGATCTCAATTTTTTTTTTTTCCTGTTCAGCTTAGCCTCACTCCCTTGAATAGAGGTCATCAAGTTTCTCAGTCATTCTTCCAAATCCCTCCTGCCGATCCATTCCGCCCCCCCTAAACCTCCCCTCATCACCTGACTCCCTATGGATTGACCTTCTCTACAGGGTCTTCCTAATTTATTTCTCACATAATTATCACTATGTTGTCGGCTCCCGTTAAGTCGGCGAAGCGGATCTCGTCCCTGTTCTCGCTGGGATCTAAAGATCGGGACTCATCTTCGCCGTCTTCCCCAGTTTTGAACACAGAAAACATCGACGCACGCCGAAGTAGCTCAAAACCTATTCGCCATGTCTCGACCCCAAATCCCACCTTCTCTTCGGAGCCCCGAACCATGCCCGATAGCCTCGACATGGAGAGCCTACCTCCGCCACCTTCACTGCTGGCGGTGAATCAAGATTTGGCCAACAGCGCTCCTAGTTCCCCCATTGGCCGCCCGCAGAGCAGAGGTCGCGATATGAGCAGGCCCTCCAGCTCCGCAGGGTTGGCTATCCCCGGATCGACCCCGGATTCCCGTCCTAGCACACCGTCGAAGCGCAGAAGTTGGATGCCCGGTCGTTCGCGCGCCAGCTCAGTCGATAAGCGACCAACACCCACGCTTCCCGCTGCTTGGATCGCAGGGCTGGACCAGAAGGTTGTTTATGATCTGACGCCATTGTCCAGGGGAGAACAGGTATGCATACAGCCCAGTCTATTTCGAGGTGCTTTTGAAGTTAACTGTTCTTTACTTTACAGATTCAAGAGCTGTGGAACGAGCAAGGTGACACTTATGTGTATTTGTTCCCCCAGAATACCGGACGCGCCCCATCTTTCAAGGTCGATTCTACCATCTTCGCGGAATCCCCTTCCCTCACCTATCTAGCCCGCGGCAACGATGGCAAGAGTGGCCTCGAGCAGCCAACACGAACATTGTCACTGAACCCAATATCTCCGCCTATGTCGCCGATAGACCGTCAGCCCGAAAACGACAATGACAATGACAGTGCGGGAAGCCAAAGAATGGCATTTGAAGATTCACCCGAGGATGTGCAGGAACTTCATCTTTATCTCCCCATTCCACTCAACTGCGATGTGTCCAACCCGCAAGCGAGGCTCACCCCAGAGGACATAGAGACTCTTCTTTTGTTCCGAAATCTTTTCGCATTCCTGCTCGGCCAGTCTTTGATTGCCTCACCTAAATCATCCACTCTTTTCTCTATCTTCATGGATGTGGCGGTCCTTTTGGCCCGTTTCGAGTTCTCCAACTTGGACGCGTCCAATTTTGGTGAGACTGCCACATCTAGTTTCAGCAACTACTGTGAAGAATTACGCCTTGCAGATGTCCGTCGAAGCAGGGAGAAGACGATCGAGGCCATTGTCCTCGGTGAACGTCTACGCTACTATCCGCTCTATGTCGAGGGCTTTGTCCATGGTGTTGGAAAGCTCGATGAGCTCAAGCAACTGCGGAGCCCTAAATATACCTTCATCCACCCTATCACACAGAAACGCATGGAGCGTGCGTTCATTGATCTTGACACCCGTCTGCGCGGTCTCTACGGCAAGCTCGAAGACTTCGATTTCCCTTCTGTTTTCTCGGGTATTGCCAACTCAACTACCTCTCAGGAAAGCAAGGTGGTGCGCTTCAAGAACTGGAAGACTGGATTCCAAGAATTCCGCCGCTTTACGATCCAGTACTACCGGCAGAAGTACGGCTCGTGGCCGCCCAAGGCTCGGTCGAAGAAGAACGAGTTCGAAGAGAACGGACTCAACCGCCTTCTCCTCTTGGATTTGTACCATGACTTCACCGATCTATATGATTTGATGGTGGATCGCACGTCCCTGACGACGCGTACAATTGATATCTCGGGGGCGGGCAGTGACTCAGCAGATTCGTCTGATCCAAAGGCAATGACCATTCGTGCTTTGCGACAGGTTCTTTCAGAGTATGACCGCAGCACGCCGCCAGTGCTTCCTCCCATTCCATTCGATATTCCTCAGATGCCTTCGCTGCAGCCTTTGCATCGGAAACCGCTTGACGCCAAGAAGGAGGCTAAGCAGAGCGCCAAGAAGCTTAAGAACTCCGACATCAACGCTGTCCTGATGGGATCTTATACCCGGGAGGCCATGCGGCCCACTCCTTTCATTGAGAGCTTCATGCAATTCGAGCGTCGCTCCGCGCACGGCAAGAATGTGAACGACATTACCGACCTCCGATGTGGCCAGTGGATCTTCCTATATGCCGTTATCCAAGCTCTTCCCATGCTGGTGGTGGACGTCCCTGATGTCCGCTTCAACGATGGTGTGGAGTATTTCCTCTGCATTGCCCCACGAGGTGGTGCTCCTTGGATTCACAACGACACCAAGACTGCTCGCAGCTGGTTTGGAGTTGCAGGCGGTGCTGGTGTTGTTAGCCTGCCATCTGATGTAGTCATCAACGGAGTGGAAGGTGTATACCGCCGCAGCCATTGTTGGCAAGTCGCCGAGCAGTGGGCCGAGGCGGGCTCTCTCCTTGATCCACCTATGGTGGAAGATGCCACATATGACGACGAGGAGTCCTCTATATCCTCACCTTACCCGGGCCACAATTCGTCGGCTGGATCTTCTTCCGAACCTTACCCGAACCCTATGATGGTCCCCGGTGGGCTCACCCCGCCCCCGCCAGCGATTCCACGAACCCGCTCGCCCGCCGCTGCCCAACGCTCTGAGCATCGCCACTCATTCTACCCTGGATTGGAAGCCTTGCCCCTTCCCGCAGGCATTGCTCCCATCGAGCCCCCCACACGACCTATTAGTCGATTCAACCCAAACATGAGTTTCGACGATATTCTCAAGGAGGTCCCGAAGAAGGACAAGAAGAAGCACTAAATACCATTGTCTTGTGTCTTTTCTCTATGATTAGATCCCATGGCACTACGATACGGGCTTGCATACTCAGAATACAAACTTGTTTTGTGACTCTGACTTCCATCCTCTTGGCCGTTTCATTTTTCTGTTGATAGGCGCATTGTGTGACACGAATTACTGGGCTGGATCGGCGTGACGCACAGGATAGCGAAAACAAAAAGTAAGAACTTTTAATTGATGGGGCACGGGGAAGTTCATAATTATCAGCATATCAGCATCAGCATCTCCGGGGGAGGGGGGCTCTTTCTTTTTTTTTTTTCACCTTGTCATTTTAATTTTTCTGCTTTTCTTTTTCTTCGGATTCCCCTGTAGTTCTGGATAGAAATATAGATTCTAATGTACAATTTTCAGGGGTTTATGTTGTCGAGTCCACACGTGTCGAGTATTTTTTATAGGCTGAGTCCCGGATCCATGGTTCCGGCTTAAGTTACCAAAGTTCTTAAATTCAAATTGACCCCTCGATGTTTATATTGGAGACCTTCTATATTTACCTGCACACTCTGAAAATGTCCTTCGTCTCTTCCATTCAAAATATCCAATCATGAAACCATGTGCCGAGGCCAAACCCACTATGGAGTCGCAATGAGGCAATACGAGAGGGATCAGCCACACAGCCTCTTTCCCTGTCTCGCCGTCGGTTGCAGAAGCCCCGGCACTGTGAGCTAATGAAAGGACCTTCACACCCGCAGATCTCTTCCAGACTAGGGAAAGGGCCATCTACTATCGCTTGAGCTTGATTCAAGTCTACCCTTGTCAAATTTCTTCCAACAATCCATCCCCGAGTCCTTTCTTTGTCCTACCGGGAGAAAGGGAAAAAAAAGACGCAAAGAACCCTAATAGCTCAACAAAAGCGCCGACAATGCATTAACGACACCTCATACACAACCATATATACTTTAATTATCACGACCCCCCTCATTACCTAAACCTCACCTCTACCCATTATGCCACCCTCCCGCTCCAGTGTAACGAGCGACAGCCATGAGCGCCTCGAGCCACGACTCCTGCGCGCCGCAGAATCAAATGATGTTGACTCCCTCAAAAAGACAATAGCCCTCGCCCAAGAGTGCAATCAATTAACCGATAACTTCCTCCGCATCGGACTAATGCGCAGCGCAGAACGAGCATGCATCGCTGCAACAGAATGTCTCCTTACACTCGGCGCAAAAACAGACGTACCCTCAAATCGCGCCTCACCACTCCTCCGCGCCGTCGAGCGCGATCACTACGAAATAGTCCGTCTCCTTCTCGACCACGGGGCGAGCCCAGACTCAGCCGATAAAGAGGGTCGCACGGCCCTGATGACAGCTGCGTGGAAGAATCACGCTGATATTCTGCATCTACTCATTCTCCGCGGCGCGGACGCGTGCAAGCGCGATCTGCGCCGTCGGAATGTATTGCATAATCTCGCGGCTGATCAGGCTTGTCGGTGGGGGTGGGGGGATGAGATTGTGAGGATGTTATTGAAGACAAAGTGTCCTCTCGATGGGGATGAAGGACAAGATGAGCTTGGGCGAACGCCATTGCATTGGGCTTGTGCTTCGGGGAAGTGGAGGTTGGCGGAGATGTTGCTGACGAGGACTGGGGAGGGGGAGGGGGATGAGCGGAGGCCAGCGGAGGTTGATGCTGTTGAGCTGCGTGGTAAGACCGCGTTGCATATTGCCACAGCTCACGACCGGGCGGATATCGTGCAACTGTTGCTTACGCACAAGGCTGCCGTCAATGCTGCAAGTGACGGTGGATGGACGCCGCTTCATAATGCCTGTGATAAGGGGTGTGAGGCTATTGTTCGGATTTTGATCAACGAAGGCGCACAGATCAATGCACAGCTTTTAAATGGTATTACGCCGCTGCATCTTGCTGCCCAGGGGGGTCATAGCGAGGTTGTAAAGTGTCTTCTCGAGAGGCCGGATCTGAAGCGGAGGGTTAGGGATAATTTTGGCAGTACACCGTTTCTGCGCGCGGCGCAATTCAAGCGCAAGGATATTGTGCTCCTGCTTGCGCCGTTTAACAATGTTGAGAGTCTGTCTGATGATGTCAAAGAGGCTTGTGCTGCTTTCGACGCTACTGTTGTTGATTTTGGAAACTTTCATAATGAGAATCGGGTTAAGCGCATGTCGGTGTTTAATCTACTTTATGGGAGGGATCAGGAGAATCCTAGGAAACAGGCTGTTACCACTGTGCCAGCTGATAGTCGTGCGACTGATTTCCGGTGGATTCACTTGCCGGCGAATAATATGGCCTGGGTGGAAGCCCTGCTCACCAAGTCTTTTATTGAGGAGGGAGCCCACGATGTTGATGGATTCAAAGGACTAGAGAAGTCTTTTAACTATCAACATCGGGGTCAAAGGACTCACTCGCACTTTATGCGGCCATTGTGTCAGAACACGCCTCGGACAATGTTGCGGCGATATGAAGAAGAGACTTCGGAGGAGCCTGTGTCTGATCATGGGCAAGTGAAGGCTGTGGATAATCCTGCCCGCAAGCAAAAAGGCACAGGTGGCAAGCCCGACAAGGCGGATTCTTATTTCCCCGATGAAGGGCATGGGAAAAAAGGCAAAAACAATCCAAAGCGTGGCAAGTCTGGTAGCGCACCGGGAACTCCCAAGCAGCAGGAGACGAAAGGGAAGTCACAGTGGGGCCAGAGTGAGAAACAGGCGAAATCATCGCCATTATATGCATCGAGCTTTTGTAAAGATCCTCACCCTCTGGTTTCTGCATGCAATGTCTGCGTATTCATGCCATATCTACACTTTGAGACTGCGGAACGCAGACAGCAGATGCAGGAGGCAATCTCACGAGCAGAAACGCTGGAGTTTGTATCCAATGGGATAAAGAGAACGCGCACAAGAGACGTGTTGCTTATCGACGCCCATCTGTCATCCTCAACGACCTCCCTCCATGTCCGTCGAACACTGGATCAGTTTTTCTACCCAAACATCGATACCCAGAGCCGTGATCAGGATCAAGTCGTGTACCGGTACCAAACAAAAAGCCCCGGAATGGGGGTGGAACCCAAGATATTCATGGTTGATCAACTGTGGATGTGGGTTCTAGGCACGAATCTGATTGTAACAGCCTTCCCGCAGAGATGGGATCAGCCCAAGAATGACCCGCTCAACGTTCTGGATGGGATTATTGAAGATATCAATTCTAAGACCCGAGACCCTGTCAAATCCGTCTATGATCTAGCTATGATAATCACAAATCGATGTTCGGGCGTCTTCGATCGACATCGCTTGGGTGACGAGGAGTACCAGTTCCTAGATATGTTCGAGTCGTCTATTGGTATAGCTACGGACAAAGAGACCGTGCTGTTTAACCAATTCAACCATGCTTCCGGACAGGCATCGGACTGGCTGAAAAGCCACCGGAAACTGAACGGTTCCTATAGTTCTCCGCCAAAGTCCGGCAATGGCATAGACGACGATCAAAGCAGCAAATACTGCGACGAGGATGGCCAGCCACTGTTTGTCGACCGACTCCTAGATATCGGTCAGGAAACGAATCTATTAGCCGAGACAAAGGACATCCGAGACGAGCTGAACATGATTCGGACGGTGCTGGAACACCAGAACAACGTATTGCTTGACTTCCAAGAAGTCATCTGCGAGACCTACCAAGGCCAGCACCGATCACAATTCGAGGTCAAGAAACGATTCAAAGACCAACAGCGCATGATCGACATGCACCTGAAGGACATTGACCGCATGGATAAACAGGCTGAGCGCATCTACCACTCCATCACCGATCTGCTCGATCTCAAGCAAAAACACGCCAATGCCTTTGAAGCACGTTTTGCCCGTGATCAGGCTGCTGGTACAACCCGCCAGGGAAAGACAATTATGGTCTTCACTATTGTTACTATCATCTTTCTGCCATTGTCGTTTATTGCCTCCATCTTCACGATCAACTTGAAAGAATTCGAAAATTTGAATCTCGGCTATGTGTCAAAGTATACCTTTGGTATTGGTTTTGCAATTTCCATCCCACTTGTCTGGCTCGCTCTCACGGTTGATGATATTGGTGGTTTCTTCCGTGTGGGCAGCCGGCGCTGGCGGTCTAGCCGGGAGAAGATGCTTGCGAAGAGTGAACGGCTTGCGAAAAGCGAACGTGGTGAGGAAACGCTCCAGGCTTTGGAGATGGAGAAAATGATAAGTCTTTCGCGTATGCGGAGGAGCATCGACGCTGGATATGGTGGTAATTTGTTACCTGTTTCTTCACGCGGCACCGGGGCGTCGAGGCGGCCTGATTTATATGTCGGTGGATTAGGAAATGGCAGTGTGCGAAAAAGCTACGATTTGCGGTCCAGTCAGGACTACAGATCACGATGATATGATTTTACGGCATCTTAACGATTGCTTGTTCCTATAGTTTGTCACTTCGTCTTGATCATTTTGCTGTCTCAATTTTTGGGCAAAAGTTGGATATACCCGTCTCTATATAGCGCTAAAAGTAATTGAACTTCTGATAAGAATTGAAGATCTTCTGACCAATGAATCAGCTAGCTCTAACACTCGTAGAGGTTGACGTCTATTCTAGCTGCATACCACCCTGACTCTCACCTTTCCCATTACCAAGGATCTCAGCAGGGTGGTACACATTCATGATAGCCATAGCGATGAGCATCAAAAGACCATCAAAGATGTACATGAAAACTTCATGCGTCATGGTGTACCCATCGTAACCCTCTTTGTATTCAACCAAGCGGAACACGGACCGGACCAAAATCAAAAGGCTAACAATGTACAGACCGATTAAGATGGTAAACCAGTTGCGCTGTCTGAAGCCCTCGCCGCGGGTTTGGTTACGATCTGACTGTGATCTGGAAGTTGGCTGACGCGAGATTCGGAAGTGAAAAACCGTTGTGACAACCACGAAGAAACCGAAGAAGAGAAGCTGGACGACCAGGCCACCGATTGTGATGTTGGAGCCTGTTTCACGCATGGAGCCTGCTGTAGCCATGAGGCCACCGCCTAAGATGAGATGCATGTTAGAATTTGTGTTCTCAGTCCATAACTGGCCGGCTGTCTCATCTGATGTCATGGACGTTACTTACCAGAACACTGCAAGAGAAATGAAAACACATCTCCTCCCACAAAGATCTTTGTCATCCACTTGACTGGCACCAAGCTCAGGTGCTCGGCGTTAAGATAAGTCACTGTTCGCCCCAAGATCATGTAGATCGATGCGGCGTACAGCGGCGGGGCAAGCAGGATGAAGAGTGATTGCATGGCATATAAGGGGATTCCATAGAAGTTGTCATGCGATGCAGCGCGACAGATGTATCCTAGAACCTGGACTGTATGAGTTGAGAGTCAGTGATGCCTTATAAAGTCAAACAAGTAGCCTGCGTAGGTAACATACAGATTCCGCCAATCACGAATGGGATGAAGTACCAGCATCGTGACTTTGTGAGTTGATAGCCGTGGTAAGCGGTTGTGATGCCGAAGAGAATGATGAAGATGATAGCAGCTGGAAGAGAGGGATTGTATCCGTAGATATTATGTTGTTCGGCCATCTTACGATGAGATTAAATGAATATTTGAAGATTAAATGAATGAATTAAGGAGTTGAGTCCATTGCTAATTGGGGACAAAGTGAGATTTATAATAAATTGGACAAGAGCCATAGACAAGCATCGTTACCATAGCCCATTATAGCTTTTGAAAATGAGACAAGATCCATGATCCACTATAATTTTAGGCGACCTTCAAATTGAATGCATTGATTCGATATTATTCTTATCATCTGGGAAAATATCTTGGCTTTTGCGCAGCTTTGACGCGATGTGGGGGGAGGTTCTTCGAATTCGTTTCCGTCTCCGTTTCCGTATTCGTTTCCCCGTAATTGCACTCGAGTTGATTCCTCCTTATATTTGTACCCTTCGATAATGGGCCCAAGGAGAACACATCGGAAGTCACGAAATGGCTGTCCACAATGTAAGGCTCGAAGACTAAAGGTACACCGAATCTTCCCCCCCTGTCTTGAGCTTTCCTAACCAGCAACAGTGCGATGAGAAATATCCATGTACGAACTGTACCAAACACGCCATTGAATGCTCCTATATTGATCGTGGCATATCAACTCCGGCTGAGACTCCAGATACTCGGTCAGAGTCATTGGCGTCGTCTTATGTGCCTTCACCTTTGAACACAGAGTCATACCAATCAACCCCTGCCGGGCACCCATCAGCTCTTGGTGATGCCAGGCCTAGGTCAGAGAGTAGATCTTGTCTGCTACAATTTCTTTCCGACTCCCCAGATGAAATTCCAGCTTTAAATACGGATGACTGGGCCTCAGATCTGGAACTCATGCACCATTACTGCACGGTGACATGCAATACTCTGACAATCCGCGAAGACTCACGCCATGTCTGGCGCGTTGTTCTCCCAGTGGAGGGATATGGCAATAAATATTTAATGCACGGGATATTGGCTCTGGCTGCCCTGCATCGTGCCTCTCTCTTTCCAACTCAAAAAGAAAAGAACATTAAGGCATCTGCCTACCACCAGGCAGCTGGGCTGAAAGAGTTTCGGGAGCTTATCTCCTCTCCAGTTGACCCTAGCAACTGGCAGCCAGTCTTCTGCTTTGCTTCTATGATCATGGCCTATGTTTGTGCTTCGCCGATCCGACTGGGCGAGGATCGTTGGCCGGCTCCTATATCGAACATGGTGGAGCTCTTTTCCGTCATCCAGGGATTGCAGACCCTTATGGAGCCATGGTTGCCTTCCCTTCGTAGAACTCAGCTCGCACCGCTTGTCAACTGCGTCTGGTTAGAAAGTGACATGCTCATTGCAAGGTGAGCTTTTGAGTTCTCGAAACCCTACATGGTACTTGTTGAACCAAAAAAACTGACCCCGTTTCAGCCCAGCAGCTATACAGCAATCTCTACTTCCTCCTGACATTCATGTTCGGATATCACAACTCCATCGATTTATTGATGAATATCCATTCCCTCAAATACAACCACAGTCCCACCAGAACTTGAACGCCTCAGATGAAGTACCACCTGTCGATTACCGAGCAGACTACAAGCACTCACTGAAGTTCTTTGAGCACTCGACTCGCCAGATAGAGCTTGCAGGCCCCCACGTGGAGGTTGGCATGGTCCTAATGTGGGCATACTCACTCTCCAAACAATTCCGAGATGATTTGGAAGCATTTCATCCTGCAGCTCTCGTACTGCTGAGCCATTGGTGTGTGCTGTTGAATCTTGTTAATGATGCCTGGTTCATCAAAGGCACTTCACTTCAAGTGCTGGAGGAGATTGAGATTAAGATCAACCCCGGCTTTAGGGAGTGGCTCGTATGGCCGAGAAGATGGGTCTGTGGGAAATGACCTACGCTGTTCACTGATCTTCAAGTCCGAAACATTGGTGGTTACGGGGCTTTTGTCTACAAGACCTCTACCGAGAAAGTATTCACGAAATAATACTAGTATTGCTAAGAACTCTGTTCTTATGCCGTTTCCATATTTGTGATCCCTACGGAGAATGACTTGATTGGGGTTTTATCACCACTTCCGGACTACGAGGTACGGCCAATAGTGATGGTAGGTGATGGAGACTTTTGGGAGCAATAGAATCAAATCAGGCGATATCTTCGGGTTCGCAGCTGTAATGGCGCATGAAGAGATCGAATCCCTCTTGATTACTCTTCTCTAGATTGACGATATCTGATCACGAATTTGTTATACAAATCATATTTCAGACTTTTTGTCAGTATACAGCGGACTTCGAGAAAGACCATCCCGATTAGGCAATCTTCCCCTAAATCCGAACTTTTGACTTGGACCGAGCTGCGCCACAGAACGCCACGCATGCTGTGCCACGCTATTAGTTACCGCCCTGCCCACCGCCTATTAAGTAAAGGCAAAATATCGACGCAGGAGATGACGATTATCGTTGATGAGAATGGACGGACAAGTCCGCTTCAATCCCATGCCATTTGGCCGGATACTGCCGAGACTAATTGTTACCTGGGACAGTTTTGGACTCAGGCCTCTTTTTGCATCGCTCAGAGAGCTGGGTTGTCAATTCCTCGAACACAATGGCATTTGCTGGACCGCGGAAGACAAAGAGAAAACAATCTGGACCCTAGCATCAAAGCTTTGGCCGCTAGCATGCCTTGAAATACCCTTGGAACTATGGCATTTATATAATTCATGTGATTTTGCCGAGCCCTAGCTCAACCCCATCATACGACACTCCCCTAAACCTCATAATATCATTCTTCTCTCTTCTTTTCTTCACATCCCCTCAAAATAATTTACAGCTGATAGGAATCTGCAAAGTCTCTAGTGCCATGTGAACAGCATGTGCCTGAACCTCCCGATTGTCTCCGACAGCACGTGCAGCCCGTTCTCACCGACTGCTCCGAAGGGTTCCGGGTGCCCACGAGTATGGTAGATAGAACAATCACAACAGCTTTCAGTTCTAAAACATGTTCACGGGAGCACGAGTATCCGATCCATTATGGAGCCTACCAAGTGGACCAGGTCCAAGATCCGTTCCGGACATCTCCTTCCTTATCCTGCCGATGACGGGTACGAGTGAAGTCATCGGTGTGTCAACAAAGAGCGAACCGTGAAACCTTCGTTATGAGCGCCAATGCCGCATTTAGATAGCAAGTGCTGGAGCTGAAATGAGATTGTTTTTTAACATTTTACCTTATCCACTGATACACTGAGTTAGCCCCTGCATTGTCATGCAAACCCGGCCATTGAGCGCGATGCTCCCTCTGGGCCGCCAGGTCTTACGTATACGGAATCCGTTCCCTTACCTTGCCCATCCTCTCAACTCTACATATATATCTTCTTCCAGCATTGGTCCAGCAGTTCATTCGCGAGGCCGGAGATACCTCGCAACGCAAGCTGAACAGCCCATCATATCTCATTCGTCTGATGAGGAAAAAGACCGCGAGCGAGTCGTCATTTTAGGATCTGGCTGGGGTGGATACACTCTCTCGCGCAGGCTTTCTAAAAAGACCTATGCGCCTCTCATAATCTCACCACGCTCATACTTTGTCTTTACTCCTCTCCTTACCAATACAGCCAGCGGATCCCTCGACTTCTCGAGCATCGTGGAGCCTGTGCGCGATCCGCGCTCCAAAGTCAATTTCATCCAAGCAGCTGCGCGTGGAGTTAACCTGAAGAAGAAGACTGTGCTATGCGAAGCAACAGTCGTCAAGAGCGGTGTTACCGAATCACCTCGAACATCTGAAGGGGAGCGAAGCACCGAGGAGGGCCCGGATACCACGAATATGAAGCCAATGCAAGCGCAGCGCCACTGGGAACAGGGACAAACATTTGAAGTACCCTATGATAAGCTCGTCATCGCCGTAGGCGCTGTCAGCCAGACATTTGGAACACCGGGAGTGCGGGAGAATGCGATGTTCTTCAAAGATATTGGAGATGCAAAAAGGGTCAAGCGGCGCGTGCGGGAATGCTTCGAGCTCGCCGTCCTACCATTCACTACACCAGAGATGCGAAAGTGGCTGCTGCACTTCGCGATTGTCGGAGCTGGTCCAACTGGCATCGAGCTTGCAGCGTCCCTGCGTGATTTCATCTACTCCGATCTGATGGTGCTATACCCGTCTCTTCAGGGAATCCCGAAGATCACGTTGTACGATGTTGCGCCCAAGGTGCTCTCGATGTTCGATGAGTCGCTTTCCCGCTATGCGATGGAGACTATGGAGCGTGAGGGTGTCGATATCAAGACCTCATACCACGTCCAAAGTTTGCGCTGGGGTGCACCTGGTGCACCTCCACCATACCAGATGGATCCCAAGCGCTGTCTCACTCTTACAACCAAAGAAGATGGCGAGATGGGCGTTGGTATGTGTGTTTGGGCAACAGGTAACGCCATGCCTAAGTTCATCACGGACTCGCTTGATTCAGTCGACGCATTCCCGGAAGACTCGATCCATAGCATCGAGGGCTCCTCGACTACACCTACAGATGTCCAACAAGCATCGTGGAAATTTAAGAAAGCTCCCAAGACAGGTGCTCTTCTCGTCGACGGACATATGCGGGTACAGCTGCAAAATGAAACTGGCCAGACAGCCGTTCTCCAGGACGTGTTTGCAGTGGGTGACAATGCCATGCCAGAGAAGGGTGCACCCCCTGCAACAGCTCAGGCCACCAGCCAAGAAGCGAAGTGGCTAGCTGATCGTTTGAACAAAGATGACCTCAGTCAAGCTCCATCGTTCTCTTTCCGCGACCTGGGCACGATGGCGTACATTGGCGATGAGCGGGCATTGATGCAAATACCTTATAAAGGTGACCGTGGTTCAAACAGCATTCTTCCGGAAGGAATCAGGGGCCGTACTGCCTCACTTATTTGGAAGATGGCGTACATCAGCATGAGCATCAGCTGGCGCAATAAACTACGTGTGGCTTTCCGGTGGATGTTGAATAGGTTCTTTGGCCGGGATGTTTCGCGGTTTTGAAGAAGATAATCTAGACAAATTATGTCTCAGTATTGCCTAAAATACATCAAATTCAGGATATTACTCTACCTTAGTTATTAAGTGTTAAGAGGGTTGGGGAGGAGAAGAAAAGTGAAAAATAAAGAGAAGACACCGGCGAGGGGGGTTTATAAACAGGCAGACATACAGGTAATAAGATGTGACAACAGATCAGATCGTCATAGCAACATACAGGTAAACAACTAGCTACAATGAGAGCAGGCGGGGTTAAAAACCCCTCCTATTCATGTATTCCGTGGGATCTGCCAGTGACTATTGAACTCTTGGAGTTCAGTCACCAACTTATCAGGACTCGCACGAGAACTGGGAGTTTGATTTGTATTCGGACCTTCGAAGGCCTCAACAACTGGTGTTGATGTCTTTCGAGGACCACCCTCTGCGCTGGCTCGGTGGGCTACGGTGAGACAGGGAGGATTGGGAAGAGGAAGAAGAGAAGAGGAAGAAAGGTGGGAAGAATCCTTTTATAGTCACACGTACCTTCCTAAAATGGATGGGTCCCAGTTGCTCCTTCCCAATTTACAAACTCCAATTTTTGCAAGTAAACAATGAAAAGAAAAAGATTATTTCTAATATTCCAAATATCTTGACTATCTCACAAATCCAAAGTATTGGTCTCTCACTCGTCACCTCCATCCTATATCCACTCAGGTGAATCTATATCCCAGTTAGTATGATAACCCAAAAAGAAAATGGTCAGATACATACCTCATAACATAAGGACAAATCTCCTCTCCACCATAAGAAGTCCAAATAGCCTGCTCACGAACAGGCGTACCAGTGCGAGCAGCATTGATCATCAACTTGCTATTGATATAGATACCAACATGTGCAACCTTGTTCTTGCAATCACCGCCAGTAGCCCAGAACAAAAGATCACCGGGCTTAGCCTGCGAACGAGGGTACCGCTTACCCATGCTGGTGTTGTACTGATCCTGCGCGACACGGGGAATCTTCTTCTTCAATGCCTGACAAATAGCATATTGTGTCAGACCGGAGCAATCAAAGCCACCGCCAGAGGGACCCTTGCAACCACCACCGCCCCAGACGTATGGGAGGCCCTTCTTCTTCTGGGCTGCAGCGATGATGGCCTTTCCAGTACCGGTGCTACCACCGCCGCCGCCTCCGCTGCCGCCTCCGCCGCTGCTGCATTTCTTGGTCACGTAGCCGTCGGTGCCGGTTTTCACGTAGTAGTCGGCTACATAGCAGCCGTCGGATGTCTTGTCCCAGATGTTGTTTCCGGAGACTGATTCTCCGCTTGTTTGGCAGGTAATTTTGACATCGTGAGCCTTTTTGTATGATTTCACGACCGAATGGCTTGTTCCGGGACCAGAGCGACAGTTGACGGTCTCGCCGCTGATCGGGTAGGCGCTGACTGTTGTTATAGCGGTCGTCAGGGATAAGGCAATGAGGGAAAGGCAACGCATGATGGATAGCTTGGTTGTATGTCTTTGTGATAGAGTGTTGTTCTCTGAGGTTTGGAAGGACTGGGATGAAGAAGATCGGAATAACGATGGACATCGAAGCCTTTATAGACAAACTATTCACGCTATTCTACGACTATCCTACGAGGATTTCTCCGGCATATTGCTGTGTGTTCGTGTTTATCGTATTTCTCTTGCAGCAGGATGCGACCCTTCACTCGTATTCAAGCCTCTGGTCCGACACGATCATCGTGAAAATTGCCTTGTCGACCCCAACTGACCGAGATCTCCTAGATTGTTTACAAAAATAACACATTCACGGAGTTTAGTAGGCACTAGCTGGGGTTTTGGTTGATCTTTTCTCGTAAGTTCGTGTTCCTGCGTTCATACTTCCCCAAGGGCCACTCACAACACAGGGAACACGAGAAGTACTATTTATAGCAGATGCAACCATAATTTAGCCCCAAAACCAGATATTCATATTTTAGCTCAAATTTCATGCAGTATGTTCATAGTCAGTGTTCCATTGCTGTTCCAAAACTATAGTCAAAGTTGATTGGGGACCTCCAAGGTTGGATTGGAGGCCTGTGCAATACAAGAATTGGATACGAGAGATTTTGCTAGGGGGATATATTAATATGCTTGTAGACTTGGGGGCCGCATATGTATAAAATATTAAGAAACTCGTGTGGGCTGAAGAATGTGCTACGCCCAATCGTTGACTATGCTTAGAATCACCACGTCACCGGCGATATAGTTACAGGTATGCACTACGAGCCAGCACAATACGACGACCCCGAGACCGACGAGAACTTCTTCTCAAAAGAACTCATTGGACATACCAGAGCTCTCAACTATCCCAAGAATTGGAACAATATTCTCAACTCGATCCCAGCACCAGGGAAGCAGAAGGCCTTCAATAAACTCACTATGAAGACAGAGCCTATCAAGAGTTGGGATCCGGTGATATTTTATGAGCCTGGAGAGCCTCGTCGGCCGTTGATCAAATGTATCGAGTGGGTTGAGGACCAGGCTATTCCGATCTTGATTAATGCGGGTCTGATTCATGGAGGCATGAGCGTATAGCTGGTGTTTAATGTGAGAGAAATTGGTCTCAATTGCTGTTTCATGGAAGGGCACATCTTTTATGTAGTCTTCCTTGTTTTGATATAGTTCATTCCGCCTTTCAGCAACAAGTATGGATATGATATCGCGTTCTGGGGCAAGGGAGAGAACGGAGGTATAATGGAGGCGGAGTTTAGAGAGTGTTGGTTAAAGGTTGTTAGTATTTATACTTATCCTGGTGCTGCCGACAATCTGACTGACGCTGAATTTGGCATAATTCTATTTTTAATTTCTGTCCAAAATACTTTTCTATCCTCCGGGAGGAGGGTTACGAGTCTGACTGAATTACTCACATTTTGGTGTTCGATCATTTACACACTCGCCCCATCTTATTTGCACCGGTGGCAAGTCACATGGATCTTCATCGGGGACTCTGCTTGATAATATTAAACGAAAAGTATACGCTACTGAAAGGGATGGTAGCCGGCGCAAGATTCCTAGACGAGAGAGATTAGCATGGAGCACGATGAGAAGCCAGAGATCAGGGCATAGTCAGGAATTGATGGAGACGGGGGCAAATATGCGCAGTGCGCAATCATTATTCCAGTTCAATTCTGTTCATTTTCAAGTTAACTGCCTGTCTTGCACCATAAAACAGGAAAAGGGCATCAAATCACCAATCCGGCCAAAAACAACAATTGAATGGCGTCCCTTTAGAATGCAATATTGGCGCAAGTAAAGGCAGGTGTGACGGATCTCGAGTAGTCAGCAATCATCGCTTCAACAGCTGCGTACAGCCCAGGACCTAGCAAGAACAGACCAACCATCATGACAAGGACATTGAGCAGAGTAAGAGCAGTCTTCCCCACGCTGTTGAAAAGCGAACCCCGGTTTAACCGCCAATATGCGACGGCGAAGTAAATGAAGGCGAAGAAAGAGTCGAACGCTGCGCTGAGTAGGGAGAGGAAATCACCCATGCTAGGAATGATCTCTGCGAAAACAAACCCGACTACATACCAGATTCCCACCATTATTGCCACCCAGACACTCCATCCAATTACGGTGTGGCTGTGCGAGTGTCGGGACTTACCGAGGATGCGGGCGTAGATAAGTTTACCGGTTACGTTGGCGTAGATCACGCCGATGACCAGGGTAGGGACGATCACGAATCCGAAAGATGACTTCTTGTATGAGACCACTCCTAGACTGCCGAAGGCTGGCGCAGTAGCATATTAGCCAAGGTAGCGGAACCCAATGGCCGAAGGGACAATGAATAGGATTGCGGAGATCCCGGCGAGAACAGCCAATGCCTTGGGGAAATCTTGAGGCCTTTCCATCTCTGAGATAAATGTTGGGAACAGGATTTGGGAGGCCCAGAGGTAGGCGATGTTCAACACGGCGTTTAGGCAGGCGACCCATGTGGTGCCTGGGAGAGGGAATGCATATGTTTTGACCGGTCCGTCTGTCGGGTAATCGCCTTTGTATCCGTGTAGAGGGCCGTCTTCGATACGGGCAAAAACGAGGAAGAGAATGATCGCGATGCCCATGCAGGCAGCTATAAGAGAATCAGTTGTGGTCCGTTGAGAGAGATGGAGAGGCATTAGCTACTCACATGAAACCATTGACATGAAGCTAATATGTTGTAAAGTCCGGGGCATGGACATGAGGATTCCTACAAGAGCCGTAATGATTGAGAAAACTGCAGTGCACAATGAGTGATTTGAGAGGGTATTAAGAACCTTCGCGCCAGTCAAAACGTGAAATCCGACGAGAAGAATGTTGTTCGAGAGCATCATAAATGCGGAGAATATGTAGGCAGTTTTGCTTTGTCCAAATACATAGTATCCGAAGTCACCTGGCGGTAATTAGATTGTTAGCTCTCATTTCAAGTAGTAAATCGGGATACTTGGACTGCCGCAGACTCACAGATATCCATGATCAGAGGATGTTTCATAATATACCTATGCATTGTGATAGAAGTAGTCCAAAAAAAGCACTCCGCATAAGATCATAGTGAGGATCCCGGCGACCCATCCGAGAACCCTGAAGGCAACTAGTAAGCTTCATGAAATGGGGTGTTCGAAGGAAAGGGTTACTCACGAGAGGGACCATGACTGTACCATAATGGCCAGACAAACCTGCTCACCAGCCAGTAAGCAGGCTGTCTTCTGCCACGACATAGTACGAAGTTTGATTTGATTTGCATGGTCTGGACGAAAGGTAATGTTAGCTCGGTGTGGCATAATAAGCTAGGGCTTGGAATCGGTACCTGCGGTGACCAAAGCATTGATGGTATCAACCTTGTCTGTTCCATTTGTCTCGCTACCCATGATGTAGCCTGGTCCCTTGTTGTCCGACATGTTCTAGGTTGTGTTCAAGATCAAGAAGATGAAAGTGATTAAGATAGGTAAAAAAAGGTAAGTCTAGGCAAGTAGGTGGTAGGATGTATGGATTGTAAGGAAATGAGAAATCAATTACACGTGGACGATGTCTCTTTTATTTTTTCTATTTTCCTTTTATCTTTTCATATATTGATTTTTAGTTATTTATTTCTTAGACACCTTGGTGTTAAGGTGTCACCAGTCCAGAAATGGCAAGAAGGATAACTACCTACCTAGGCATCACGATATCAGCTAAGGTTATCTTGTCAAGACTTAACTAAAACTTGGAAACTTTGCTCATCAGCCAGTTTATTTTAACTGGCCTTTGATTTCTCCAATTGGTTTGACTTGTTCTTGGAAGCCCAATTCTTTCGCTATTTCAATGTCCTTGGCACATTGCTTGATTTACTAGAGCTCTCATGCTATACATTTCAACTACAGCTTCGCAGTTGAGCCCCGGCCATGCACAGCCCGATCAACAATTTCCATGGCCTGGAATAGCTGATAATCGTGCTGTTTAGGAGTGACAACCTGCACACTGAGAGGTGACCCGAGGTACACCCGACGGTCAACTGTCTTCTCGTCCCCTATTAAAGTCAATTAGCAAAGGACCACCAGTCTACAACATATCAAAAACTTACACAGCTGCCGATTAGCCTTATCCCAACTTCCCAACACAGGTGTATCCATCTCCCGACCAATCTCAAGATCAGATTCTGTGAATGAGCGGACAGGAACCGAGCTAGCCGGGTAGTCTAGCAGCACAAAGCTCGAGGTGTACCCAACGGCATTGTAACGGTCGAGTTCTGGGACCGGATGAGGCGCTACAGGGCAAATTATGGCGTCAATGCGTCGGGTGACAGAGGAAGCCTGTGAAGTCAATGTCCACATCTTCATCATCTCCTCCTCAATTTCGGCACGCTGAGCCTGCAGATTTGCCAGTTGAACTACAGTCAAAGCCTTGCCGCGCTTCATACGGCCCTGTAGCCAAGGAATAAGCTCCTCGCCCATGCTCTCGATGAGATCGAGCATATGGGACCCGTCATCGATGCCCATCAGTCGACCAGCGAGGGCTTGGCATTTAGATAGGGCTGAGGGAACGGGAATATCAATGACCTCGACACCGGGGGTACGGCGGAGCTTGTTGGCTACCTCGTTCAAAATGCGGGTAATCGGGGGCAGAGGCGTGACGAGGCCATCGGTCTTGAGAATACCAATAGTGAAGTTTCGCGGAGTCAGAGCAACCGGTACCGACTGTGACGGCCAGGAGCCCGGAATGCAATCTGCCCCGAACAGCTCGGCACGAGGCACGATCTCCGCCATGACGGCATTTATATCCGCAACAGATCGAGCTAATGGACCGGCTACTGCTTGCAACCCCATCCGGCCCTTACCTTCAATCTGACCGCTCTGTTGGCCTCCATATGGCACGCGTCCAGTACTCGGCTTGAAACCGTAGATACCCTGGCACATAGCTGGGATACGGATGCTACCACCGATATCCGTGCCAAAGCCGACCATGGACCCGCGCATGGCGATCAAGGCCCCCTCGCCGCCGGTACTGCCACCTGCAGTCCATTGCCGGTTGAGGGGGTTCAGCGTGCGGCCGAAAAGGTGGTTGCAGCTGTCCAAGGTTCCGAGTGTTTGGGGTATGTTTGTCTTGGCGATCACTACTGCACCAAGAGACTGCAATAGGTCTACTAACGGGGCATTTGATTCTGCAGGTTTGAATGCCAGAGCAGACAATCCAATGCTCGAGTCCACGCCTTTTATATTGAATGTATCCTTCACTGACACTGGGAGCCCATGCAAGGGGCCGAACGGGACGCCCGTGCGTTGGAAGTGATCGTCTAGCTCCTGGGCTCGTTGCAAGGCGCGGTCGAAAAGGGGTTCGGTTAGACAGCGGGTGACTTGATGAGCTATGGCTGCTCTCTAGAGTATACCATATATATCAGTAACTTAATTGGAGATAAGCTAGCATGGGAGCGCACCTTGCAAAACCCTCGCACCACATCCTGGGCCTTCAATCGACCCTCTGTCATTTCCGCTACCAGGCCGCGCACATCGTATTTCTCTGTTATATCCAATTCCTTGGGTGTAAGTATACCACATGTTCGTGGAATATCCATTACTCCGACTCGTTGGTAATGTTTTGGGCCAACGGTGATCGAGTCGGAAATTGATAGCATCCCGCCAGGGATAACATGTGCGGGTAGTTGCCATTCGGCAGGGATAGCTGCAGCAAGCTCAGCTTGCTTGCGCTGGGCAACTGCCACATAACGGGGTTCCTGGGAGGCCATGGTGGATGTGTAGTGAGAATGGCATCGAGGGAATGGTATTTAATGCGGGGAGTGTGGAGAACAATATAACCTCGGCCCAGGCGTTGGAGAAGGTCTCCACGGGTACTTCGACTAGTCAACCCCTCACTTGGATGCCCTCAAAACCTATATCTGTTTTATAATGAAACGATCAGCTTAGATAGATCTTTATTAAAGACAAGTTATGGAGTTGGAGGTCTATTTGGGATTCTAATTTCAATATGATGAAGTTTGGCAATGGCAACTTGATCAAATTTATATCCTAAGCTTTCTTTGTGTCCACATGGAACATACCCGTTATCACCTCAATTCAGACATTCAAAGTCTCCCCTTCAGCACAGCTCCACCATCCGTCGTAATAACAGCTCCATTCAAATGACTCGAAGCTCTAGACCCGAGGAAGACAACCAAACCAGCAATATCCTCAGGCTTGCCAAGACGACCATTCGGTGAGAACGCCTCAAGATCTTTCATACCACCCTTCGCCTCAATCAGTCCAGAAGCCATCTTCGAGGGATAGAAGCCCGGTGCAATAGCATTGGTCAAGATGTGACGTGGCCCAAGCTCGACAGCCAAGTTCTTCGCCAGATGAATCGCAGCCGCCTTGGAGGCGGAATAAGACGGGGTAGCATGATCACCAACTGTGCCAACCCCAATACCTGCCACAGAGGCAGTGATAATGACGCGGGATGGATCTGTGATGGTTGCTTTTGCTGTGAGGAGAGGGGTGAATCTAGTTCGACGTTAGAACCGCGTTTCATCCCTAATATTGACTAAACTAGTAACATACTTCTGGATCGTGTAGAACACGCTCTTCACATTCAAATCCATAACTTTCGAGAACATCTTCTCGGGGTGGGTATCGAACTTCTCGCCCCATGTCGCACCAGCATTGGCGAAGAGAATATCAACACGGTCGGTGGTCTTAGCCACTTCAGCAACCAGTCGATCTAGCTCTTTCATATCTGAGCTGTCGGCTGGGACAGAGATGGCTTGGGCGCCAGGTCGCTTGTTAGGGATGGCATTGAGAGCTGCGACTGCTTCGTCGCAGGCTGCCTTCTTGCGGGAGGTGATGTAGACTTTGGAGCAACCAGCTTGGAGAAGACTGCAAAAATGTGAGCATATCAGGAAATATTTGACATAGAGAGATACATACCCTGAGGCTGCATGTAGCCCCAATCCCCGAGAACCGCCTGTTACGACAGCGACCTTGCCCTCAAGGGAGAAGATACTGGAGAAGTTGGAGAGTTTGACTTGTTCGTCGACGGACATTCTGCAATTGATTGAAACTCGATTATGTTAAAACAGCTAAGGGAAAAAGTAGTTCTAGCTATTTGTATTGGTATAAGCCGAAACGGCCGAGGCTCGTTGGCTTTCCCCCGCTTAGTGCTCCAGGGGGCCCCGGGCCCGAGCCGGGGAGTTTTGAAGATTAGTAATCTATAAATAGCCTTCCAAGGTTGGAAATCCCCCGGCCATCCCATTCACCGTGGAACTTCAACTGTTTCTTATCTATTGATTAGTCGCATTTGACTAGGGTGAAAATACAATAAGTACAAGTATACATAGGGTATACTATACTGTACTTTGTTGTTCCGCTTTGAAATGGCCAGTCCTTTCAGATGCAGTTTTATATCAGGTTCTTCCGGTCACCGGTGGATCGCGATCTACCAAGATCAGTTACTGTTTATATGTTGACCCTGGACTGCTTTTTATAATTTCGAGTCGACTCTATAAAAAGGCAATGGATACATTGCACACTATAGGCAGAGTGAGGAGAGCAGATTAGAGCAACTTCAAAATGTGCTCAATCCAACTCCACCTGTGGATATCATACCTTGGTGGCCTCAAGATCCGTGCTATAACGTCACTTAAGAGGGGTACCTCAAGGACCTTGGTGGTTTATCTTTCTTCTACATCCTTAGGCTTCTTTTCACTCTTCTCTATACTTGACACACACTTACATCCACAATTTCAGCATGTCTTCTCAAAATCACACTCTGCCTCCTCTGCCCTATGCCTACGATGTAGGTATTATCTGCTTACGAATCCATAGAACCCCCTGCAATGAAGCTAACAATCAAAGGCGTTGGAGCCCGTTATCTCTAAGCAGATCATGGAGCTGCACCATCAGAAGCATCACCAAACATACATCAACAACCTGAACGCAGCACTCTCCGCTCAAGCATCTGCTACTACATCAAATGATGTCCCTACCTTGATTGCGTTGCAACAAAAGGTCCGTTTTAATGGAGGCGGTCACATCAATCACTCCCTGTTCTGGAAGAACCTGACCCCCCCTGGCACACCTGGAAATGACATCGGCGGTGCACCCGCTCTGCGCGAAGCAATTCTCTCCCGCTGGGGCTCGCATGAAGCCTTTGTCAAGGCCTTTAGCACCGAGTTGCTCGGTCTTCAAGGAAGTGGATGGGGATGGCTAGTGAGCAAGGGTGGTGCTAAGGGACGACTTGAGATTGTTACAAGCAAAGATCAGGACCCTGTCAATGGACCTGATGTGCCTGTATTTGGTGTGGATATGTGGGAGCATGCCTACTACCTCCAGGTACGTTGACTCCTATACCTGAACCCTTTCTCGTCTGTATCTGCCTGCTAATATATCTTGAATACAGTACCTGAACAACAAGGCCGGTTATGTCGAGGGAATTTGGAAGATCATCAACTGGGCGGAAGCAGAGAAGCGCTACACTGCTGGTGTCGAGAACCCACTGAAGCTGTAAGGTTGATAATCAACCAAAGTTTTGAGCTTCATTTAGTTTCAATGACCTGGTGCTCTCCAAGTACGTCTAGTATTTCCAACTCATGCAAATTGATTTACTATTCAAATTATGTCTATCAAGTATGTCTGTAGATAGTAGATGCTCGTCACTTAACTGTACTTAGTTGTATCCCACCACTCCAATGCCCAGGATCGAACCACCTTCCTCTCTGACCGTCACCTGTCTGCCGATGACACCCTTCTCTGAGACACCCAGGTCCAGCCTTTCGGGCAGCTCAAATTCGATTTCTGTTGTGTTCGATGATTTGGAGTTCTTTCCTTGTTCCATATTCAGATGGAACTGATGAAGTGGGGAGGATTGCGATGTAGTGGAAAGGTCGCCATATTTTCTGACATGAACTGTAAGCCTTTCTTTGTCCGTACTCCAATACCTCATGGGAGACAATTGACTTACTCGATGCGTATATCGACATTTCGACACTCTCTGAGTGCGTGGTATGTCTCTGCATCTTCTGTCCGGAATATTGCCGTTGTTTTATGCGTTGCGTCCTTTTCACGAAAGAAAAGAGAGTATGATGACATTGAGCCAGTCGATGATGATGATGCAAATGAGGATACCGATTCTGGTGACGAGGACCGCGATGCACTTGAAACGCTCGAGCTCCTACGAGTCTCCCGAGGGAATAGGACGGCAATAGTGCCTCCGAATGTTGGACGGTTGGTTTCTCCACACATGGTGATCTATAAAAGTGAAGATGTTGAAATGACTCAAATGAGATGGGATGCAGGAAGGTTGATATACAGATGACTATATTGACTGTAGGTAACAAGGAAAAGAAAGACAATTACAGGTAGACCAGCTAAATAGGATCCCAATAAACCCCCAAGGTGCTCAAGGTGAGGGTGATCGAGCACGAGTGAGCACATTACCTAAGATAAAAGTGGATTTCCTCAAATCTGCTCATGTGGGGCACTTTGGAGCCTTATGGCCTTATGGCCTTGTTGCCTCAGGAATACAAAGTGCCTCAGGCATTTTTACGATCTGTCACTATTTATAAATAACCTCTAGTATATACTTCGTTTCACTATAAGCGCTTATCCCAGTGTCCAGTGGTCGAAATTGTTATATGTGAGTCTGGGGTAGGGCCGTGTTGGGCAATCATACCCCTCCTCTCCACTACAACGTACACAACCCACCATCAACAAAATGGACCAGCCATCCCCCACCGACTACTATGACCTAGGTGACTACCGTCGCAATGTGACCACAACAAACGAAGATGCCCAATTATGGTTTAGTCGGGGTTTGATCTGGGCCTACGCCTTCAATCATGAAGAATCAGCCCGATGCTTTGAAAAGGTCGTCGAGTTCGACCCGACATGTGCCATGGGATACTGGGGCATTGCCCTTGCCCTGGGACCCAATTATAACAAGCCATGGCAGCTCTTTGATGGAGAAGATCTCTCTGCCACCACGACTCGCGCCCATCGCGCGATCCTGCAGGCGAAGAAACACGCTCCCGCCGTGACGCCTTTGGAGAATGCTCTTATCGACGCATTACAGTACCGGTACCCCCAAGAGCAGCCCATAGAAGACTGCACCGAATGGGATAAGAAATATGCCGAAGCAATGACAACAGTGTACAATGATAACCCGGATGACCTCGACGTAACCGCGCTGTACTGCGATGCGCTGATGAACTTGACTCCATGGGGTCTGTGGGACATAAAGACGGGCGAGGTCGCATCAGGGGCAAAAACACTCGAAGCAAAAGAAGCGCTGGATCGAATTTTGGAACGAGATGAAGCCCTCGATCATCCTGGCATCTTGCATCTCTACATCCATCTGATGGAAATGTCCCCCACGCCTGAGGTTGCCCTGCCGGTAGCAGGGTACCTGCGTGGCCTTGTACCTGATGCTGGTCATCTGGAGCACATGCCCTCCCACATCGATATCTTGTGTGGCGAGTACAAACGCGCAGTAACGGCTAATACCTCTGCTATCCGTGCAGACGAGAAGTTCCTCGCTAACCAGCCTTTGGGTCATTTTTATAATCTGTACCGTGCACACGATTATCATTTCAGAATGTACGCTGCTATGCTAGGTGGCCGATCGAAGGTCGCACTTGAATCTGGGGCCGAGCTTGCGCGAATAATCACCGAGCCTCTTCTGCGCGTCGGGTCTCCGCCAATGGCAGACTGGCTGGAGGGCTTTGTCGCTATGCAAATGCATGGATTTGTGCGTTTCGGTCTCTGGGAGGAGATTATAGCTACAAAGATGCCGGAAGATGCAGAGCTGTATTGCGTCACGACTGCTATGATGCACTATGCAAAGGGTGTCGCGTTTGCTGCTACAAGTCGCGTATCGGAGGCAGAAGAGGAGCGAGAACGGTTCCTACAAGCGGTGAAACTTGTCCCGGCTTCGCGGACTATCTTCAATAACCGTTGTATCGACATCCTCGGTGTAGGTGAGGCGATGCTCGATGGCGAGATTGCGTATCGCCGTGGCGAATACGATACTGCGTTTTCATATCTCCGAGACGCTGTCAAGAGGGATGATGCTTTGCCGTATGATGAGCCGTGGGGCTGGATGCAGCCGACTAGACATGCTCTGGGCGCATTGTTGCTTGAACAGGATCGCGTTGAGGAGGCTGCAGCCGTATATTCTGCGGACCTTGGGGTTGATACGTCTCTGCCCCGTGCTTTGAGGCATCCCGGTAATGTATGGGCTTCGCATGGGTATCATGAGTGTTTGGTCAAGATGGGTCGGAAATATGAGGCGCGTGCCATGTTGCCGCAGCTGAAGATTTCTTTATCCTGGGCGGATGTGCCTATTAAATCGTCGTGTTTCTGTCGGCAGAGAACTGAGTGACATATATTTCCTATTTTGGAGTTATGTCCGTGACTTTTGACTAGAGGTAGCTGAAATATACCGTGAGTTGTGAGTTTCAAGGATATCACGGGTTAATTTACATAAAATGCTCAAGCAATTGGCTTGTATGATGAAGCTGGGTCGGAGCTCGTATGAAAGTCAAATCCGCAGGTGCTCTTGTCTGCTTGATTGGGCATCCTTGTCATTTTATGTCTCATACGTCTTACTATACTACATGAGATATACGGTTTTGAAACTCTTGCAATGAGCATAAACAATTATTGTACATTATGACGACATTCCTACATAGTTGTTGTAGCCAATGGACGCTCTACCCTGAGGTTCTGTTAAACCGCCAGGGCCAAGCGCCTCTTCCCTCACTGTGATTGGCCTTCTTGGACCAGTAGGTCCTTTGGCTTCAAGGAGCTTGAAGTCAGAAATCAAACTTGTGCAATATCAAACCTCATCTGGAGGTCACCCTCAACTGTCCACGTATGAATGCACTCGATGCGGTGCGTGCCCCTCGGCCAAGCGCCTAGAACCAGCCGAGCCACCCCCCTTCCTAGCTTCGTACCCAGGAGCTCCTGATACTCTGTAGTACCGTAATACCAGCACTTGGGCAGAGGGTCATCATACCAGGGCAAGCCACAACGAGGATATAGACAGAGTTCCACGTAGGGCCAGGTGTAGAGGTTCTGGACGTTGATGAAATAAACATATCGGAGCGTGTCGATTGGGTTATCGAGCTGGTACTGAGCCTAGGCCACTTGAGCCCAGTAAGGACCAAATCGTCTTGTGATGTTCTCAGCGAAGATAGCGCCGCGCCCGGTGCGGTGCTGGTAAACAGTCCAACCCTCTTCACAGCCACGATCCCAGTATCCATAACGCCTCAAAAAGACATAACGCCAATTGTTCCCCGTCGAGAGCCCGGTTGATTGGATGTTGGCCGCTTCCTCAGGTGTTGATCTAAACTCATTTAGATGCACCTCAAAGCTGTGATCTTCGATCCGGGGGTGGACTAAGTCTTCCCATGTGAGTCTTGATCGTTGGATTGGACATGCTGTTGTGCTTCGGCCGGCTATCCATGCTTGGTATTGAGCTCCAATACTTCGGTTATTGGCGACAGTCTCATCCGAAATATATTCGTCCAAGGAGAAGTCTAAAGGGAGCTCCGGAAACTTAGAAGAACTGTCATCAGTAGGTTTTCTGGGTGGTGTTGCAAAGTCGTCCCAGAGTTGCCGACTTGGCTTTCTTTGTCGACTTGGCTTTGCTTGTCGATGTTCGCTTGGTTTTGCTTGTTGATGTTCGCTTGGCTTTTTTTGTCGATATCGACTTGGCTTTGTTTGATGCAGATTTGGCTTTGTTGTTGGTTTTGTTTTTGGCTTTCGAATTCTCTGTGGTGTAGGTGGGACCTGTTGAGATGATTCGTTTTCGGAGTTGCGATGCTGAGTGGACTGGCGAGAATGAGCGCCATCTCTAGCACTGTTGTCTCTCCTTCCACGAGATGATTGGTGGCCTCCTGGAGCCTCGCCAGGTCCGTCGAGAGAATAGTAGCGTGGGTCAAAGCTCTGAATGATAGTATTGGCTACAGGTCGTGGACTTCTCGGTTGCAAAGTCCAGGGTTGTTGTGAGCCTGTCTAATTAGCTGGTGTGGCCTCTATTTCTGATCTGCCTCTCCTACCACGAGATGATTGGTGGCCTCCTGGAGCCTCGCCAGGTCCGTCGAGAGAGTAGTAGCGTGGCTCAAAGCTCTGAATGATAGTGTTGGCTACAGGTCTTGGACTTCTCGGTTGCAAAGTCAAGGGTTGTTGCGGACCTGTCTGGTTAGCTGGCGTGGTCTCGCTTTCTGATGGACCTCACCTTGTCTGGTCCCATCTTGATCAGCCTTGTGTTGACTACTAGACTCACTGTCAGAATGAGAGTGACGTGGACCTATGGACACTGGTGAAAGGCATTGCTGCATCATGTTTGGAATAGATGGAAAGAATTGTCACTATGGTTGTGTTTTGTGATTTTGTTGCAAGAGTGTAAGTTAGGAGTGAGCCTTCGACAGTGGTTGTGGACAAAAACAATATCATATGTTTCCCCCTTAGAAACTTCACCATTGATAGTGACCAGACTAGAACGCAAACAAGACAAGCCAAATCTAACAACAGATGTGGCCCTTTACACAAGTAATACTATAAATACCAGAATAGTAGAAATAGAAAGAAATACTGTTCGACCCATCCCAATTTGGGGGGCTTCGATTAGGTCATAATATTCCAGTTCGTAGACTGCATTGAGGAGTGATGATCGTATTGTGTTGATACACTGCCGTTCAAAGATCAAGCGAAACTTGGATGCTCTATATAGTATGTTATTTGTTATCAAGAGCAAGGCTCTAGTAAGACATTCCTGTCTACCTATAGATCAAGCCTCGGCTGACCGAGGATGGTCAAGGCGTGAGAGCGCTGCAGTATTATCCGATGAACCATAAAATTGCCCAAAGAAAATATAGAGACAAGAGATCAGAGAAGATCATTCGGGCAGAAGAGAACGAGTTCATATCCAGATGGATAGGAAGAGGACCACATATTCCCCCACGAGGGCGAGTAGTAGCATCATGAATCTACCCCGGGGTAAGTCAAAGGTTATACATAAAAGAGTCGTCTGCATAGAGCCTTGATCCGCCTTTTATTTTTTTGCCGTTGACCTTTAAAACTGGTACATCTAAACAAAATGATATCTGAAGCCATTAAGGAGACAGCTGAAAACATATTACAAGGCTACTTATGCCGACTATTCTTTTTCCTATCAAATTATGGAGATTTCGCAGAATAGCCCGATAGATGTCGACGGATGTGACCCAGATAACCTTACGGTACGTGACTCCTACTTTCCTTTCCCTTTTTCTCCGGACCACATCTGTCTTACTTTCCTCAGAACTTCTAAATTGCTGTTCCTCATCTTTTTCTTCTTTCGCTGCTCAGTTGAAAGATGCCAGAGGTGTTGCGAAGTTCCCCTCTCTCGCGGGCCCCCAAGTGCGTGTAAGCGACACCGGATTTCGGAGGATTTTGAAGGTAATATAGACATCAAACGATACCTGCATCGAACTGAACCATTTCGAAGCATTAGCTTCCCAACCCCCGATCTGACAGCCCTCAAAGTCACCACTACGACTGCTGAGGAAGATCCTACATAACATTTGCACCGTGGGTAGGGCCAACCAAATGCCGGAGGTCCCAAAGAACCGGATGCCTCGAAGCAGTCCCTCCGGTCCGCCTCCAGCTCTAGTTGCAGCAGGAGCCCGCCTAGTGAGTTTAGCACCTTGCGGAAAGACACATACTACATCAAGACCGCACTTCCAACGTTATGGGTGCTATGTACAACGGTGTGGTGGCTGTTTGCAACTGGAAGACGCGATACGGATCATACGATAGCAATGGCAACACCATCGAAGGCGAGGATCTTCGTATGAACGAGTTTATGATTATAGGTGTTCAAGGTCCCTTTATTGAGTCTGGTGACTCTGGCTCATTTGTCGTGGATTAGACCGGGCCCATTGCGGGCCTCATATTCGCCGACTACAGACACAACTTCCAGACTGTCGCACTTGCATTGCTAGTCCCAGATCTTATAGGCACGATGAAGGCTCGACTTAAGGCTAGAGTCTCTCTACACCTACCATAATCTTCTTACTTCATCTGTTTTAATGGTCCTTCATTTGCTAATGTAAGTGACAAAATGACAAGCGTTCTTGCGTTCATCATACTAGAGGTCATCTATTTCTCTCTTAGAACTTATTTCGGCATATATTAAATTGGGTAAAACCAGTTTCTTCAGTCAAATGACAGGGGTCAAGAGTGCGAGTTGAAATACCACGTACAAAAGTCGTAGGGTTCAAGTTAGGCTAACTTACCGCTTGTTATGACGTTGAGTGATGAACGAGCTAATCACGCGCGCGATTTGAGTGGATAGGTTGAGTGGATAGTAAGGAAGAGGCTCAGTTTGGGGCCGTGTATTTTTGGACCCTAACTACTCCATATAACTCGTGTTCATCGATTCTACTGGTCCGAGGCCCTTGGCATCGCCACCGCATCTCAAGGGCTGTGTTGGCATATAAACGGCAATGATTAGCAACTGATTCTATATTTCAAGATATATAGTGCTTCTAAAATCATGGGGGTTTTCCACATTATCTAGTTTTCCATATTTCTATAATCGCCATAATATAATCTTCACCATGTCTACAGTCTTGGACCCCCAACCATCCCCTCCTTTCTGCATTGAGGCAATACCGAGAAAAGAGCAAAAATGGCGCTCGCTTCTGTCTCTGCGATTTGGCACAGTATTGTGCACCATGGTGGTGATAATCTGCTTTGCCTGGGCCATGGTTCAGCATCATGAAGGAGTCGTTTCCACCGATGGACTAGGAGAAGCATGGTCTAGCATAAACCTGGGCACGGTGAGTCCAAATATCCCCAATATAATAATTTTGTGATGTTTAGCTTGCTAATTATATTCCTGTGATTAGGCTTCGTACGGATTCGTCTGGTCCACCGTCTTTCTCATAGTCGTCTTTTGCAATTGTGTTGTTCACCCCGGTATAATCGTTGCTTTCGATTGCATCGCTATTATTGCCCAGATTATTACAGTGTGTTTTTATTTGCATGAGCTTGCCTATTGGAACCTTGGTGGTTATGGTTACTCCAGTAGACATGATCTTGGTCCATTGTATGGGGCCGAGTGTTTGGGGTGTTCTATGATGCTTCTTGGAATGTGAGTTTACTAGTATTCCTCTCTTTCTTTGCGCTTTCGTGTCTGACAGAACATTACTTTCAGCACCTTCAACATTGTCCTTTGTGTACGTGCCTGTATCGCCTGTCATAAGCTGCGGAAGGCGGGAAAACAGCTTGACGCCGGAGGATCCGATGTGTGATGGCCACTGGTGACTGTTGATATATGCGCTATGATTTGGAGCAGCTATATGGCCCATTCGATGGTGTGCTACTAGGTGGAATTTAATGTTTAATTCGTGCGGTTGATCAGATGCTATAAACGGAAGATCTGAAAGACCACTGAAAAACCACAAGGCCGCATATCGGCCGACTATTCCTGTGTCCCTTAATTTAATGTCTGATACCATATTCAAACGTTTCACTTTCAAGAGTTTGCTTTACTCAAAAGTCGCGTAATCTTAGCCATCATGCCAGCAACTTAATATCGGCAGCCGTAGCAGTCAAACTCGTCTGCGCAAGAGACTCCCCGTTCGCGCCAATAGCCTCCGCAACAAATCTAGCAGAGGAAGACAGTTCAAAAGTTGGCTTCCATGTAAAGACCGTCTCAAACGAATCCCTGTCCACTTGACCAACCCGCGTCTTCGTCTGCCCATTGACGTAAAAGAATCTCCAAGCTGAAGTCTCCGTATCCCCATTCCAAGACACATAAAGCTCGACAAGATTAGAAGCCGTTTTCAGCGCAACCAGTGCTGGAGTCTCCTTCGGCGTACCAGTCCAGTTAGCCAAGAAGCCGCGGTAGCTGACTGACCCCGTCTGGATAAAGGCATGGTATAAAATCTCATTATCAGCACCGAATTCGGTGAAAGCACCCTCCGATCCCCAGTTGACGAAGATTCGGTCGTTGGAAAGCAGCTGTGCATTTCCCTGGGACACGGCCTGGAGATCATAAGGTGCTTTTGCCTTGCGGAGAACTGTCGCCGTGCTATCTGTGTGGTTGATCTGAACAACTAACGCCCGGGACACCTCGTTAAATTTAATAGTCCCGTCGCCTGAGTTGTCAAAAAATGAGATTACCTCGGTCCCAGGCTGGCTTAGTTGTGGCTGCCAGCGCGCATCGTGTTGGAATCCGAAAGTCCAGTTGCCGATTTGTGAAAAGCTGGGATACTTGCCGCCGAGCCGCCAGATGATTGAGCCGTCTGTGCCGTTGATCTTGAATATTGTGCTCGTGTGTCGGGACGAGAGCAGGTAGTCACCTTCTTCATTTTTATCGAGGCTGTTGATATGGAAGTAATCCCATGCCTCAGCGGAAGATAATCCACTATTCGAAGTTCTGGAACCTAGTGCCACTTGGCTTTCTAGTTGGATGTTAAATATGTTCTTTATCGAGGCATGGTGGATTATCTTACCAGACGGCTCAACGTGTTCCAAAGCATTCCACTCAAAGATCAACTCTCCTGTGGCAATATCATTTTCTATCAAATAATCAGAATCAACCAAGTCATCCAATTTTCACAACCAACATACCTTGAAATATTCCATTCCCCAGCCACTGTTGCGAAGAATTCCCACCATAGACCGACAAATTCGCCGGAGTTGTATGAAAGACCTCAATCAAAGCTGTCTCCCCCCGGATAACGTTGAACTCGTGAATGGACGAAACGCGATGGTTACTGGCAGTCGACGTAACAACGTGCTGATAACTCTGGTCTAACAGAACATGCTGGCCAAACCCTTCACCGGGGAAATTATTCATGTTTCCCTGAAATGCCTGGAGAACAGGTTTCCCCTGGTACGTGGTAGGATGGAAATTAGCCACGAACCCGGCGTAGTACCCTGTGCCGGCCCAGATTAAGTCGCCGTCTTTGCGGTAGATGTATGGACCAGGTCGTTCGAGAGTCCCGCCCATAGAGTAAGGGGCAATGAAGATGTATTCGGAGCCATTAGAGTTTGTAGCTGGGACGGTGATGTTTAATTGAGGTGGTACGAGGTCAGGTCTTGAGCGGTAGTAGTTGTCAGTGCTTGTTTGGGGTAAGGAGCTTGTTGCTAAGGCAGCTAGGATAGTTTGTTTTAGGGAAGCCATGGTTGTGGGTAACAGCTTTATCAATTCTCTACTGGTTTGATGGCCTTCTTATACAGAGATAATGAAGCTAATATCCCGAGGTCATCTAGCAAAATTAGCGTTTTCGTGATACGCATCGCGAATAGCATCATTCTATAATATGCTTATGTATCTTATAGGGGATCATGTTTATATTTATATTGTGTCACCGACCTTTTAAATGACGCAATTTGATGTCGATCTAAGACCTGTCTGGCTTCTTACAGATTTAATCTTTTAGACTTATAACCAATGACTAGTGTCGGGTTATCTTTTAGTTCAGTCAGCCACATGGCGTGCGCTCGGCTATTAATTAGCATATAGATCCGGCTCGGTCCGTTAATAACGAGGGTCATTCTCATGTTTTAAAAATGGCCAAGAGAGCTAAGGTGTAGCACGCAGGTTATACATAAATAATGGATTAAATGGTTAGAGAATTGATTTTCCTTACATCAAATCCAACGATCAAAGGTAATATAGGCTTGGTTCATGCACTATATACGGTAGTGATAACTCAACTATGCTACTAGGTGTGCGCCACGCGCACAGGATGAGCCTCAGTGTTGTACACAAACTGATTCTTTTGGCCCTTCTGAACTTGCCATGGGGCATCTATACCAAAACCCAACATTAGCAATGCTTTATGAGAGAAAGATAACTACAATAGAAACTTACCCTCGGCATGGACAAGGTACGCATATTTCATAACTTCAGCAAAGAGGAAGCTCTCCTCGTTATCGTACTTGGAGCCCCCACCAGCTGCATTCACATTGCTTACAGCAGCAAAGCCCGAACCAGTGCGGCAGGTAGCGTTGATTGCCTTGAAACCGTTCCACACCCAGTCGCGGTACTATATATGGGTCAGTTTGAAACATCACTAAAATAAAGACGCAGGACTCACGATTTCGTTCCCCGTGACGCGGTACGCGTAGTAGAAACTCTCGATCACTTCAGGGCGCAAGACATATGCACCATTATTGATGTAGAATCCGGCTTTCTGGTAGAAATCCTTTTGGTCGGATGGTACTTTCTTCGGGTCCCAGCCCCAGGAGTCTGGGCCAATGCCCGTCAGGGTCTGGTTGTAAGTAGCCTCGCAGCCATCCACGAGCTTCAAACCGAAATCGATGAAGTCTTGTCGGTCCAGCACGGTGCCGCCCAGGATGAAACTGCCGCCGTCGAAGCAGGTCAGGTGCTGTGAACTAAGATCAAGCTGGCCGTTGTGATATGAGGCCAGCCAGGTTATTTCCGGGCGAGGAGCAGGATGCGATTGGAGGTGTTTGATTGTCGACTCGGCTGCGAGGACCCAGCGGTCCTTGTATGACTTGAACCGCTTGGGGTCGTACACGTACATCTTAATCAGGTACTCGTAGAATGAATCATCGCCGCCGTTCCACGAGACAGCACCGTCTGTGAAATGACCATTAGAGATGTCGATGTTGCTTCCCACCAGGCCGGGGAATGGCTCTCCGCTTGATGGCTGAGGGTTCAAAAGGTACGACTGGGCCTTCTGGCTTATCTTGGCATACTCATCATTGCCAGTCAAATCGGACAATCTAGTCCACTCTAGCACCAGAGTTCCGGTTACTGCAAGACCATTGGTTTTCGAGCCATCATTTCCCTTAGACGTGATGTTGATGTTATTGTAGGGAACACCGGATGGTGTATCAAAGGCAAATTTCAAGACATCCCCGAGGTTCTTTGATTGGGTAAGTAGGGTATCGACTTGAGTTGAATCAATGCCAAAATTTGCTGCAGAGTCCTTGAGTAAATCATAGCCGGACAACATGCCACCAAGATATCTGATAGTAGTCTCAAACAGGCTAACCTCATCCTTGGTCTTCGAGAAGTCAATAGTTTCAATGTGGTCCAGGATCGTTTGAACAACATCACGTTTACCCATGATGATGGCGGTTGAGAGAGCGTCGACAGCGGAAGCTCCCCATCCATTCCTATCGCGTGTCAATCCAGAGCAAGAAGTGTGCAATCTGATATGCTCACCTGGAGTCACCATAGCCATTGCTCACAGGATGCAACTCGTCATGAGGGAAAGCATATTTCATATATCCATTCCATGCATGTTGGAAGGCTTCCTTGACCGCATCGGCCTTGTCCTGTTTGTCCGAGCCGCGACGCAAGACCACCTCTGGTTCATGATAGGGATAGGCGGCAGTAGACCCAACGAGGCTCAGCACTGCCAAAGGGAGTGACAGAGAGGAGATGCGCATGATTACGCGGAATGTAGGTTGAATATAGATATACGGGTATAGGCAGGATGCAAGGTAGGAATAATTTCAACGAGGGACCACCTGAACTGCAATGCAGCAGGTCAAGACAATTTCTCTTAAGTATGTGAATGATATATAGTAAGGTTGCGAGAAAGGGAAGGCAGGCGGGCGGACACGCGACCCCGACTTGTTTACTATTTTCCACATGTCACTTACATTCTAAACTCCATAAAATCACCTTAAGATGCCATTCCTACGAAAAAGAAAAGGTACCAATCGGACAAGATTCAGGGGGCCGGGGGATCTGCAAGGGCGCCACTAACTATTGGCGCACATCGGAGAATGCAGTGAAATATCTCAGCTCTCACATATTTGAAATCTTTGGATATATCTCGGATGACAATTTCATGTTCTAGATTTACGACTCGAACTTTCTCCAGACCATAAAATATACGAATGACCAGACGACAGCTTGACGTGATGGGAAAACATGACATTTTATGGTCTTGTCCAGGCTGTTATACCTGACTAGCACCGTCTTGGCTGATAAAAAGCACCGTGGTGCTTTGACATGCAACATACCCCTCAATGTGATGGGTTCTGTCACAGGACTAGAGTGTCTGACCAAATTCAAGTCACCTTGGGGTTTTAAGAGGTCCTGACTTGGTTCGGAACATTTATGTCGATCATATGTGCTGACTGGATTTGAGCTCCAACCATTTGTCTCAAGTAGTTTGGAACTACGGAGTAGAATATACCGAATCATACCAAAGCATAGGGAATTCTACTATGCATATACATTATCTATCATTTCTATACTCTAAGTACTCCATAAATGGTGCCATATTATATTATTCTATGGCCTTGGAAATGGATTGGATATCTATACATACAACTGCCCTAAACTTTGTATGCTGGATCAATCGACCTTCCATCAACTTTGTTAAGAATCAGTTTGTCAATATCAAAGTCCTGGAGTAGTCGTACCTAATACACTCAGTAGCTGCGATATGACATTGGGTCATTTGACTTACATTGACAGCAGTGATCGGTGGTGCTCCCTCTTCCAGAAGACGGATGAAGCAACTACTTCCACACTCCCCACAGAATTGATGCTTCGACCTGTGTTTGGCAAAGAGATAATCTTTTAATGTATCGCCTTTTTCGATGGTAAAATCCTTGTTGAATGGATAAACAAGCAAATAGCCGTTCTTCGTGCAGATGGAACAGTTGCAGCTATTGGTCGGGTACTCAGGCAGAGGAGGGGATAAGGTGAAGTTGAACCGCACAGCACCGCAATGACAATTGCCGGAGTGAGAGCTACTCACACCGGTAGGGGTTGGTGGAAATGTCATAGTAGAAGTTGATGTACTCTGTATAGAGTGCTGTTTTTTGGGAGGTGCCTGGGTTTTAACGGGAATTAACTTGATGCCGGGATTTTCCCAAAAGGACAATTGTCCGCATTCACCTGTGATACACTTATTTGTTCTCGTTTCTATAGAACGTTCTGGACATTCTAACAAGTTTTCACGGGATTTATCTAAAGTACGAATAAGTTCCGCTTGCACTCACCCCTTGATACGGGACACTCCACTCCCAGGCATATACTCGATATCAATTTAGATGCCTACATTTCATATTGCATCGAATAATTTGCTTTCGCTCCAAAATCACTATTTATCCTTCCAGAAGCCAGTCCAGATTAGTCAAGCGTTCCTCCTATTGATGTAGGCCAAAGATGTCACATATAGATCCCAAATGGTATAACTAGGCTATGAGACGCACTCGAATTACTAGAAATACCCCGGAGCAGGTATAGTCAATATGTCATCGCAAAACAGGAAATTTCCTTCAGGTTTCCTGCAAGCATCTTGAAGAGCACCATACCTCTTGCTGCAAAACGTGGCTCGCCTTGTTCCCGGACTGTTTGAACATTGAGCGCTCAAAAGTCCAAAGTATCAGTACTAGTGGATGAGTTAGCAGTTGTAGGAGTACCTAGATAATAAAATATATCGTCTGTGTGATTCATAGTCAAGGCATAGTTCCAGCTTCCTGTTAAATGGGACATATCGAATTGAAATGCAGTAGATACAAATAGAAATAGAAGAATATCAACATTGGAAAATCCCACCTGGTATGTGGAGGGGCTGATTCAGCGGGCCGACCCCGGGGGAAAAAAGGTTGCAAGGAGTCATCGCTCCCCTCCACTGTTTCACCTTATTCAAAAGGGCCCAATTATTCAAGGGGATATAGTTCTCCTCAACCTTTTTCTCTAGTATACTACACATCTACACATCATGGCCACACCGTTCCTTATCTCCTACCCCTCCTCCCCCACCTCCGACTCCGGACTTTCGCTCAAGCAGATCTCCTACTTCGGCCGTGTACTGATCAAGGTCTCAAGTCTCGCCCAGGCAGAGCAATTCCTGCGTCAGAACTTCCGCACCCTTGATGTCTTCGTCGATGCAACTGAGATCTCCTCCGCTGGCGATCTCGTCGATATCCTCAACGCCGGTGCCGCCAAGATCTTGATTAACTTGGACCAATTGACCACTCTTTCCGAGGAACAATCCGTGCCCTCGTCCCGTCTACTCGTCAATGCCCTGTCAGACTCCCAGCTGGATACTTTCCAGCAATGGATTGCTTCCAATGCCGAGCGCAGCGAAACTAGTGTCTGCACTGCACCTTCCACCATCCCCGCCGCCGCCGAGAAATTGAAGATTAGCTCGGACTCCCCACGGCTCTTCACCACCTTCG